CTTTTTTGTCTTTTAAACAAACCTTGCCTGAGCGTCTGCGAAGTTCCTGCTGCGGCTTCGTGAGACACCAACCCGTGGGGGGTCTAGTGGCCGGGGCTCAGCCCTGCCCTGCAGTCTGGGATCCGTTCCTGGCTGGGAGACTAGGCCTGACAATTCCGGTATCACTGGGAGCCACGCTACTCATGTCGTCTGACAAGGGTCCAGGCATAGGATAGATTCCTAAAAAGTCAGGAATCTCGTTAGCTGACTCCTGCTAGATTCTCATTTGTTTATGGCTAGTTTCTACCATTGTTAAAATACGCATTTAAAAGTAATTTGAGAAAAATTTCAAGAACCATTTGCTTTACAAAGTAATCTTCATTATGATAAATTATTTTATTTATTTTATTGCTCTTGTAGTAAATTTAATAATCTGTGCTTATTTACACATAATATGTTGTGAAATTATTATTTTCATATATCCCCTACCCCCTCCCCAACCTAACCAGAAACTGCAAAAATTTTGGGTCAACAAACAATAAAATTTCTAAATTTCATAAAAGATAAAAAATAAATAAATAAATAAATAAATAAAAGTAAAACTGCAAATGCTGTTTGATCAATTACTGAATAACCAATTTGATGGCAAATGGCACTGCATGATACAAATATTTCATTATTTATAAAATTAGTAATTCTCGGCCAAAAGGCAGTAATTCAACATTTGGCCTTACATTAGCAAGTGAAAAACTTCCGAGAACAAAAGGCTGTAAACGTCCCTCGGCCAAGTCTTTGATATGGATTTGGGGTCTTTTGAGGGAAGGGCTAAATGGAGAAGGAAATTCTTTTGCCTTGAAGTTAAGAGATAGCAGCTGGGTGGCAGACGCGAGCCATGCTCCAAGTGTAAGAAAATTCCTGATAAGCCAGGAGGCTCCATAGCCTGCTAAATTCTTCCTGTTTGTTTAAGGCTGATTCCCCTGGAGGTGACAATTGGTACGGTAGCTGTTAGAGTTTGCATTCAAGAATAAGTCAACAGCAATTTTGTGACTGGTTGAGCTAATAACCATGGCAGCACTAATAATGCACTTGGAAATAGTCAATGTAGCTGTTAGAGTTTGCATTCAAGAATAAGTCAACAGCAATTCTGTGACTGGTTGAGCTAATAACCATGGCAGCACTAATAATGCACTTGGAAATAGTCAATGTTACAACTACTGATATGTCACGTATTAACTATTCTAGAAACCAAAAGCTATAACCATCTCCAGCCCTGCCTCCGATGAAATATTTGTAGTTCTTTAAAACAACAATCAGCAATCTTACAGAAAAAGGAATTTTCCCTTGCTCTTAAAGTTAGATATGGAAACTAGGCTGACAAACTCTTTTGTTAGATTAGGAGAATTCCTCCCTTAATTGAGAACTTGGGGCTAGGGAAGAGTAAGTGCAGCTTGTCTGGCATTGACACCCTCCAGGCCCTTGGTTCCTTAATATTGAATCAATATCTTATTAAAACAATATAGTATTAGATAATGATTTCTATATAAAAGCCTCCCGTTTTTTGCTTTAATCATATGGTTACAGGGCAGGGAGAGGGGCAGCCCAAACCCAGCAAACCTGCCTATTCTGAATGGGTTCTGCCATCCGCTGCATCAACACAAGTCATGACACTTTAATGGGAAGGACTTTAATACAATTAGGAAACAATACAGGTAAGGCAAAGAATCTAGTTTCTAAATCAAGCACCCAAAGTTACGCGTCCCCTCATGGGTAAAACGCCATCCAAATGGGATTGGCCCAGAGCAAGGCCCCAAAGCCTGCTGAAAGGTTCAGCACGGTAAAGAAAAGGAGAGTCAGGCTGAATTTCTCAAAGGGAGGGAAAGTTTATTGCGCCCCAGGCGGGCCTCACACATCCAAGGTGGGGGTCAGTGAAGCCGCGCACTTTGTTAGGGGAAAGCAGGGTTTTATAGGGTAAGGAGGGGTCAGGTGGGAAGTTGGGTTCGTATGGCGGGAAAAGTTTGTAGGGCGCGAAAAGTTTCGTGGGGCAGGTAGAGGTTCTTTGTCTGAGAAGAGACTCGTAGGGGGATGGGGGAGGCTCATTGTCTGAGTCCTCCAGGCAGGTATCCGCATTCCTGCCCCCCAGGTGGGCTTCCCAGTGGGTTTTTGCATTCCGGCCTCCTACATGGACTTTTCATCTGCCACAAGTCTAAAGCATCTTCCAGTGGGGACCCAGAGAAAAGGATCAGAAACAAGACAAGCCCAGAAGGAAAAGAGCAAAATCAAGACAAAAACAGTCATTGTCACCTCCCCACGGGTCTCACCCACATCTGTGTCACCCAGTCCACAACCAAAAGGCAAGCACAGTTTCTTTACGAGTCTCTCCATTCCATGTGCCTCCTCCAGATCTCCTCCTGGCTCTCCATCCTGCTTCCTTCCTTGCTCAGTCTCCTCTGCAGCTTCTTCTCTCCCTGCTCAGCTCCACCCTCCATTTTGGTGGGGCAGGGAACCTGGAACCCCCCCCCCACTTTCCTGGGGACCACCCTGTTACACTATGGTTATATGTTAGTCTAAACATTATAGGTTAGTTAGAAAAAATCCCTTTGTCTCCCTTCCCCCAGGTAACTTCCTGCCCTTTGTTTGCCCAAGCCCTTAGTTGATAGTTCACCATGGTAAACATAGAAATGTTACTTTCAGTCACGTAAGTTTTTGCTAGTAATAAAATGATTGTTTAAGATAAATGACTGTTCTAAGAACACTTTTGTTTAGCAACTGTGCCTTCTTCAAAATAAAGAATGTTACAACCTCTGCTGGAGGGCAAATAAACCCCTGGCTGTTCTAGAGAAAGAGGTAATGATTGTTATCTTCCTGCTCTAATACATATTCTTATGTACTCTCACGGTTTGCTTGTAATGTATAAATAAAGGGCTGCTGAGACCCTCAGCAGGATGATGTCTGCACCCTGATCAAGTGTTTGAATCTCCTCACTCCCTTTTCCCCTCAACCCTCAGATTCGTCCATGCAGTCTCATCCTTACAGGAACCCCTGACCCCACGACAGTTTGCTGGAGCTGGTTTCTGGCAGTGCAAGGGGTTAAGACACGACCTATGCAGCTATCCGCAGCCACTGCAGCACAAGTTCAATCTCTGGGCAAGGAGATACCCACATGGCACAGCAGACCTCTCCTGACTTGCCCACTGCTCCTTTCAGCAGTGTATTTCAGTCAATCTGCCTATTCTGTTCCCCACTCTGTGGTGACTTCTGTCACCCCCCACACACCTCTGGCCCAGTTCTTGTAGGCATAAGCAAATCTTTAAAGAAAAAAATAAGGAAAGGAAAAAGCAACTGAGATGCCTGAAGACTTGCAAGATTTAAAAGCCTGGAAAAATATTTGGAGAGCTTCCTTAGCTCTCCTTATCATAAATTTGCATTCTACCACCATATATATGTTGAATAGCATAGTAACGTAATTGGGAATTGCCTTTTTTTATTTTTTAAGGGTCTACGTTTTCTACTTTGAAAATAAACCGTAGTCGTTATGTTATAGGACAGGGAGAGGGGCAGCCCAAACCCCGCAAACCTGCCTATTCTAAATGGGTTCTGCCATCCGCCGCATCAACACAAAACATATGACACTTTAATGGGAAGGATCTTTAATAAAAACTAGGAAACAATACAGGTGAGGCAAAGAGTCTAGTTTCTAAATGAAGCACCCAAAGTTACCCATCCCCTCGTGGGTAAAACTCCATCCATATGGGGTCGGCCCAGAGCAAGGCCCCAAAGCCTGCCACAAGTCTAAAGCATCTTCCAGTGGGGACCCACAGAAAAGGGTCACAAACAACCGGACAAGCCCGGAAGGAAAAGAGCAAAATCAACATCAAGATAAAAGCTGCCATGGTCACCTCCCCACGGGTCTCACCCACATCTGTGTCACCCAGTCCACGACCAAAAGACAAGCGCAGTTTCTTCACGTGTCTCTAGGCTCCATGTGCCTCCTCCAGGTCTCCTGGCTCCATCTTGCTTCCTTCCTTCCTCAGTCTCTTCTTGCAGCTTCTTCTCTTCCTGCTCAGCTCCACCCTCCCTTGGGTGGGGCAGGGAACCTCCCCCTTTCCTGGGGACCACCCTGTTACAGTTATTTAAATTCTCTACTTGCAAAAATGAGAACACAACCCTCCAACTCTACCCCCCAGATAGGATCACTTTTTCTTTCAAAATTCCTATGTACTCCCGTCTTGTTTCTGTGCCTACTTTTGTAAAACAACTTTATTTCGCAATTACTATATTGCGTTTTTTCTTTTCACTCGCCATCACAACATAAACTCTCCCGCACATTTTGCAAAGACCTTGCGAAGGGTGACATCTTCCCGGCCCCTGCAGGCCTGCGGGTCGTGCACCTCCGCGAAACAAACGATCAATGTCAAAGCCTCAGCCGACTGCGCCCTCCTGGGTCCCAGCCCACGCTCCTAATCCCATTCCGCCCCCGCCTGGTCCTTCTGCGCCTCCGTCCCTTGCCGGACTCCCAGCGCCCTCTCGGCTTCCGTAGACCGGTGAGCCGTCACGCGGACGGCGTTGCTGGTTGCCTTGGTGACGGTTGCTAGGGGCAGCGCGTGCAGGCGTCCAGAAGAGGTGCCGGCGCGGCGGCGGCCGTAGAGCGGCGGAGAGGAGTGACCGCTGTAAGTGCGGGGAAGGGCGGACGGGCCCGGAGCCGGGGGACCCCGCAGATGCCGGGGGTTCTGATCCCGACCCCGGCGCGCACGCTCGCCCGAGAGCCCCGCCGCGGGCCTGATGCTCGCTGCATGCCCGGCGCCCGGCGAGAACTCTCTGAATCTTCACGCACAGCCCCCTCCCCGCTGCAGGCCCACACTTATTTTCCGCGCGGTCCAGGGCTTGGTGAGACTCAGAGAATGGGTCACCCGACAAAGTCACTTAGCTCAGGAGACGGCGTAGACAGGCGCGCGAACTCGGGTTGCCCTGACCAGCGCCCCCTGCTGGCCGCTGCTCGCCCCACGCCGAGGGTCTGAGCCTAAACGAGCGACCTTGCAGCCTCGGTGCACGCTTCCTCCTGCCGCCCTGCCAGCCCCCGCGAGACGCAGGACGCTCAGAGCAGTTCCGAAACTGCAGGCTTCGCAGCGAAAGAAGGTCACAGCATAATTAGAAGGAAGGTATACAGATTTCCTATTATCCCCTGCTGCTACACAGGACATCAGTTTACCACTAGGGTGGGAAATTTGTTGCAAGGATGAACCTACTGTTAATTTACATCAGGGTTCCCTCGTGGTGGTGTGCAGTCTATGGATTTGGACAAATGTGCAATGAAACGTAGCCACTGTGGTGTCATGCCTAGTACTTTCACTGCCCTAAAAGTCCTCTGCATTCCAACTAGTCATCCCAGTGCCTGGTAACCACAGACTTTTGTATTGACCAGTTTTGCCTTTTCCAGAATGACATATGGTGGGATTCACAGAGTATGTGGCCTTTTCAAGACTGGCTTCTGTACTTAGCAATATGCATCTAGGTTTCCGTTGTGGCTTTTCGTGACTTGATAGCATTATTTCTTTTCTTCACTGAATAATATTCCCTTTTATGGGTATACCAGTTTGTTACCATCCATTTAAGGGTATCTTGGTTGTTTCTGATTTTTGGTAATCATGAATAAAGCATCTATAATCATTTCTTTGTAGGTTTTTGTGGACATAAGGTTTCAACTAATTTGGGTATCTGTGATTGCTAGATCATTTGGTAACACTATGTTTAGCTTTGAAAGAAACCACCAATCATCTTCCAAACTGACTGTACCTTTTTGCTCTCCCATCAGCAGTGAAGGAGAGTTGCTGTTGCTTCAGATCCTTGGAAGTATTTGGTGGTGTCAGTGTTTTGGATTTAGCCATTGTAATAAGTGTGCTGTGGTATCTCGTTGGTTTAATTTGTAAATCCTGGTGACAACTAATGTTGAACAGCTTTTCTTATGCTTATTTTCCTTCTGTGTATCTTCTTTGATGAGGCATGTATGTGGGTCTTTCTCCACTTTTATTTTTTTAAAGATTTATTTATTTATGCATACAAGAACTGGGGTACAGGCCAGAGATGCGGGGCGTGAGAGAGATTCACCAGAAACAGAGTTGGGAACAGAACAGGTGGATTGACTGAAATACACTGCTGAGGGGAGCAGTGGGTGAGACAGGAGAGGTCTGCCGCTCCATGTGGGTTTCTCCCTGGCAGGCCAGGAATTGAACCCGTGCTGCAGAGGCTGCAGACAGCTTCACAGTGCAGCGCTCAACCCGCTGTGCCATCGGGGAGGCCCTTGCCTTTTTACTTTCTAAGCAACGCCTTTTGCAGAGCAGAATTTTTAAATTTTATTTAGTCCAACTTAGTCTCCCACAGCTGTTACAGAATCAGGTTTGTCCTAAATCCCAGATTCTGTGTCAGCTTGGACCAAACTATTTGTACCTGGTCCGGACCAGCAGCATCCAACACCCAGGCTGCATCCCAACCGACTCCCCAGAAACATGGCCCACACCTCAGCACCTTTCAAGCTCCCAGGTGGTTTGGTGGGTAGTAGGCCAGGGACCACAACTTGACATGCTGGTCACAATCTTCAAGTTGTTTTCCCAAATCATTGATGACCAAAATGATTTTTTTTTAAAGATTTATTTATTTATTTTTACAAGCACTGGGTGCAGTCAGATGCGTGGGAGGCTGAGAGAATTCACCAGAGCCAGAGCAGGGAGCAGAACAGGCAGAAGGACTGAAGTACACTGCTGAGGGGAGCAGCGGGCGCTGCAGGAGAGGTCTGCGCGCCATGTGGGACCCTCGCCGGTGGCCGGGGATCGAACTGGCGCTGCAGAGGCTGCGGGCAACTTCGCAGCCCAGCGCTCAACCGCTGCGCATCGGGGAGGACCCCAAAATGATTTTTAATAGCTCATCCTTTCATTCTCCAAGGTAACTCAGATTGGACAATGAAGTATGTGGCTGTCCTCTCTCAGGAGACTCACAGGATTATCTGGTTTTTATACTGTAATTAGTTATATATTCAAATAATAGGCTCAGCAGGGTTTCCGTCAATCTCTAGACACCTTTTCAAGTGAAATTTCTTTAAATAGGGTCTCCAGTGCAAGCCCAGCTCACTGCCTAGCTTTATAATAAAGTTTCATTGGAATACCGTCACACCCACTCATGTACTTAATTGTCTGTGGCTACTGTCCGCCACAGTAACAGGCTACATCGGTTGCAACAGAAACCATATGGTCCATAACACCTAAATTATTATCTAGCCCTTAAAGAAAAAGTCTGATTTTACCTAAAGTTACAGCATGGAGTCTAATTGTTAAGTTACAGTATGTCCCTGGGTATCCCATCTGTTGGTGTAACAGGGTGGTCCCCAGGAAAGGGGGAGGTTCCCTGCCCCACCCAAGGGAGGGTGGAGCTGAGCAGGGAGAGGAGAGGATGCAGAAGAGACTGAAGAAGGAAGCAGGATGGAGCCAGGAGACCTGGAGGAGGCACATGGAGCCTAGAGACACGTGAAGAAACTGCGCTTGTCTTTTGGTCGTGGACTGGGTGACACAGATGTGGGTGAGACCCGTGGGGAGGTGACAATGGCAGCTTTTATCTTGATGTTGATTTTGCTCTTTTCCTTCTGGGCTTGTCTGGTTGTTTCTGACCCTTTTCTGTGGGTCCCCACTGGAACGTGCTTTAGACTCGTGGCTGGCTTTGGGGCCTTGCTCTGGGCCATTCCCACATGGATGGACTTTTACCCACGAGGGGACGGGTAACTTTGGGTGCTTCATTTAGAAACTAGACTCTTTGCCTTTCCTGTATTGTTTCCTAGTTTTATTAAAGTTCCTTCCCATTAAAGTCTCCTATGTTTTGTGTTAATGCAGCGGATGGCAGAACCCATTTAGAATAGGCAGGTTTGCGGGGTTTGGGCTGCCCCTCTCCCTGTCCTATAACATTGGGACACACTGGGGTGGAGACTTTTCATTTAGTGTTGCACTTTCAGCAGAGGGGTCCAGGGGTTGCTGCAGTATGACGGGAGGGTCAGTCACCAAGACCTTTCTCAGTTTCCAGGATTTGACGGAAGCACTCACAGCGTCTAGAAGCGCCGTTAGAGACACAGTCTGTTACGGTGCAAGGATGCAGGCTAAAATCTGCTCAGGGAGTCGGCACTTTGTTTTTTGTTGTGGTTTTTTTTTTTACATATTTTATTTATTTTAAAGATTTATTTATTTATGCATACAAGAGCTGGGGTACAGACCAGAGATGCAGGGCATGAGAGGATTCACCAGAGACAGAGTGGGGAACAGAACAGGCAGACTGACTGAAGTACACTGCTGAGGGGAGCAGCGGGTGAGACAGGAGAGGTCTGCTGCGCCATGTGGGTTGCTCCATGGCCGGCCGGGGATAGAACTTAGATTGCAGAGTCTGTGGATTGCTTCATAATACGGTGCTTAACCACTTGCACCACCAGGGAGGTCCCGGGAGTCAGCAGTTTGGACAGAGTCCAGGAGACACCAGGCATAAGTTTCCAGCTGTCCTCTCCCAGCGGAGTTGTGGGAACAGTGCTGACTTCTCCCAGCGGCAATGCCTGGTATCTGCATGGCACTTTGCCAGCCGGGGAGACTCACCCAAGCCTTAATGGCCAGGGAATTTATTGTGAGGGGCAAGAGGTAGGGAGTAGTGACATGGACATGGCTGGCTGGCTGCTTGCTTCGCTAACCTTAGTCATTCAGTCTCCCACCTTTCCAGGGGTCAAGCTGGAAAGGAGAGAAAAGTGGGAACCAAGATCCAAATCATAACATCACTCTATTAGCACAGACTATCTGGAATGGTCCAAGGCCCCCAAGTAAATAAATACACTGTTAATAGGCAGAATATGCCAGAAGCTTAGAGTGTCTTCCCTAGAAGCTGGTCAAGAGCCAAGCCTTTTTTGAGAATGTGCAGGGTATGGACAACCCAGACTTGCTGAGTTAATCCTTGACTACACACTTCCTCTTCCTGGGCAGAGCTGCCTGGTGAGGAATCCCAGGTGACTGGCTCCTGCCTTCACTCAGCAGGCTCAAGGGCCAGATAACAGGTTCCAGTCCTGGCACATTAGGCCCACCTGCAGCTCTGAGTCCATGCCCAGTATTCATTCACTCCAAGCTCATTGACTTGGAACCTCTAGGGGTGGAGCTGGACATCAATATTTTTAATTTTATCCCTAGGTATTCAAATTGAGGCAGGTTTAAAAACCACTGGGTATAGGCCTTGGAACCACCCCAAGTGGACAGGATGGAAATACATATTTTAGAAAGGAAATGAAACACTTGAGGGTGTTCTCCCTGCAGGATCAAGTTGGCCTGGGGATACCAGCAAGATTAAGCCTGGGGGGTAGTATAGGAACAAAGGCGCAAGTTAATATAATTAGCTCAAACTTGGCATCAGAAGGGAAAACAGGCTGGAAGGAGAGGCTGCAGCCAAATCCTCCAAAGCTTTTAGTGCCTTTGGCCTTCATTTTGTGGCTAATGGGCATCTACTTAAGCTTTTTAGCACAAGGGTGTGGCAGGCTCTTAGCTGTGCTTGGAAAGGCAGCAGGACTGCAGGATGAGGGGAGAGAGGGGCAGCAAGGGCTATAGGGAACTTTTGAGCAGTACTAGCAAACTGGATGGTGGGTAGATGAATTGAGTTGGTTTAAGGCAGGGATGTGTCACGCTTTAAAATCGTGTTTAAACTGCTTTAAACATGGACACATTTAAAAATTACATTTTCTAGGGCCTCCCCTGGTGGCGCAGTGGTTGAGAGCAGCCTCTGCAGCGCTGGTTCGGCCAGTGGCGAGGGTCCCACAAAAAAAAAAAAAAAAAAAAAAGAATTCCATTTTCTAGGCTCAATTCTTCTATTTATGCAAAGTTCAAAAACAGACAAAGCATCTGGAATATGTAAGGTACTCTGACCATTCCATGAGAAGAAGAGAGCACAATTTAAAAATGGGCAAAAGATACAAATAGACATATCACAAAAGATCTACAAATGGCATCAGCTCCTGGAAAGATGCTCAATGTATTTGTCATAAGGGAAATGCAAATTAGACCCACGTTGAGACACTACTCCATGGCCACTCAGATGACTTACCTGCAGACTGCCCATGCAGAGTGTTGACCAGGATGTGGAGTGGCTGAAACACTGCCTGTGGGAATGGAAAATGGAAAAAGCCACTCTGGAAAACAACTTAGCACTTTCTTATAGAGTTACACATAAATTTCCCTAATAACCTGGCATTTCCAAGAGAAGTAAAAACATGTTCGCACAAAAACTTTATCGTATATGAATGTTCATAATGCTTTTATTCCTAATAGCAGACAATGAAAACAGCTCCGATATCCAATAACTAGTGAATGTATGAACAAATCGTGGATGAACAAATAGCTGCGCAGTGAAATACTCTACCTGGCAGTAAAAAGGAATGAACTAAGGATACATGCAGCAACAGGGACGCATCTCTAAAGTGGAGTGCTAGGCAAAAATAAAAAGGAAGGAAACTTGCCAGACACAAAAGACTACCTGCTCTGGGATTCCAGTTACATGGAATTCTAGAACAGGCAAAATGATGGTGAGCAGGGAAAAACGGTGAATGGTTTGTCTGAGATTGGAACTGGCAAGGAGACTGATTACAAGGGGCCCAGGGGAACATTATGGAGTCATGGAAATGTTCTACATGACAGTGGAGGTGCTTTATACGATGTGTGTATGCATCAACATTCATTTGCACACATAATATTGATATGCTTTTTTTCTGTGCAAATTATATTTGAATGGAGCTGATTAAAAAGAAAACACCAGGGCCTCCCCGGTGGCGCAGCGGTTGAGCGCTGGGTTGCGAAGCTGCCCGCAGCCTCTGCAGCGCCAGTTGGATCCCTGGCTGCCGGGCGAGGGTCCCACATGGCGCCCAGACCTCTCCTGCCGCCCGCTGCTCCCCTCAGCAGTGTACTTCGTCACTCTGCCTGTTTTACTCCCCGCTCTGGCTCTGGTGAATTCTCTCACCCTCCCGCACTTCTGACTGTACCCAGGGCTTGTGTAAATAATCTTTAAAAAAAAAGAAAACACCAAATTCTTCTTACTAGTGCAGGTCAGAACAGTGGTCCCCACTTGGGGAACAACTGACTTTAGGAGGCACAGGCAGCCCGCTCGAGGAATCTGCCTTAGGTGGCCACCTCACAGGTGCATACCTCGGTGGAGAGTCATATGCTCAGGATGTACGCACTTTTTACTACAGGTAAATTACACCTCAATTTAAATTTATACCTCAAATTTTAAAAAGTAGAAATCCTAGAAGTTGGGATTTAATTGCCCCAGGGACATGGACAAGCACTGTTACATTTTATAAGCTCCGAGGAGATTCGATGGTTCTGTTGTGCACTGTTGAGAATCACAGCTTTTGGGGACAGGAAGGAGTCCAGCGTTTTCTGAGTGACGGGGAGTATTCTGATGCCACTCTGCATCTGCGGGAGGGCACTCAGCTCAGCTTGGGCTGTCAGGGAATGTAAGGTGAGTGTGGGAACTTCCCCACGGACACACAGGAGACTCCAGGGTGGGGGGCTGCTGGCAGCCTGATTACCTGCTGAGCACTCTCTGGAAATACACACCTTGAGGAGTTTGCTTCTGCTCAGACTCCTTGTCCTACTCCTAGGGCAGGATGGCAGCGGATGACAGCTCGCAGGACACCTTGCGGCGCCAGTTCAAGGCCATGCAGGAGATGCAGCACAAAAGGTTGCAGATGCAGATGGAGAAAAGGAAGGAAAAGGAACTGAGCCTCAAAAGCAAAGCTGATGACAAAGAGGAGTCCTTGGAGATTTCCAGTGGCCTCAGCCTTCTCCAGGCCGGGGAGCAAAATTTGAAAAATGGCTTTGCACAGAGGTAAGTGCAAGCCCTCCCTCCTCGGATTCTGCAGGGAGAGGGCAGTGTGGGAGAAGGGTCATCGTCGTCCGGTTGACTACATGTGTGTCCCGAAGCTGAGTCAGAGCTTTTGACACAGCTCGTTATTGAAGACTCTGGCAGCTGATAGTAGAGCTTGACTCCCGAGACATGATTTGAAATGAAACATATTTAGAGACCATTTAAAGTCAAACTGAATTTTTTAAAGTCACCAAGTTGTAGCTTACTCACTTTCATTTTCTTGTGCAGTTTTGAAAACTGTGTTTGACTGACTGGTGGATCCTCCGTGACCCCACCACCAGATCTCAGGGACTGGTCTCCTGAGCCAACTTCCCTTCCTTGACTCACAACCACACCCACACATGCCCGCCCTCAAGAAGCCATTGGTGGGTTCCTTACCTTTTTTATAGAAAGGGACAAAGTTAAAAGGAATCCAGAAGCTCCTCATTTTTTTTCTAAATTCCATGATGTCAAGCAGATGCATATTGGTTTTTACTGGTTGTTAGAAAGTCTGTATTGATACATAGTCTCTGCTAATCATGTAAGCAACAGATTTAAATTGTCTTTTTGCTTCTTGTTTTGCCCAGAATCTATTTTCTCCACTTTCAAATCCTACTTGTTATGGTTTATCAATCTTCAAAATGTTCTCCCTAAAAATACGAATTGGGAAAAAAATAAGGATTTCTCAATAAATGAAAAATATTCATATGGTTCCTAATATTATCTCTAAGTTAACTCTAGACCAGTTTCCAGGTGATCTTTCCCCAAAACTGGACTTGGTAGAGACTTGAGTCATTGGTGGAATAATAACGACAACAAATGTAGTAATAACAGCTATTCCTAATTATTACCGTTTCCTATGACTTGCATAACTTCTTTGCTCCCTGAACAGCTATCCCTAGGGAGCCTGCTCTGCGCCGGATAGCAAAGTGGTCACAGACCCAACAGTTTTTTGTGTTTTGAAGTGTTGAAAAGAGCCTTGCAGGACAACTTGTAATACACAAAACCAACTATCTATTGTATTCCAATTTCCTGTCCAGTTTACTATCGTTTTTTCCTAAGTATCACTTTGGTTGCTTTTCACATACTTTTATGTATATATTGCTTTTGCAGTCAATCCATTCTAAATGCTTCTAAAGGATTTCTTCTTAAGTCATAAATGATTTAGAAATGCATGGTGTTTTTAGTCCCCCAAAATCAATATATTTGGGGCTTTGTTTTTTATTTTATATATTTGCTGTCTTTTCTACTATTGATTTCTCATGTTAGTCAATTGCCATTAAAGAAAATGGTCTGTATGATATCCATTATTGGGGATTTGCTTAGGTTGCCTTTGAGTCTGTCATATAATACATCTTTATATCTGTTCCATGGATGCTTGAAAGGAGTATGAATTCTGAGTGGAGCATTTTATATAGCTCTCTGTTAATAAACAGTGCTTTTCAGACCTTCTTTCTACTTTCAGGTATGGTGTGTATGTCTGTACGTTGTCACTTACTTTTCAGAAGAGTGTTAAAATCTGCTTACTGAGGTTCCTCGATTCCTCCTTCCTGTTGTATACCTCAGTCCTTACCATCAACCAGGTACAGCAAACCTGGGCAGTGGAGGCCTGACCCTGGTCAGCTGGTGCTGTGACTCCGCCTTTGCCTTGCAGGGTGCTTGAAGATGAGATTGAGCAGCTTCGAGATCAGCTCAGGGAAACAGTGGATGAGAATGGGCGATTGTATAAGTTACTGAAAGAAAGGGACTTTGAAATCAAACACCTCAAAAAGAAAATAGAAGAGGACAGATTTGCCTTCACAGGTCAGTCCTCCATCGCTGCAGCAGCCCCTGCCCCAGGGCCCAGGTTGGCTCACGATCTGCCATTGAGCCCACCTGACAGGGCAGAAGGCAGGTGTCCAAGGGCCAGCTATGGTTACACTCATCCAGACCAGTCTGGAATGAGGGAGAGGGGCTAGGAGGAGAGCAGGCCAAGGGAGCCAGCACACGAGGAAATGAGAGCGCAAGAGCACCAGGAACTGGGGGCAGCAGGCGGGCATTCAGGCAGAGCAGGTGACCCAGCTGGCCTCGCGACATGGGGCCTCCATGATGTCCACAGCCTGCTCGGTGGACCAGCAGAGTCCATCCTCTCTTGGTCCCCCTTTTTCCCAAAATAACCTAATAAAGGGACAAGGGAGCCAAATGTCCACCTTGATGCTCATGATGCTTGTCTCCCTTTGATAGCCCTTCGATGCAGGTCTGTGCCAACCTCAGCCTCCTGATGTGTCCTCTAGCTGGCCTGGCCAGCAGCAGCAAGGCTGGCTGCCTTGATTGGAAAGCCATCGGGTACCTTTGTTTCCCTTCCACCAGCTGCCTTTCTGTCTTGTTCTGAGTGGCCCCATAGTCATGTTAAAAAGTCGGCCTGAGAAGGTATCTGCCACTGTCCTGCTGTAGCAACCTTGCAGGCCATCTGACAAACCTGCCCTCCAGACAGGACGAGGGCCTCCCGGGCTATACTGTCAGCCAGTGGCCAAGCGGAGCTGGCTCCCACCTTCTGCACGGCCCCTCTCCAGGCGACGTCCCCCATGTCCATCCCACCAGACACCTCTTCTGGAGCCTCCTGTCCTTTCCCACTGCGCCCCAGCAACTCTGGCCTCCTTGATGTGCCTCCGACACTCCATGCAGCGCCACGGCTTTGAAAGCCCCAGCGCCGTTGGTGGTGCGGCGTAAATTTGAGGTGTGGGCCTATGTTTTTAATTGACACCACCATTTCGTTTTAGGGACGGCCGGTGTAGCTGGGGATGTGATTGCCACCAAAATTGTTGAGCTGTCTAAAAGGAACCGGGTGCTGATGGCGGAATCAGAGGGTGCGAAAACCAGAGTGAAGCAGCTGACCAAACGCATCCAGGAGCTGGAGCGGGAAGTGAGGGGCCTTGGTCATTCCTGCCTCCTGAGGGGACACTCTGGACCCTGGGCCACTCCTTCAGAGAGGAGAAGCCACACTTAGAGGCTTTGGGTCCTTCTGAAGTGTTTGTGGGCCCGTGTGTGCATTGAGGCCCATGGTCTTGTCACATCTGGAGAGGGGCGGAGTGTGGGAACAGAGGGAGCAGAGGGTGTGCGAGGCAGCCTGGTGTCGTGGCTAAGGGTGCTGACCTGGAGGCCGACTACCTGGGTGGGAGCCTCAGCTGGGGCACTGATTCGCCTTATAACTGAGCAAGTTCTAAACTCTTCCTCATTTCCCTCCAGCTGCCACTGGGCAGTAATGATAACGCTCACCCTAAGGCTTTCTGAGGATTAACTGAGGTAACCTTGTAAAATGCTTTGAATAGTAGCCAGCACATGGTAAGGACTAGTAAGGGTTTGTTCAATAAATTAACGGGGTTCCTGCCAATTTGAAGCTCGAGCTAGAAGCATTCCACTAGTCGGTCTCACTTTACTCCATCTTCCCTTTTTGTTGTCCCCTGCCCCCCCACAGTGAATCACAGACCCCTCCAGTTGAGCAGAGCCAGGGCCCCAGCAGCTCATGGTCCCCGAGGAGCTAGAATGGCGTCCATGTGCTGGAGAAGTCTATGTAGCTTCTTCTATGGCTGAAGGGGCTGAGACTGGAAGAGGTTAAGAGGCTTTCTCAAGTCACACAGTGTGTGGTGCCAACTTTCAAATCCAGTTTTGTTGCTTTCCAAAATCCCCTCCATCATTATAGTTGGCAGTGAAACAGAGCTTTATGCTAAACATATTTTTCTGGAACCATCCCAGGCTCTGTGATAGACCATGGGGAAACAAGGTGTCAAAACAGTCATGGTCCTTGCCTTCCCGAGAGATAGCCCTGCACCCAGGGCCTCTCAGAGGAGGGAGGGGGTGTGTACCGTGGAAGGATGAGAAGGGACCAGACGCCAAAAGGTGGATGAAGGGCTCATGCAGAAGGTCCAGCCAGTGCAAAGGCCCTGAGCAGGGAAGATGGCCAGGAAGGAGACTAGTGTGGCCAAGACTGGAATGAGATGAGGCCAAAGAGGTGGGAGGGCACACCATGCCCATCCTTGTCAGACAGGGCATGGTGTTTATGTGAAGAACAGTTGGGAAACCAGGAAAGGGCTGGTGGGCTGGTGGGTAGTGACCTTGGCCTCCAGGCTGTGAGCCATGTGACAGGTTCCTTGTGTCCTGAGCTGTCTCCTTGTCTGTGGCACAAAGCCCACAGTTCCTTTGCTCTCCACCCCCAGACGGTTGCTAGACCTGCAGGGTGCAGACCACGCTGCTGCATGATTGTTTATTACGCCTTCAGCGAACCCCAGGACAGCGCTTATCCTGTGACTGGGGAGTGAGGCAGGCAGACAACCCATTAACCCCGCTCCTATGGCAAAGCAGCTGGCAAAGGAGAGTGCCTCCACTGATGATCCTAAAGCGAACCCAAGGGGAATCCTAAAGTGAACCCAAAGGACAATCTCTGGGGACCAGTAACCACACATCTGACGCAGCCCCAGGGCGCTGGACTCATATGCTGCCATTGCTGGGCAGAGTTAAATATTAAGTTTGAGGTTTGCTTTTTCAGCTGCAGGCAGCGCCAGCCAGATTGCCAGCCAAGGGTGCTACCGAAGCAGGAGGGAAGTCGCCGAAGGCCCAGATGGGAGACAGAACTTTGGTACGACTTCTCTCTGGGGGGGTCTGAGATGCAGGCATCAGCTTGGGCCTCTGCTCCTCCGTGGGAGCATAGTGTCTCTGCCTGGGGTCCTGGCCTGCCCTGCGTGGCTGAGCCAGTGCCCACAGCCAGCAGGGAGCAGTAACTGAGTCTCTGACCTGAAATGGAGGCCTTGAGGTTCAAACTCTGCTTCTGTCCCCAGAGAAGGCTGTCAGGAGTTACCTGAGGGGCCTGAACTCTAGACCCTCAGGACCAGGAGTGATTTTGTCTCCTTAAGGCCAGTCTCGTGCCTGTTTGGTGCTAGGGAGGCAGTGGAGGGGCTCTGCCCTGGGCAGGCCTGACTGCATGTACTTCAGGGCTTACCCTGGCTCCCAGGGACATGGCTAAGCTGCCTCTGGTCTATCCAGAGCATTGAGCACCTCCACGTCCCTGACTGGAGCTTTCCCCGGGGAGAAGCTGCTTGTTCAATCACTTGTTGAGTCTGACAGAATTTTCTGAGCCCTGTGACAAAGGAAGCAAATACAGAGTATCTGTCCACAGGGGAGATATTGAAGGATGGAGGGGGATGGGGCCTTCAGACAGCCCCCAGGCTCTGAATTCACAAAGGGAGCACATCCTTCATCTGAGGCAACCACGAGGTGAAATGCAGGAGGGGATTTCTGAGGTACTTTACTGGAGAAGGTGGATGGAGGAGGGCCTTCCATCACGAACAGTCCAAGTCAAGCTCAAGGCTTGGAAGCACTCACTATTCCTGTTCTGCCTGCTGGCTGGATGTCAGCTGGATAACATTTGCTTGCAACCTAGGACCCAAGAGGGAGAAAGGGTAACTAACATAAGCCAAAAAACAAAAAAAAACAAAAAAACAAACAAAAAAACCAAACAAACCAAAAAACTGGTTTGGTCACCTATGTCACCTATGGAGGGAAACCTTAAATGGCAGCTACAGCAGGAGATTTGACTTTGTCCTGTGACTGCAGGGAGCCTGGGAGGTTTCTGGCTGAAGAATGGGTGATGGGCAGCAGCCTCAATTCATCAGCACCACGTGTTTTCCCCAGGCATCTTCTGAGCAGAGAGGGAACAAAAGTGATGTTCCCCCTCCTTAGACTGTTGGGGCAGCCCAAGCCCGAGCCGCGCTCAGAGGCCTGCAGGCTACAGCGCATTCCAGAGAGGAGCTGAAAGCCTCCCTCTGTGTGGTGCTTGGGGAGGCCTAGTGTGCCAGCATGGGCATTGTCCTCTCCTCGCGGACTGCATTTCTGTCATCTCCTCAAAGAAAACAGACCAGGCTCAGGAGGGGTATGCCCTTGCCCATGTCCCCCACAAGGCCTGTGGAATGTCACTCTGGGCAGAAATAGCTTTCCAGAAATGTCAGGGAGGTACGGCTGGCCCAGCTGTCCAGGAGGGGACGACCAGGCCTGCCAGGGTTGGAGGGGTAACGGCTACTCATCTTCGAGCGCGTGGCCGCTCACCGGAACACCATCTGACCCTCAGCCCCGCCACCAGCTGCCCACCCAAGCCAGGCTACTGAGCGTCACCGCTGTCAGACCTTCAGACGCATTATCCCATCAGCATCATTAGTTCTGTGGAGGCTGTATTACCTACCCCCAGTTTACAGATGGGAACAGCTCGAGAGGGCGTCACCACCTGGGTTCTAGATCCAATTCCAATCTGGGTGCTCTTTCCATGCTCTGGACGAGTCACAACAGTCGTGTCAGACATGCTATAGTCCCACAGTTTCCGCACCTCCACCCGTCAGGGCCGATGAGGGGGTCAAGGCACCGAAATGCTGGTAGGCAAGGGGTGTTGCTGCCCCACCAGGGCAGACTGAAAGCAGCTCGTTAGCAGGAGGAGGCCAGGCTTGTGTTTTTGTTTTAAGTTTTTTGTTTTTTTTTTTCATTTATACGATAGCTGGGGTACAGGCCAGAAGCGCAGGAGGGTGAGAGGAGCACTGCTGAGGGGAGCAGCAGGCGCGACAGGAGAGGTCTGCCGCACCGTGTGGGAATCTCTCTGGCTGGCCGGGAATCGAACCCGGCGTTGCAGAGGCTGCGGACAGCTTCACTGCTGCGCCACCCGGGAGGCCACATTTGTGTTTTATTTGAGTTCCCAGTTTGCAAGGTCTGTTCACATCCGTTATCCTGTCTAGCCTCTTGGTGGCACTGTGAGGAAGTGGAACAGGAAGTATTTGTTACCCTTTCCTGCCTTGAGGGAACCAGATGAGGCCAGAGTTTCTGGACCTGGTGTCCAGCTCTAGTTTCCCTGACCAGTGTTTTTCAGCTGGGTTGGCCAGAGACTCAGTGCTCCTCTCACCCTCCTGTGCTTCTGGCCTTTACCCCAGCTATTGTATAAATGAAAAAAAAAAAATCTTAAAAAAAAAAAATATATAAACCTGGCCTCCTCCTGCTAACGGAACTTTCCAGACCCCCTATAATTGGGTCTATCTTCACACTAGCATTCACAGGAGATTTTGTTTGTTCTCCCAAGAAAGCCACTGTAGCACCCAGCCTGCCCACCAGGTCTGCTGGGGCAGGAGCAGCGGCCTCTGCATCCACCTGGGAGCACGTTTCTGCTGCCCAGATGCCCAGACACCAGCCACAGCTTAAGAAGGAGACTCAGCCAGTGCAGGGGACCATCAGGTTCTGGGCACACTTAGGTCACCCCAGCCAGCCCTGTGCGTAGGTTGTCGTGCCCCCATCTTGGGACCTGGTGGAAGGAGTTTGAGTGGGCTGACCTTGGAGTCCTCAGGAATGTCTCCTGGAGAGAGACAGAGAAACGGCAGCATACTGAGGGAAACTTACATCCAACTAGTTAAAGTCAAGCATAATTTTGAAAATAAAATACATTGCCCTCAGTGTCCCCAGCAAGCACTTTTCATCGCTGCAGCCACTCTTCATACCATAGAAATGGAGTGTTTGGAAACAAAACTGAAACTTTATTTCTGTTCCATAAGCCCATTGTCATGGGCCAGGATGATGATTCTGGGGCGGGGAGAGGCCCTGAGTTAGGAGGGTTGTGGCCCTCTTGTCCAGCTGGCATTGCCTTGTGTGAGTGAACTAGTTCCCTCTTTATTTTGAGTGAAGATGGGTGAGCTGGGATGCCAGTCTCTGAGCATAGCAGTGAGCACCCACACCTAGGAAGTGTCTGGGACTGGTGGAGCCCATGGGCCCCCTCCAGATGCTCTCCCTCTGTGGCCACCGCACGCATCCATACTTGTATAAGCAACACTCTGAGCCCAGGCCTCAGCCCCCTGGGGTGGGCTGCCAGAATTCATGCCCATGCTCCACCTTTCCCTGCCAGGTACCCCTAACCAAGGGGGTCTTAACCCTCTGCCAGCACCTGCTTTGCCTCTAGGGGACTGACACTAGGACCTGCCTCACAGGGCTTTGTGAGCCTTCACTGAGCTGCTCCTGTCACGCACTTGGCACCGTAGCTGGCACATGCCTCGGTCATTGGGGCTAGCATCTTTATTACTGAAGTAACATGTGACCCTCCTCTCCTTCCCAACCAGCCAGAGACCCCGGTGGTGAAGGTCTTGCAGGACAGGCTGGCAGCCACCAACCTGAAAATGAGTGACCTCCGCAACCAGATCCAGGCCATGAAGCAGGAGCTCCGGATGGCCCAGAAGGTACCTCAGGGTCAGAGTTCAGGTCTTCTTTCTGCCCGTGGCTGGGACAATGCCTCCATTCAGGAGCAGCAAGCACTTGGCCTACGTGCACCTTGCTGCTTGCACTGGCTCAGGATCCATGTCCAGTAACCTCCTTCTACCAGCCTTTGATGCAGACCCATCTGGTGAAGAGGTTGCTGGCTGCCCCTGCATACTCACCTTCATGGTGCCCATCCAGCCCTGGACCAAGGAGAACAGTGCTGTCCACTCGGGAGAGTTCTTTCTCCTTTCCTTGTGCTGTGTACACCCCAAAAGATCTTAGGTCTTTCCTTAGTCAGCCACCTTGGACAAGGAAGGCTGCCAAGACCTGCCTCCTGCCCTCTGCCTGCTGTAATATTAAAAAATGAATAGGTTGTTTGTGTTTTAAAGGCCCCTTTCAAAGGCAATACTCAGAATTGGGACACAGGCCCAGCTGGTTCGTTATTTATTTTTATTTACATAGTGAATTCTCTGGCGTTTGTCTTCCCTGCTGGAACCACTCAGGCCAGCCAAGATTTCCAAAACAGTGTTCTATTGTGGAAACAAGCGCCCGAGACTGGGGCTGCTAGACCTAGATCGGGTTTCTGTGGGTTTCTGTGACAGTCTTCAGAGGGCCCAGGGCCTTGAGGTAGGGCCTAAACACAGCCCCTCCCACCCCGACAGCCACATTGGGGTGCCCTTCTAGAATGAGGTGTCCCCAGGTCACATTCAGTTTTGTCTGCCTCCTTGCTGCATTCAACTGGCCTCTGGTCCGTGGCTCTTCCCGAAGGGTGAGGCTGGTGACAGAGTGCTTTGTGCAGCATCCAAAATGACCTACCTCAGTTCTAGGTGACAGGTGAATAAGTTAAGGAAACAGGTATTGGCCAGCTTTGTGGTTCGCCCATCCCAGAATATGTTAAGAGCAGGGGGCCCCATCTGGGCATTGTCAGCATTTTCTTGACTGTTGGCAGCGCTGCCGAGAAATGCTGGGAGTGATCGCTTTGCTGCTTTCCCAGGGAGAACCGCTCTGGAGCTTGGTCAACCGGCCTTTGAGCTGCAGGGAGGGTCGTGAAGGAGGAGGCCAGGCTTCTGGGCGCCCCATGCACCCAGCCCTGTGTCTAGGACTGTGGGGGGACGCGCGCCCCCAACCCTACTGATGACCTTGCCTTTCTCAGGTGCTGGTCAGTGAGGTCGGGGAGGATGTGAATGTTCAGCAGCTCCTGTCCTCGCCGGGGTCCTGGCGGGGCCGAGCTCAGCAAATTCTCGTGTTGCAGAGCAAGGTGAGTACTGAGTCATCAGGCTTCCCTGCCCCTGAGCCATGGAAAGACCCACCCTGACCCCCACTGGAGACACAGGACCCAAAAGGACACACAGGACCCAAGCAAGGCCCGTGGGCTCGCAGGGTGTACTTGCAGGCTGCTGTTGTGCTTCCTCCCCAAGCAGCCTGACTTTAATTTGTTATTTAATGAACAAGCATTTACGTAACACTTACTGCGCGCCAGGCCCTGGTGCTTCACAAAAGCCAAAGCCTTTGATTTATTTTACTCCAGGCATATTTTCCCTAGTTCACGTAAATTTGCATGACTGTTGTATTTGTAGGCTTTTTCCAGTTATGTCCAGATGCTTGTCCTTTTTTAATTACCCAATAAAAAGCCAGCCTAGCCTTGACTCCCTCTTTTGTTCTAAACATCTTGGTCTCCTCTGGAGGCCAAGCGGCAGGACTCCCGAGCCAGGCTGCTTGGATTCACATCCCAGCCCTCCCTTCGGGCCAGTTACTTCACCTCTCAGTGCCTCCGTGCCCTCCCCTGTGTGCTGGGAGGATGACCTCTGCACAGGGACGTCGGGAGCACTGAATGAGTACAATGCTCTGCCCCGCTACTGCCATGCGAAGGTCAGCTGTGGTTATCGCTGCCCCCTTTTCCCTTCAGACCAAGAAACGCAGGAATAAGTGTGTAGCTCCCACTGTTTGCCAAACATGTCGCCTCCATCCCAGGGGAGTTTGGGTTCACAGGTCCTGGGTGACCTGAATCCACATGGCCTCCCTTGGGATCTTTGAAGCCAACAGGGAGAGGGGGGTCTCAAAAAAACTGTTTAATGACCAGTGTCTTAGAGTTCCAGAGGCCTGAGCTTCAGCCTGGTCTTTGCCATTGATCTACAGGTTCTGTAATCGTGGGCAAATCATTTCCTCTCTCTGAGCCTCTGTCTCTTCATGTGTAAAGTGCATGTACCGGTGCCTGCCCTCTAGGGTTATTGTGGGGCTGAATGAAAGAACATTTGTCAAGGACCCAGCACAGTTCCTGGCCATAATACGCACTCGACACGTTATTTATTGCTTTTGTTGTTAAATTGTATAAATAAATGATTGAAACTACTCCTGATTTCTTTCATGTTTCAAGAGTGTAAGAATTACCCCGCTGCACCGCATGAGGGTGCTGACACGTGCTTTCATGGCCAGGCAGCTGCTCTTGTTAGAGAGCCTAGTGAATTTGCCCTGACTCAGGTTTTTCCAACTTTGTTCCATCATTAGTTGTGTTGGCACAGAAACCAGGATTAGGAGGACTTTGGAGTTAGCCACTTTACACCCTGTGTGATAAAGCTTTGATTTGTGGATTGTCATCTACCTGCCTGTCTCCAGTGGCAGCCTCCATGCTGAGGGCTTCACCTGGCCATCTTGGGGTTTCTCCAAGTTGCCTATTGCTAAAACCACCTGTCTAATGTTCAGGGCCCAGCCTATTCCTTGGAGCTCTGACTTGTGCACTAGAGGGGACTCTAAGATCTGTCATTCTCAGAAGCATCTTATGGAGTCACAGGCTGAGCCAAGTCCAGGATACTGATCCTCAGAGCACCGTCATGCAGGGGTGTTCCACATGATGGGCCTGAGGTTCAGAGAAGTTAAGTAACCTGTGCACAGTTACACAGCCAGTGAGGCTTGGAGCTGACCTCTCAGTTTCCAAGCCCCGCTGTCCCCCTGCAGCATCTTCTGCAAGTGTCTGGGAACGGTGGCCCCCTTGAGGAGCCCACCCCATCTTGTCTTAGGTGGTCTGTCAGAGTTCTTCCTGTGCTGAGACTGGCTGTCCCTTCCCTCCCAGGTCTGGGTCTCCCCCCGCACTTCAAGGTGGCCCCTCTGAGTGCAGACTGTTAGGGAATGAGTTTTGCCATCCTCAGGTTCGAGAGCTTGAGAAGCAGCTGGGACAGACCCGGAGCCGGTCTGCAGGCGCGATCAGTGACGAGCTGCCCATCTACCCAGACCCAAGGAAGCTGTCTGCACAAGAGAGAAACCTCCTGAGGATCCGCACGCTGGAAAGGGAAAAACAGGAAAGCTGGGAGGTAACGCGTGCCAGGAAGGCGGTCGGGCTGGGGCACAGGGAGATCAGCACACCCCTGCGCAGGCCTGAGCCCCTCTCCGTGTAGGTGGCAGACTTCTGGGACTGTGGGTCGCCTCTGTCCCTCGTGCCCCGTCAACCCAGTTTGAGCGGCCTGACGGGGTCCTCACGCCGAACCCATTTCATGAACATTGGTTGGGCGGCCCCCTCCCCGCTGCTTCGGACACATTGGCTCTGAAACTCACGATGTCAAAGAAGAGAGGGCCTTGGCCCCAGAGGGGTGATAGGGCTGGACGCACTTAAAGGAGAGTTGCAGGAGGCTGGGCTCAGCGCCAGGGCTGCCTCTCAGCGCTGTGCTGCGGGCGCCAGAAGCCCAGCTACCAGCTCAGGCAACAGAGGGCACTGACTGGCCCCAGGGATAGACAGTCCTAGGGGGCTGTAAGTTGTGGAAGGACGTGGTCCGCATGCATTTGGGGTGGTTACATAGTCAGGCTCGGGGGATAGGTTGGAGGAGGCATGGGAGGCAGATGTAGTTGTCCCTGTGAGACTCGACCGAGGGCCTGGGACTCTGAGGGTTAACTCTATAGGGTGCGCGGATTTGGGACTCAGAGTGGGAGGGATGTGGAGGACTTCTAGTGAGTGTAGAGGGTGTCGAGGTGAGACAGGGGGTAGGATCAAGGGAGATGGGGAGTTGAGATTTTGAAGTGTTGGCTGTGAGTGCAACTGGCTCAGGCTTGTGTGCCACAGGGAACCCCACAGGTTGAAACCGTTGGACTGACTGTACTGCGCAGTGCAGTGGAAGGAGAGGATTCCCCAGGGCCCTCCTCTGCCAGGCACCCCTGAAAGCCTGGAGGATGTGGCCAGCAGAGCAGCAGGGGAGTGCTGGCTGCCTCCCTGCAGCTAGATGCGGCCCTACGGATTCAGCATGATTTAGTATTTTTCATGCCTGGAATTCACTTCGCCAAGGACCTGAAAAAACTTGTTCAATGATAATTAATCCTCAAGACCAAATCAGATGTCACCCTCTGCCCCAGACCCTTCTTGCTCTCTCGGTCACGATCCTGAGGGTTTACCTAGCCTGGGCCTCTGACCTTGCCCCTGACCTTGCTCACTGCATTCCTGCCACACATGTTCTACCCCAGGGCCTTTGCTCTCACCCTCACCTCCTTCAGCCTCTGGCCAGATGTCATCTTTTTAGCGAGGCCTTTCCTGATCATGCCATCATCCCAACCTTTCTCCCCATTTTTTAATTAGGCTTTGTCACCATTTGCCATCATCTGTCTCCCCTACTAGGATGTCAGCTCCTTGGGAAAAAGGACTCTGTTTTGTTCTCTGCTGTATCCCTAGCACCTATAACAGTGCCCAGCACATAGTAGGCCCTCGGGAAGTATCTGGGAAGGAAGGAATGGACGAGAGACTGCAGAGGTGTGAGGTGTGTGTCCTACATGAGTTTCCAGCTTGAGACTTACCAAAGTGAGGTGCAGCCTGGGTGGTGTGCCGGACATGCTGGAGGAGAGGAGGGATGGAGTGGCAGGTGGAACCTCCCTTTTCATTCTAGCTCTTTTGGGGTGAGTTTAAACCCTAGACTAAGTGCTGCTCACCAGAGTGTGGCTTTTCTCCCTTCCCATCTCGGGGGTGGGACACACGAGTCAGCCTGTGCTTTCCTCATGTCTGACGCTGGCCACGCAGGGGCAGCTGCCTGGAGGCCTGCGTTCTTGGCCGAGGGGAGGGGCACTGTCAGCCACTGCTGATGCCTGCCATGTACTGAGGCCAGGGTGGCCGCAGCCTGCCTGATGGCCCCAAGAGACCCAGGCCAGGAGTCCGGGCCCCGGCTCTACTGACTTGCTCTGTGACCTTCAATGAGTCTTCCCGCTTCTCTGGGCCTCCCCAACAAGTAGAGACGAGAGACCAGAGGTGACCGAGCTCCTGCTCAGCCCCGCTGCCCATGACTGTGTGTTTTCGTTACAGAAACTTGTAGGTGAGCGTGATGCCCTGCAGAGAGAGCTTGAGGAACTGAAGAAGAAGTTTGAGGGCGTGAAGTCCCGGAACAAGGTGCTGTCAAATGATGTGAAGACCCTCAGGAGTCAGATGGGCACCCTAGTGGAGAAGGGCCGGCACGATGATGAGCTCATTGATGCCCTCATGGTACGGCCAGCCACTGCAGGGGGGCGAAAGCCAGGGCCTGGTCCCCCAAGGCTGGACCTCCCCCTACCCCAGCCCTAGCCACAATGAGCCCTCACTAGCCCCAGAATGCACCTGCATAACCCAAAAGTCCACAGCCTCCAGATGGACCCCAGGCCAGGGACAGGAACAGCGTGGAAGCTCCCCAAGGGGTGCAGGTTGTGTGGTGCGGGATTGGTGCCAGCTCAAGCTGCTGGGCCTGTGGACCCCAGAGGAGGAAGAAATGGATGAGGGGGAGGAAATGGATGGCCCCTGGCTTACTCTTCATCACGGAATGGAAGGGACAACTGGGTGGGCCAGTACAAATTCTTGCCTGTGAGATACCAGAGAGCTCCTCCCCTTCTGGGCATGGGTGGCGTCCATAGTGGTAGTTCATTATGCTTAGGACAAACCCTTATTATCATGTGTTATAATCTCATTTTGTAGATAGGGAAACTGAGACTCCAAATAGTTAGACAAGTCCCTCAAGACCACACAGTGGAGGTCAAACCAGGTTAACCTGACTGTAAAACCTTACTCGATTAGCAAGTCCTCACTGCTTTCTTTTTTTAAGATTTATTTATTTATTCATACAAGAACTGGGGTACAGGCCAGAGGTGCAGGGAGGGGGTGAGAGAATTCACCAGAGACAGAGTGGGGAACAGAACAGGCAGACTGACTGAAATACACTGCTGAGGGGAGCAGCGGGCAAGTCAGGAGAGTCTGCTGTGCCATGTGGGTTGATCCCTGGCTAGGGATCGAACTCACGCTGCAGTGGCTGCGGATAGCTTCATAGGTTGTGTCTTAACCCCTTGCACCACCAGGGAGGCCCCCTCTCTGCTTTCCTGCCCCTCGTCTGTTCTCACTGGGACCTGAGGCAGCTCAGAGTTTTGGTCTCTGAATTCCAAGTTGTGCCCCATAGCCTCTTCTATATCGCTGACACGGTCCTTCCTGGTGGTCCCCTGGTGGGAAGCTTTTGCCCCAGGACTCTCCTGTGGGACTTCTCAGGGACTAAAGGATCCCTGGCTGGGGATCTAGGTACTGCCTTCAAGGGCAATCTCTCAACAGAGTGGAATAGGATTTCTTTGTATCCAAGTATCTCCCACTGACTAAGGGGCCAACTTCTGAACCACTTTCTGTGCCCTGAGAGCTCCTTGCATGTCCTCGGCCCCATCTCAGGGAGAAGGAAGTTAAGGCCAGGAAAAGGGTGTGGTCCCCACCTGCCTATGGGAACCCACCTGAAGGCAGGCAAGAAGGTGTTCCTCCTGCCTCCCAGGGGAACAGGTCCTATCCCACTGTTAGTTTCCTGCAAGAGCAGGGTGGGCCACTGGGAGCGGGGGAGGCGCGCTTCCCTTGTCCTGTCTTGCCCAGGGCCCATGGCTGACCCTCGCCTGCCCTGCTCTTTGCTCCTCTCAGGACCAGCTGAAGCAGCTACAGGAGATTCTGGGTAGCCTGAGTCTGCAGGAGGAAAAGACTCGAGCATCCCAGCACCGCCTGGACCAGCAGCTCAACAACGAGGCTCAGCGGAGCAGCAGCCTTGTTGCCCAGCTGCAGGCCATGGTGGCTGAGCGGGAGGCCAAAGTGCGGCAGCTGGAGCTGGAGATCGGGCAACTCAGTGTGCAGGTAAGTAGGGCGCTGGCCCGACCGAGCATTCATCTCCAAGCCCGAGCAAGTCCACCCATTCCCAGAGTAGGCTCAGTGGCTCCTTCTTTCCAGGGCATTTGCTCAGGCCCTACCACTTCCTACCTGCCTCTGCTTTGGCCCCCCTGCTTCCTTCTGGCTCCCTGGCTCTTCTGCACAGAACTTTCCTCTCTAAGGTACCAACCTGATGGTCTCCCCACTCTGCATAGAACCTGCCTTTGCTCTATCACCCATCCCCTCCCCCAGTCCTCAAGGGTCCAGGTTCCTGCCAGCTCACCCTCTTTGGCCCTCCCTGTGGTCCTCATCTTCATGATCCAAGATGGTGGTGACAGTGCCAGCCTTTCCATTTGTATTCCAGGCAGCAGGACGGCAGAGGAAAGCCACACTTCCTCATCCAGTTTGCTGAACACCATCTGACTGGCTCTTGCTGCCCCTCCTGCATCTTCTCTCCATCCCTCCCTTTCCCCCACACCCTGGCCAGTGGATGCTGCTTAGCATCTCACAGGCACTGCTTTCTCCTCACTCCAGGCCTGCGCATGCACCTTCTCTCCTCTCCCCCCCACCTCGCCAGCTGCCTTAAGGTCTTGCCTAGTCGCCGGAGCTGCCTGGACGCCCATTCTGTGTCATGTGGTGGTCTCGGGCATGCTCCTGACTCCCTGTGGATACCCGCGCCAGACTTTGTCGCTTTGTATAATCATTTCCCCCTTCTCTCCCGCCATGTCCCCTTGAGGGACATAGGCCTGGGGCCTCAGTGCCTGACACCAGTCACATAGTAGATGCCCACAACACGCTTGTCCAACGAGTAAGCTCCTGGAGATGTACGGCAAGCGCCCAAGCGCACAGTCCGGCCTGCCAGCAGTCAGCACTGTGGGCTCTGTGGCTCCTCCCTGTGGTGCTGGTGCTCGGAATGGGGAGTTGGTGACCTCCGGGAGGCTTCCTTGGCCAGCACATAGGGCTCAGTGACAGGGGAGCCTCGCAGCCGGGTTGACTAGTAGACCCAAAGGTGTGTCACAGAGCAGCCCTGCCTTTGTTCCAGGGACCCACGGCCCGGTCCGATGAGCAGGAGCCCAGGGCCCCTCAGCCCCGGCTTCAGGCCGGTGGTGGCAGGTGGTTCTGCAGCTGTCCCACCTGCCCCTGAGGCCAGAATAGCCTGGGGCCACAGGATGGAGTGTGGGAGAGAATGCTGAAGCCCCCAAGGCTGGGAGAATGTACGTGGCACTGAATGTGTCTTGCAACGTCTTGCAGTCCTCACCCTGCTTCCCACCCCAGGTTCCTGGGTAGCGAAGGTTGAAGGGGCTCACAGAACAGTCCGGCTTGCTCACCTCACCATGCTTCTGCTTCCAGGCACAAAGAGGACTGATTCTTGTTTTGTTTTATTTGTTAAAAGAAGACTGATTCTTATGTCATAGGTCACCAGCTGGTTGGGAGCCAAGCACTGCCCACCGGACAAGTCGGTGCCTGCTGCGGGTTTTCTCAGAATGGGTGGGGCAGGGGGACATGTCAAATTGTTTGGGTTCACGCCAACCCTCCATCCCTTGAGGGTGGCCTGGTCTGCTAGGGGGCTTCTAATGTTCCTTCTTCAGCCTGGTCTCATCAGCTGTTCTTCTAGAACTGGGAGGGGAAGTAGGAGGGAAGGTGCCTGGGAAGCCCAGCCTGCCCCAAGCCTGCCTGCCCTGGCTGGGGCCCTGCCAGCCTATCTGGCTCTGGGCGTCTAGAAGGTCCAAGTGTCTCCAGTGACAAAGACAGCTGGCCTCTGGACACACCTGGCTTTCGTCCACATGTGGGCCCACTGGAGGATAGAGGAGTCCGCCTCTGGTCTCCTCCTCCTCGAAGGTCATGTTCTTCCCTGTGGGACCTGAATGTAGAACAGCCAGTCACTGCCACCAGCGGGCTTTCTGAAGAGAGGCATTATTAGATGTCATTGTCATGCAAGGAGTGCCTTCACCAAACAGCCCTCGCTTTTCACTCCTGAAAAGAAGTCTCTTTCACATTCCCTGAAAGCCCCGAAATCAAGCCAAGCCCCCCTCCTGCCTTCTCCAAACCTCTGAGCCAAAGCCCTGAGAATTGAACCCATGTCTGTGCCCTGCAGTACCTTCGGAATAAAGGAGCAGGCGAGGGGTCCCGCGGGCCAGAGGTCAACCCCACCTACACCAAGTTTCCAGAGGACCAGGGCCTGACCAAGTCCCCAGCCTCAGCAGGCGATCAGGCTGGCAGGCTCGGATCGTCTCGGTAAGAAAAGAAATGGGGCGGAGGGCTTGGAAAGTGAATATTAATTATTCAGAAGAAAAGTTGTTTCCTGCTGCCTCTGATGGGAAACCACGGCTGCAATTTTAAGATGCCTGTGGCATTGTCCTTCCAATAGGAGTGCATTGCCTCTCGAGTGCATTAGCCCTGCGTCTGCGGGAAGGAGCCAGCGAGGCCCGATACTGCTGCTGCGAGAGCATAGGCTTGCAGCTCCCTGTAATGTCCTCTCCACGCTGGCCCCGAAATGCGCTTGCTCCCAGGATCCTCAGACCCGTGTTGGACTGTTCGAGGCTCTGCTGTCTCCTGGTTCTGTCTCATTTTGAGCAAACAAGAGTTCCTGGAAGAAGGGCAGCAGTTGAGAGGGTTGCCCTGCCAGGGCCACTGTGAGGGCCAGCACTGGCCACCTCCTTGTCCCCAGATCCCGCTGGCCCCTGCCCTCTCCCCCCACTAAGCACATGCAGAGGTGAGGCGCGGGCCCGGCCTGCCTTCCCTCAGTGACCAGCCCCTTCTGCCTCCGCACAGCTCGGTGACCAGCCTGGGCCACATGCTGGTGGAATCTGCTCTCACGTGGCCCTCCATGCCCAGTCCTCACAGGGCCTCACCCAGGTACGAACCCAGGACCCTGGGCTCCCCCAGTCCTTCCCATCCTTGGTTGCATTGTCATCCCATTAAAAGGAGGGGAAACTGAGGCCAGGCCAAGTCAGGGACCCTTTCAGGTAAACATAAAGACATGGCAGGTCAGGCAGGTCCAAGTGCCTTGTCCACCGTGGTACAGCAGAGCTGGAATGCAGAGCTGGAGTCTTTTTTTTTTTTTTTTTTAGATTTCTATTTATTTATTTATTTTTATTTTTATTTTTTTTTAAATAATAAATTTTATTTTTATATTCCCCATACAATTGCAACCCCCCCATTCTGACCCCAATCCCTCCCCTCCCGCCCCTACCCCCCAAAAGTGTCTCTGGTTCATAGTTTTTTGTTGATTTTGATTTTCACTTTCTTATAGTTATTCATTTTCCTGGTCCCTTATTTAAGTTTTCTAGATTCCTGCTATGAGTGAGACCATCCGGTATTTTTCTTTTTCTTTCTGGCTTATTTCGCTGAGCATGATCCCTTCCAGCACCATCCATGTTGCTGCAAATTGCATGTGTTTATCTTTTTTGAATGCTGAGTAATATTCCATGGTGTATATGTACCACATCTTCTTGATCCAGTCATCTATTTTTGGGCATTTGGGTTGTTTCCAAAGCTTAGCTATTGTAAACAGTGCTGCTATAAACATAGGGGTGCAGGTGCTCTTTGGAATTGATGTTTCTGTGTCCTTTGGGTAAATACCTAGGAGTGGAGTTGCTGGATCATATGGAAGCTCTATGTTTAGTAGGTCCAGAAATCTCCACACAAGAGCTGGAGTCTTGACCTCAGACCAGCAACCTACTATCCTTCCTGCAGCCACACAGTTAACACAGAGAATCTTCGTTAACTCAGAGAATCTTCCAGGGCCTGGAGCCTCTTACCTTCCCTTCCCTTCTCCTGCCCATTGAGAACCAGTCTCTAGGGGGAGAATTTCACGTCATACTGGTTCCCACTTTAAGTCACTGATATCCCCTCAGCTCACTGGCCCCCTCTTTCTTAATAGAATCAAGTCTCTGGACTTAAATGGACCCTTTGTTCTTCCTGCCAGCCTACAGACAAAGGCCAGTTTTGTCCTGCCCCTGAGCCCTGCCCACTGTCCATTGGAGCCATGCTCCTGCTGTTAGCCCCCGCCCCCACTTCTCAGACAGGTCAGCTCAGGTTCTGGAGGCCTCAGAGTGGCCCTCGACCCCCAGCTGCCCCGTGTGGGTCTGGGCCTCTGTAGGCTGCTGTCTCCCAAGGGACTAAGTAAGACACTTTCAACCTGACCATTGGCAGCCCGGGGACCATGGGCCAAATCTGGCCACAGCTGTCCCAGCCCTCAGCCTGGAGTCACAGGGCTTTTGGGAAAGAGTAGGCCAATTCTGAAGCATCAGGGTGCATGCCACGCTCTCACCCCATGGGAGGAGTGACAGGCTCTGTCTCTCTAAGGTTTTCCTGCTCTGTATTGGGAACAGGAAGATGGACAAGCTGGCCCCTTAATGTCCCTTTCAGGCCTATGTGGCTGTGACCTTTATATTCCACTGGGATGCATGAACTGGCTGCCCAGACTGCTGGTTTTCAAGCTTGCTTCTTGTTTCACAACACACAAGTATTTACTGAACCCGACCACAGGTGGGCCCTGCCCTTACAGATCTTACAGTCCCTTCCCATCGGTAGCAAGACAGACATTCATGGAGCAGAAGTGACCCCAGAGTGTGTCTGTCAGGGCTCGTGTGGTGACCGATAGGGCATCCGGGCCAGCAGCTTGCCTTTTCCTCTTGCTGCTCCTGCCCCATATGTGAGAGTCATGGAGATCACTAGGTGAGGGTCTTCTGAACTGCAGGGCACACAGACCAGCTGGCATCTGCTGATTAGATGCACATTACGATTCCATTACTGACGTCCTGAATTCCTAAAACACACTAAGTCAGTGCCAAAGCCACTGATAAGGTGACTGAACTTTGAGTAGCAAGAACATGGGGGCATCTGCTGTCCTCAGAGCCCATCTCAACCAACCCCTCATGCTCAGAAGGGAGGGCTGGGGCCCAGAGGGGAGGAGACCTGCCCAATACCCCAGACCCAGTCAGCCCTGGGCTCACATGCCCCAGCCTGGCCCTTCATACATGCCCAGCTCTGCAGCCTCCCTGTGTCATTGATGCTAGAAAAGCAAGCCTAGGGTCACCAGGGTCTACCAGGTAAAACAAGGGCAAGTAGAGAGAAACTTTGGGTTCACAATTGGGCTCTGGGGGGGTTGGAGTGGGGGCAGACCTACCTTCTATCCTGAACCCAGGCAGCAGGTAAGGGACGGGCAGGTAGGCGCAGTGGGCTGGCTCAGGGCTGGAGGAAACTGGCCACCTTATAAGAGCCAAGTGTCCAGACTCCAGGAAGGTGGGTTGGACTTGGGGCCAACCAGGAGATGCAGAAGGACAGCGGCACTGCCCACCTGGCATTACACAGGGCAGCCAGGCTTCAGGCCACACAGGTGCTGAGGGCTCTCCAGACTTCAAGAGCCCACTTCCCCAGCAGCCAGACTAATTTCAGGTCCCCAGTGATTGGATGGACAGTGGTGCTGATGCAGCTTTAGCCCTGCCAGAGTCTGGCTTTGGAGCCAGTGATGTGAGGTCTAGAGACTTCAACAGAGCCAGATATAGTGAGGAAGACTCGGGGGCTAGGAGGGGCTGGGCTGGCTTCCTTCTCCAGCTGTCTCTGAGGCACCCCATCACAAAGGTAAGTATACCTCTTCAGGTAACCCTGCAAATGACATCTGCCCTCTACCCCTACCTTGGCCCCCAGGTTCTCGGACTCCCCTGAACAAAAAGGCTGGCAGGCTCAGGTGACAGAGTTCAAGGCCCTCTGGCAGGCCACCGAGGTGGAGCGCGACCGGCTCACCGAGTTTGTCACTGTCCTGCAGAAACGGTAACTCGTGGCTCCTCAGACCACGGGCCTAAGTGGGCTGGGGGTGGAAGGCCTGGCACAAGGGCACCCTCTTGGCCAAGCGCCAGGCCTCTCCCACGAAGGGGTTCACTTTACCTGAGAGCTTGGTTCGCACAGTCTTTGTCCAGGACTTTCCCAGCCACACCTCATGTGCCCATCAAGCGCCCCACAATCCCGAGGCCTGACCACCACACTTATGGTTTGCCTCATCCTGTGTGCACCCAGTGGGACTGCCGCGTGCATGTGGGTGCCAAGTGAGAGTCTCGGTGGGAGGACGCTCAGGAGTAGTTGAACCAGGCAGATAACCCACCAATAACTAAAACTGATGATGAGCACGGTGCTACACTGGGCGCCTTCCGAAGGCTCAGTGAGAAGAAGATGCGGGCCAGACTGAAGTCTGGAATCCCAACAGCAAAAGAGCTGTTGACAGGTGGGGGTGCTGAGACAGCCCTGGGGAGAGGAGGGAAGCGGGCAGCCGAGGCTGTGCTCCAGGAGGTATGGTCTTCTCCACAGGGTTGTTGACAGATTTCCATTCAGATAAGTCAGTGTTCCTCTTTCAAGTGACCCTTTTGGCAAGACTTGCTGGTGCCCAGGTCAACACGGCCCCACCGTGTGACCTCCACATGGAAGAATACAAAGGACTCCACTGTGTTTCTGAAATGACAGGCCAGATCACATGTCAATCCGGGTTCTGGGATGACAGTGGGAAGGCAGATTTTTGGGAGGTGCCAGCAAGACTCTAAGGTGCAGGACGAGAACGGAGCCTGGGAAAGTGCAGAGACCTTGGTAGCGGGAACCTTGGGCACTGGAACCACACAGGCCCAGTGGTTTTACGCCAGTGCATTCTGGGAGAGGAGGTCTGGCCCGCATGGGTCGCTCACATGTCCCTCCCCAGACACAGGCCAGGAACCCTGACCAGAAGAACCCCCGGATACTCACAGAACAGCAGGGGCAGTTTGTCAAAAGGAAAAATGGCATGCAGTTACCAGAGAAGAACTGGGTGGTGGGGCCTGGGAAGTGGACAGCGGGTGGCTGTGCCTGAGCAGAGAGACACCTTCTCATGCAGTACGTAGAGCGGCCGGGGAGGGGGGGTGTGTAGATGAGAAAAGTAACATTAATTCCCTTTCTCTAGCTGAAATGTAATGGAAAATAGAAGCCTCTAGCCTGTCAGATGGCAGAAACACACTCAGCTCGGGCTTTCTCGCCCCTTCTTGAGGGGCACCTGAGTGGGGGGTTTTGGGAGCCGCGGTGACTCAGGCATCTGTTGCTGTGTAGCAAATCCTAAACTTCGTGGCTTCAAACACGATGGTTTATTGTTTCTCGTTATTCTGTGGGTTGCCTGGGTAATTCTGCTCCTCGTGATGCCAGCTAGGGCCCCTCTGAGCCCATTTAGCTGGAAGCTCCATAGCGTCTCTCTCTCCACGTGGCCTCTCACCTGGGTGTCTCTATGCAAAGCTGGGTGTGGGGAGGCAAGCGGGGCGCTCCTCTGGTCACATCATGCTCTCAGGGGGTGCCTTTGTTCTTTTTGATTCCTGAGGTCCCTTCTGCTGCTGTGTCATTTCTGGGAGTGGGGAAGCTCTGGGAGGCTGTCTCAGGCCCATTAGCAAAGACAAATGGTCTTTTTAATCCAGGGCATTGCTATGGACTCAAGCAAAGAAGGGGGGCTCAGGCCCTCTCTGCACTCCGGTCCCCCCAAACCTATTTGGATTTCTCACCCTCAGAATATAGGCCCCTCCCTCTCTCTTAGTCTGCCCTACCAGTTCCCGGGCCTCAGCCACAGCCCCCAGCTCCCCAGTCTCCTATCCTTATCCCAGGGAGATGGCTGCGCTGTGCTGGGGACCCCCCCCAAACCATGCTACCATCAAAAAGGGCCTCGGTGGAAAGTGAGACAGAACTTCTGTGGTCTGTTTCCCTTCTCTCGAGTCCTGTGTCCAGTGACCAGTGTCCGTGGTCCTGTGTCCAGTCTGAGCCCCACATTGTAAACAACCCAAACCAGGTCTTCCCTCGCCCCAGAGAGCCAGGCTCCGGATCATGAGGATTGTCTTCACACACAGGAGTTTTGTTTGAGATGCCCACCAAAGGAGTCAGCAGTTGTGTTGGCACCCTAGTAATGCCAACTCCCCAAGTGACAGGAGCGCTATGATTTCACAGGGAGGGAAGGAATGTGGGGGAAACCGGGGCTTCCCAATTCCAGGTCCAAGGAAGTGCAGGGCAGTGTAAAAGGAGGGAGTAAGGGTACCTGACTTTCCCAGCAGGGAGTTTTCTCAGCCATCAGCAGGTGTTTGTCTCCAATGTACTATCAACCCCAGGAGACACAGAGAATTTTTATTAGGGTTAAAACATAGTCGGTTTTTCCAAATCTTCCAGAAATTCAGTGGAGCAAGTTAATAGTTAATCATAGGATATAGGGAAACCAAATAAGACAGTGGTGTAAAACAATAACAACAGTACAAAACACAACAAAGCAAAAACGGACAAGTATAAATCAGAGACATCCTGCAGGGGAGGAGGAGGGAGAGGGACCAGAGGGAGGGAGGGAGGAGCACAGGGGACTGAGGTGATGGTGCACGGGTGCATGGGTGAAGGAAACTCCATGGGGACTACACCTGAGGGGTGGGGAGAAGCAAATATTCTTTAAAAATGAACAGGGCTCCCCTGGTGGCACAGGCAGTTGAGCGCTGCACTATGAAGCTGTCCGCAGTCTCTGCAGCACCGGTTCGATCCTGGTGGGCCGGTGAGGGTCCCACATGGCGCGCTGTCCTGTCCTGTCCTGACAGACCTCTCCTGTCTCACCCGCTGCTCCCCTCAGCAGTGTATTTCGTCAGTCTGCCTGTTCTGTTCCCTGCTCTGTCTCTGGTGAATCCTCTCACCTCCCGCGAGTCTGGCCTGTACCCCCGTTCTTATATAAAATAAATCTTTAAAAAAAAAATAAAAATGAACAATGATGCAAAATAAATAAATAAATGAAAATGAGAGGTCTAAAAAAAAGTAGTTAATCAAAGGAAGGAGCATGGGAGTGTGATTCAGTGAATTAACAGTTAATCCCAAAGAGGGAATAGCAATTGAGTAAATTAATAGTTAATCCTGAAGAGGGAATGCCATTCAGTGATTAGAGTTTTATTCCTCTTATTCCTAAATTTTTCATCTAGGGGAGTTTTGTGGTGCAGAACGGAGGGGATCTGGCTACCACCTGTCTCACAGTTTATCCATTTTTCTAGTTGTTTAGAATTGGGAGTTAGTGTGGTTGGTCTGCCATGACAGAAGTCACTAAATATGTCTCTTTTTAAAAAAGCATGCAGTTGGCTTTGCTTGTAAATTCAATCTGAGAATTTGGATTTGAACAGTGAGTTTAATTCATTTTCATTTTTGTAATATTTGGAAATATTTTGATCATCTCAATATTTTCTACTTGCCATGGCTTTTCTTTGTTCTTTTTGTACACCCTTCTCCCTTATATTTGGTGGATCAAGTTTCATTTGCCTCCCTAATGTATAAGTTTGCCAGTTAGACATTCTCTATTCTTTTAGTGGCTATCCTCAACTTTTAACATAAAATCAGCAAGCCTAAAGACAGCAGGTTTCTTTACTATCACTTCAAACAACAGAATAAATTTTGATCTTTTATTCTGATTTCCCTACTTGTATCTTTCATGTTATTGTTACCTAATATTTTCTTCTACACTTCTTAAACCTTCCAAAATTGACTTTCCAAATTTGTCTTTTTAAAATAAAATCAGTATACATCTATTTTTGCCAATATATTTTAAAATATCTTCTCTCAATTGCTGCTTCCTGTTTCTTAATCTTCCTTCTCAGTTCAGTTTCCCTCTTACTGAAGTGGATCCTTTAGTTCAGTGAGGCCATGAGAATAGCAAGCTTCCTGGTTCTTTGTTTATTTTTAAATGTCTTTATTATGCCGTTCTCTTGAATGAGAATTTCATTGGCATAGAATTCTAGATAAACAGGCATTTTACCCAGCCCTTGGAGGCTATTCTAGTCCATCGTCTGAGCATCCACTGCTGTTGAAAGGACTCTGCCCCTGGATGCTTTTTCAGATATTCCCTGCCTTGACATCTGAAAGTTTCACTATGAAGTTCTCCCTTGTTTTATTTTTCCTACTGAGGAATCAATGTGCTTTTTCTTTTCTTTCTTTTTTACATCTTAAAAGGACAGGTTGGTTAGAAAAAGGAGAAAGAAAAAGGTACCGGCATAGTCAAGGGCAGGTGGGAGAGCTGCCTCTTGCCTGTGCAGAAACGCGCTTTTTCAGTCCAAGGACTTCAGTCTCTGTTGCCAAGGACCACTCCCCACAGATGGCTTCTCCGCATCTTCCCCATTCTTGTCACCTAAAATTCCTCATCAACATAGATTAGCTCTCCTTCTCTTTCTTCCTGTTATGTTCCCCACAACTGTTAAAATTTCTGAATATTGTGGACTGATTCCTGGCTGACCCTCCTGTGAACTGGAAGACACATTCGTCCATTTGGGGTTTCAGTGGCCTCGGATGAGCACGTTATGTTAATTGATTGGGTTAGGGCTTCCTGGCCTTGGGTTTGGGTTTTCGAATTCTCTTTCCCCCATGGGAGTCCCTGGTAGACTCCAGCTCTTCAATTTCTGTCTTCCAGCTCATTAAATCTCTTCAGTTGACTTCAATTGCCATGAAACCTGTTTAGTAACTTTATTTTTCATGCCTGGCTATTCTTTTTTATGTAAAACCTCATGTTCTCTCTCTCTTTTTTTTATAGCATTTGTTCTTTTAGTAAAATTTCTTGCCTTTCTCTTTAATAACTTTCAACTTTCTTAGTCTCCTCAAAGTTGCACTATCGTCTTCATTACTTAGGATTCTAAGTCACAAATATTACGTTCCCCCCACGGTGAATTCTTTGCCTGCAAGGTTTGTATTTTGGGGAACTAGTTTTTTTTTTTTCTTGTGGGAGCTCTTAGGTTAAGAAAAGGCCCCTATAGATTGTTTCTGCCTTTGTTTCTGTGCAGCTGTGGGGGCTTCGGTGGTCTCTAATCAGCACTGATTTATTAGGTTAGGATTTCCTAAGCACAAGAGTGCTGCCTTGTGCTTCAGTTTTCTCAAGATGGTGTTTCTCCCCACATCAGGCCCTGGTAGACCTACAGGCTTCCTTCTCACTTTCTGGGCTTATAAATGGTATATTGGCTCAGTGCTTGGTTACAAACACAGCCCTGGAGTCTTCCAGAAGCATGCAGAAACCTCCCTGGCAGCATGCTGTCTTCCAGGAGCCCAAGTTTATGTCTTCTGCCATCACATTGGCATTAAATCCTTTGCCTTATTCTATTGTCAGTTTCATCACTTTTTTTTTTTAAGATTTATTTATTTATGCATACAAGAACTGGGGTACAGGCCAGAGGTGTGGGAGGGTGAGAGGCCAGAGACAGAGTGGGGAGCAGAACAGGCAGACTGACTGAAATACACTGCTGAGGGGAGCAGCAGGCGAGTCAGGAGAGGTCTGCTGCGCCATGAGGGTAGCTCCCTGGCTGGCCCGGGATTGAACTCGAGCTGCAGAGGCTGCGGACAGCTTCATAGTGCTGTGCTTAACCACTTGTGCCACCAGGGAGGTCCTAGGATTGCACATTTTAAAGTGTTGGTTATATTTTTTCTTTACATATGTAAAGAGCTCTTTACAATTTTGTATACAGTGTTATATATGTAATATGTAATATTATGCATGTTTATCTTCAGTAAGTATCATCTGTGTTAAATTAATTCCTGAGCAGGGGGTACCTCCTTCTCTGTATATTTTTTGTCATGATCCCAACAGTTACGGCCCCCATGAAAGCAAATTTTTAACACATAATTTTCTCTAATGACTTACTTACTGAACATTCTTCACTTCCTGCTGCCATGGGGTCAGTTTACTCAGACTCTTGAAATACAATGAAAATCAGTTATGGAGTAAAAAGGCAAATCTTTTAAAAGACTTGGAATTTCACGAATTGATAAGCGTGATGTTGGAGAGCTGTTATGTCATACTCAAAGCCATTGACAAACCAGCATCCTGTCATATTAACCCAGATGATGAGTCAACAACAACAACAAAACAGGGAGAGCGAAGGCAGGGTCAAAAGAGAGCAGAATACCTATGTGTTTGAGAGGCCTTGAGAAGAAACAGACTTCCTGAGAGGCAGGCGCAGAGGCCAGGAGGCAGGTAGAGGAGTGGGATGTAGCTGGGTTTGTGCATCTGGAGGAAAAGCTGTAGGGCCTGCTGGCAAATTGGGCGCTGAAAGCCACAAAGAAAAAAGAGAGAGCAAGAGAGACTCCCAGGTTTTTTGGCTGAACGACTGCGTGAGTGATGGTGACATTTATCAGGATGGAAAAGGCACATTTGGGAGAAGGAGGGGAGAAATCAAGAGCTTGGTTATTCCTAAATTTTATAGGAATTCATAAAATGCATTAGCATTTCCCATGATATTTGCTTTTGGTTTCTTTTGCTATTTCTGCTATCGCAAATGGAATACGAAGTTAAACAAAATGCAAACATTACTGAACTATGTAGCAGAAAAAATGAAAGCCTGCTCTCCCACACATAACTAGTCAATAACTGCTGCAGTTCCTCTTTGATTTTAGTTCATAGGTTGAATTACATTAGCATTAGTGTTTATTTGTTTTTAAATTTTTAATTTGTTATGAAAATTTTAATTAGCTCCTATATAATGCACAATCTGCTCCTACTTGTTCACTTAGTATGATACCACAGACATTCTTTTTATGACTACAGACTATTTTACTATTAATTCACTATGATTTATTTACCATTGCTCTATTGATGGGTTCTTGATTGCTGATTTTAAAATGCTTTATTGTGTAAGGTGTTTCCCTCTATTCTCATTGTGCTTTGAGTTTTAAAAAAAAAACAAGAATGACTAATGATTTTACCAAATGCTCCAATAGCATCTGTTGCAAGACTCACAGGATTTTCTTCCTTAATCTAATTTGGATGTTAAATCTTATAGCTCTGGAGTCCCTGGAGCTACGTTGTCTTATTCTTTTACAATGCCATCGAGTTCTACTTTCTTTCCTTTTCCCTCTGTTTTCACTGTGTAGATGGAATTCAAAGATGGCCCCTCAATTCCTGCCCCTTTATATGTTTTCCCCTTGGGTGAGAGCCGACCTGTGAATATGGTTGCATATCATTGCCATTGACTTACTTGGCCCTGTGGGAATAAAAATAGGTGGGATAATTTTCACAGTTTATCTTTAAGATCACTGAGTTGATTTTCACCAGGGGCCATTTTAGTTTTCAGTGCTTCTGGTGAGCAGTTTCGAAAATGCTTTTTTCCTCCTCTAAGAGCCTTTTCTCACTCTCAGCTCTTTTACAATTTTTTCAAATCTCATCAAGAATTCACTAAAGCTTTTAAAAGAGTTCTCTCTGGTCTCTTCTGCCAATTCTGTGCCAACAGGAGGCCCACCTGCCCTTGGCCCCCTGCTGTCACGCCTGAATACTTTTATGTGGCAAAAGGTACTTAGCAGATGTAATTATCATTATGGACCCTGAAATAGAAAGATTATCCTGGATTATCGGTTGACCCAATCTAATCACTTGAGCCCTTAAAAACAGAGAAATTTCTCCAGCCGGGATCATAGAGATGCTGCAGAAGTCAGAGAAATTCAAAACATAAGGGTATCTGGCTGGCTTTGAGGATAAGGGGGCCAAGTGGCCTCTAAAAGCCGAAAACAAGCAGCCAACAGCCAGAAGGAAACTGGGGCCCTTGGTCCTTCGATTCCAACAACCTGAATGAACCCGGAAGCAGATTCTCCCCCAGAACCTCCAGATAAGAATGAACCCCTTGATTTTGGCCATGGAACCTGGAGCAGAGACATCAACAGTGCCTGCTGAGCTTCTGGCAGAACTGTGAGATAATAGCTTTGTATTGTTTTAAGCGGCTAAGTTTATGGTAATTTGTCACAGCAGCAATAGAAAATAAATATGTCACCTAATGATAATTCTGCCTTCCCAATGGTGATATAACTAGCTTGGGGGGTGGAGAGAGATTTGGTAAGGGGGAGAATACTAAAATAAAACCCAATTTTTTGTCGTGTTTTAATATCGTGTTGCCTGACAGGAAGTCAAAAGATTATATTTAAACCTTAAAAAAATAGCATCCTAAACATCTGTAAGATGATGGCAGTAAATAGTCAAGGAAGCAGCTGGAAGTGATAGAAGTAGCTGCTCCTGGAGAGCAGGAATTGGGCGTGAGGAGGTGTGGGGCGGGGCTGCTGAGCTTTTCATTTTAAGCCTTGGACAGAGCTACATGATTTTTCAATGCATGTTCCTATGTCACCTCAATAAAAATAAAGAACAAGTCCCACCACCATCGATATAAGGTGTGCCACCTCTCTGAGAAACTGAGCGGGAGTGGGTAGGGCGGCCCCTGCCTGCCAGGGAGTGTGGCAGCCCGTCCTCTCTCATCACTAGGGTGGAGGAGAGCAACAGGAGGCTTCTGGAGTCTGAGAGGAAGCTGCAGGAGGAGCGGCAACGCACTGTGGTGCTGGAGCAACATCTGGAGAAGATGCGCCTGGAGCCTGTGAGGACAGTCGGCTCGCAGAGAGCAGCCCCCAGGAGCAAAACAGGTAGAGACTGGACCAGGGGGCCAGCAGCAGTTGGGGGGACTGAAGGAGGGGGCATCTTGCTGCTAGTGGAGGAGCCAGTCAGCAGCACTGGCCAGCCCCCTCAAGGAGAGTGTGGGAAGCAGAGGCCCTCATCAGGATGGAATTCTGCCAGCTCATCCTTCTCCCCTGGTCTCCTACTTAGAACAGGAGCCCCAGAGCATCATCACCCAGCCCCACGTAGCCCTGGCCCAGCCCACCTGCGAGCCCTTAGCATAAGGTAGCACTTAGCTTAAGGCGTTCTGCTGAATACCTCAGCCACCACCCTCACCCCCACCTCAGCCCTCAGCCCTCTATCCAGAGCTGCCCATGCTCAGAGGTGATTATGGGGCAAAGTTGGTTTGCTGGGGAGGCCGGAGCATAGTGGCTGGCCAGGAGCAGAATCCCTGTCTACCTCCTTAGCTATTGAGCATAAGTGGGGATAAAGTGGTCTCTCCACAGGCTTGGGGACCCATGTTCCTCGTCCTGGTGTCCCTCCATCCTCAACATGCAGCTCCATCTCACGGTCTAATTTGGCTGCCTCGCTCCCCCACCAGCAGCAGGCAGGAGACAAGCAGCTCCACAGTCTTTAAAGGCTGACCCTCAGGTTGTTTGTATCACTTCTGCTCTCATCCCATTGGCCAGTTCCTAGTCATGTGACCACACAGCTGCAGCCCAGGTTTAGTTGTCCTAAACTCAAAGGTCTCTTGCTCCCATACAGTGGTTCTTAAGGCACTGTCTCCAGGCCAGCACCAGCAGCAGCTTGCGGGGCTGGGGCAAGCTTGGGGTGCAGGCTGCCGGGACCAAAAGCCATTTCTGGGGTGGTTGGCTCCCAGAGAAGAGGAACCTCCAGCGAGGAGAAGCTAGGCCTCCTCCTGCTGGCATCCTTACCCCCTGCAGGCTCTGGAGTGGAGGTGCAGCCCCCACTGCCTCTCAACACCCCAGGATACCCCTGCCCTTCTCCCAGCCAAGACACTCAGACCTTTGTTCCCAGCCCAGATGAGATCAGAACATTTCAGAAGGATGGGCACAAAGAGGGAGTTGTGCCTTTTCCTTTCTCCCACCAGCAGGGTCCAGGCCTGGAGGGGGCCTTCCAGGAGCTGCTGAGAGTTCAGGCTGAGTCCCTGGGGCTGAGCCCTCCTGGGTCCTCAAGAATGGGTCCTCTAGGAGTGCGGAGTCTCCTGCCTTGGGCTCACCTTCTGCTAGGAGCTAGACTCCCAACCAGAGAAGACTAAGCACAGCAGGAAAAACCACATTTCTCCTGCCTGGACACTGAGGGGCAGTATCTGAAAGTGCCCACATGGCCTCTGCCACCTGCTGGCCTGTGGCACGGGCAGAGTGGCGCCCTCTGGAAGCATGGCTCCATCCCTGCCGTCTGCAAATGAGGAGACCTGATTCCAGAGTTCAGTCCTTCGAGGCATTTCCAAACCAGTGGGGAAGAGAGACAGTAAACAAATAAGCCAGTTAAAGATGTGATAGGCCAGAGGGAGGCAGGCGCTGTGGCTTGATGCAGAGGAAGGCATAGGAGGTGCTAAGAGTGTAGCTGTTATCTTTGGGGTGGCGGAGACCTCACTGGCAGTTGATGACTGGACAGGCAGTGGAAGAAGGGGATGTGCGGGCAGCTAGCTGAGGAACGAGCAGGGACACCACAGCGGAGCCTGGTGGGAGATTTGGAGGAACCACATGAAGGCAGTGAGGTGGGAGCATAGTGAGGGGTAGAGGAGGTGAGGACAGAGACATAGTGGGTTCCTGAGGAGGTGAATTCACTCAGGCCTCACAAAGTTCTAGAGGCAAGAACTATTGTCTTCATTTTGCAGGTGAGGAAACCAGCTCAGAGAAGTTGAAGGTTTACCTGAGGCCACACAGCAGGGGGTGAAAACCAGGTCTGCTGATGCCAGGTGATTTCCCCTGGGCCACACTACCCCCAAGAACCCCACCACCTCTGAGGGCCTCTTCACACAGAGGCTTTCGTATGATGTGCTCATGCCCAAGCTCCCCACTTTGGGGGACTTTGATTTCTTTTTCTGAACTTTCTGTGGCCCCTGGCCCCAGCCACCCTGGATCTCCTGTATGTATATGTATGTGTGTATACATGTGTGTATGCATGTTGTTGGCTGGAATGGGGACTGGAGGGGAGAACTGGTGGTGTGAGGCATCAGATGCAGTGACAGCCTATACTCAGGCTCAACCTACAGGCCAGACCATAGGCCCGGGTGCCCTCCAGAAATGTGTGAAGTGGCAAAGACAGAGATGGTAACAAACATAACCACCTTGGTACATGGCAGGCAGAGTCGGGGCTGTAATAGAGCCAAAACCAGGGCCCGGGAGAACGTAGAGCAGGTATCAGGGAGGGCCCCTGGAGGGAGGCCCTTGTCCTGCACCTTGAAGGAGGTATGTATGTTTCAGCAAGTGGAAAACCAAGAAGTAGGCAGCTGGGGGAAGAGCAGATTAACACAGGGCCCTGGCATCATCACGGAGAGTGGCTGCTACCGCCCCACAGGTCCTCCCGCCTCTAACACCAGGCACAACCCACATGCGAGCGAGAAAAAGGACCCATCCTCCAGCCAGCTCTCCAGTGTGCCTGTGGAGTCCCAGATGGAGGAGCTGACCACCAGGTGCCCTTCTGTCCCGGCTTCCTGAAAGGGTGGTGTTGTCGTCCGTGGATAAAGGGATCATATGCCCCCTTGACTCCTGTTTGAACAGAAGGCTGGTCCTGCAGAGCCTGGGTTTTAGGCCAGCCGTTCGGCAACTGGCTATAGGAAGACAGAACCCAGCCATGACCAGGTTAACCCGCACTCCCTAGAGCAGTTTCATTAGGCGCGGGTGGCTGAGCTCCCTTTTCTCAGATGCAGTGATGAGGAAGGAAGGACAGGGAAACTCTACAAATTAGTATTCACCCTTGAGACAGTCAGCATTTGGGGAACCCCCAAGGGCCAGACCCAGGCCTGCGGGTGGGCCCAGCGAGAAATCCCACATGATTTCCCTCTAAGGATCTGTGGGAGGAGGGGAGGGCTCAGGCGAACCCTGAGGCTGAAAGCAGCCATGCTGGCAGCCCCCTTCCCAGGGCCCTCAGCGCATATGCCCGCACACCTGTGCCCAGGCTTGGGCCGCGCTGAGCCCTGTCTCCATGTGGTCCAGGCTGGCCATCCAGGCAGAGGAGAATGAAATGCTGAAGGCCGCCCTGGGCAGTGCCCTGCAAGGGAAGGAGGAGGACTTCCGTATGTACCACGAGACCCTGGGCCAGGTGAAAGGAGTCTTCCTGCAGGCCCTGCGGCAGCAGAAGGTGGACAAGCGCTAGCACGGCGGCTGCGCAGCAGGGCAGCCTCGGGCCTGGAGGGGACCGGTTCTGTCTGAGGACTCCATCTGCTCCCAAAGCCAGTCTGGGGCAGCCATCTCAGCCCCTTTTTCCAGAAGAAGTTCCTCAAGAGAGACCAAAGCCAACATGTCATGCCAGGAGGCTAAGAAGTCCTGATGGAGCCCAGAGGAGGCCCCAGTCAGGCGTGGGGACAGCAGGGGAGGAGGCCCCGCAGCCCACTTGGCATCCGCAGGAGCTCCGGGACGACGCACTTCTGTGAATGAACACATGCAGTCCTTGGACAGGTGCTCGTGGCCCTGGCCTAGGCCAGGCTGGGGCTCCTGCGAGCCCACACAGCCCCACATGCGCAAGCAAACCCTTGGTGCTCTGGGCTGGGAGCATCACCAAGCCTTCCAGCCCCATCCTGCCCTCCTCACCCTGTGTCCCCACACCCTACTCTCCCCTCTGGAACTCCACCTGTGGCCATCCCCATGCTCTGCAGACTTGGGGGGCTACCATACTCCCAGTTTCCCTGTTGACCCATTCCTCAGGGTTCTTCCTTAGATGCAGGCCCTCAGAATTGCAATAATAATGATTTTTCTCAGTCACCACAGCTCCCACTGAGTGAGCATCTACTGCAGAAACCTGACCCGCTCCATCCCTCGGGTGTCCCAGGGTGCAGTCACCGTATTTTACAGATGAAGAGACTGAAGCTCAGAGAAAGGAGCTGAGCTGGTGTTGAACCCTGGCCTGCTGCCTGCCTAAGCCAGGGTCCTCCAGTGAGCAGGTCACCAGAGCCAGCGTGCCGGCAGCTCTGCCCCACCCGCTGCTCCCACAGGCATCTCTGTGTTGCACCTGGACTGGGATTTTGTGGCAGTGGGTCCATACAAAGCTGGGGTACACTTCCCTTACAGACACAGGGGTGAGCTGGCAAGGGGCCTGCAATTGAGCCTCAGGCTCCTTTGTGAAGACTGTGCCCTCCCACCCTGTCCTTGACTACAGGTACTGCCATGGGAAGGGTGGCATTCAGGAGGGTCACGTGTAGCCCCACACCATGACCCCAGATTCTCACAGGTCCAAGAGATGCCGTGCACGCAGTACCTAAGGTCTGGAGCACACGGCTGTGTGTGTAGCCGTGCATGTGCACACAGTGCCCGCGCCACATTCACGGGCCCTGCACAGGTGTGTGCCTACGAGCGTGCGTGTGGATGCAGATGCACAGCCCCCGCGCAGAGGCCAGCGCAGTGACTCACACACTTCCCAGGGAAGCCATGGGGGGCTGCTGGGGCGCTCTGCCCAGGCTCCGCCCCAGGGGTGGGGCTGTGGAGGGACTTGGTGCTGACACCCCAGCCAGGGAGCCCTTGACCCACATGGTCTAGATCCCCACTCCTGCGAGTTGGTTGAAGGGCATCAGGACAAAGCTGTGGTTCTGATGGGGTCCTCAGGGCTTGGGGAACGAAGAGCTTTCCTCTGATTCCTTGTGAAGGGAAACGCTAGGCAGAGCCCAGGCTGGCGGGGCCTGCATGACCGGGAGTGGGCCAGAGGCAGAGTCAGCCAGCCAGGCTGAGTAGTCGCCACCATCCTCCTGCAGGTGTGGGAGCCTAAGGGTGATCTGAGGGGTGGGGGGCAGAGAAGGTGCAGTGGGGGCCTGGGAGGAAGAGGCAGGCAGAAGAGCACCCAGCCTCCCTTGGAGATGGGCACGGCGGCAATGGTTGTCCAGGGGAGTGTGGGTGATGTGCTCAGGGAGGTTTTGCTGCCTACTCAGGGCAGTTTTGCTGCCCTTATTGGCTCAGGGCTGGGTCTAAAAAGGAAAGGGCATCAGATCATGGGATCTAAACAGATGGGGGTGTCTGGGGCAGATCTCTTTCCCTGCTCACCAGCTGTGTGGGCTTGGGAAGGTGACTTAACCTCTCTGAACCTCCATGTCTTCTCCTGTAAAATGGGAACAGTAATAGAAATCTCCAAGGACTATTACATGTGTCAAAAAAAAACTCAGGCATTTAGCTCGTAGTTTACTGCTATACAGGGGAATGGTATCAATAGATGGATTCACTCTACCAAGTTTAAAAAGAGGATTTATAGAGTAGAGAAGAGAGAAAACTGCAGCAGGTCTAGAACATCTTCTTTGCACCTTATTTTAGGTAGCTGGATTGGCTGGCCTCTCCTGGAAGCCAGTCTGGGTATTCAGTCCTTGCCTAGGCCAACTGTGGACACAAAGACGTCTGTTCAATGTACAGTCTCCAGGCAGCCTCGAGGGCTTTGTTGTGAAGTTGTGTGTCAGGGTCCTTTCACAGCTTTTGGCACCTGCCATATGCACCCCAGTTTAGTGAGACCAAGTCTACTCCCCAACCCCCCTGAAAACCCTTCTTTAGGAGTAATTGAGTTAAAGAAGTGTCAAATGTTGGAGAAACAACAGGCTCACAGTGAGTGCTCAATAAATGGTAACTCTTAGTCTTTCCTCTGTTCAACAAATATTTGTTGAGCAGCAACTCTATCCCAGGTCCGGGGGTGAGGCTGACATGCTTTCTGGTCTCCAGGAAGCCCCGGGTCCTCTGGGAGACACACTCACAGGCCCCCATCCACAAGCCAGTCAGCGGTTAGACACCAACTGCACGCCAGCCTCTCCAGGCCCGCGAGTGGCCCAGAGGGGAAATCTGACTTGCTGTTTCTTTTAGGGACCTCCTGGTTTTGTCAGAGACATGCAGGAAATTGAGGGCCAAAGAGATGGGGTGGGAGGGCATGGGGGGAGGGGAACACAGGGACAGAAGGTGGCACCTCAGAGCCTCCTACCTTCCCTGCTGCAGCTCCCAGGCTCATTGCCCAGATGTCGGTCGGAAAGGGCCTGTCAGGGAGTCATCTGTCCTTTGGATCTCCCTGGGTGGGGAAGGGTGCAAGGGGAAGACCCAGGGCTCTCCCAGGAAAGCCAGGGAGCAGGATTTTTTTAGGGGTCATCAAAGGGGCCAAGGACTTGGGCCCTGAAGGATCTATCTCAAGTGGGTTAGTACCCATGGCCTCCCCTGAGCAGCACCTCCTCTCCAGCCCTCAGGCACGTGGGCAGCAGGTGGGTTTGATGTGCTTTGCACAAATGAGGACACTGCCTGCCAGAGCCTTAAGATTGTATGGGGATAGGGGTGGGGTGGGGAGCAAGGACAAAGAGGGCGGGCAGTGGGGAGGTTCCACGTGAGGTGCTTTGGGCCTGGGAGCTCAGGTTCCAGCACTGACAGGTGAGACCTGGCTGAGCCATGGGCGTGACTTGGCCCCTGTCCCTGTAGGGGAGCCTCTGGGGTAGCACAGCTGAGCTGGGCAAGAGTGCATCCTGACTCCGGCTGATCCAAGCCCCAAACACATTCCACTACTGTGGGCCCCTCCTGTGCTCCCAGAAGCTCAGGATGGTGGGCTGCAGCAGGGGTCGTCCTCTGGACCCCCACTTCAGTTACCAGAACTCTCCTCCCCATCAGCCTTCTCTCCCCACCTCCTCAACCCACAGCCACCCCACAAGGAAGTTTCTGCCTGCCTAACCCCTCGGCACAGGCACTGCCGCCACACAACACGCAGCTCCACAACACACGCCATCAATAACACATCACCCAACAGACACAAGAGTTACACACACATGGGATACTTTCCCCACAGTTTTGCTTCAAGCAACAACAAAAATTTGAGCGGAGAGAAGGGGCTCTGAGTCTTGACAGAACTGCTTCCCCCCCACCCCCAATGTCTTTCCCAATGGCCCTGGGCCATACTTGGGAAGCTGACCCAAGGTCTGTTACTGGTTTTAATCTAGTCAGCTTCCTGCCCCTTGGTAGGCTGGTCCAGTCGGGAACCCCCCACTCCGCCAGCCTCTGGCCATCCAGCCCTCAGTCCAGGGGGGCACCCTAGTTTTCCAGCCCTCCTGCCATCCTCAGGTGCCAAACTCCGGGCAGGCCCTGCTGCCTGGGGTCACCGGTGAGTATCTCCTGCTGCGTGTGTGTCCCACTTCACCAGGCCTGTGCAGACAGGGGTCCCAGCTCTGTCAGCCTCTCTCTGAGCAATGCAAATGGCTGAGGCTCCCACCCTAAGGCCAACTCAGGCTCAGGTCAGTTGGCTGAACCTGTGCTCTTAACTTGGGAGTTAAACTGCCTGGCTGCTTCCCTGGGCCAACCTCCAGGAACTTGTGGAGGGCACCAGCCAGATGGCCAGTCCAGGCTGGTCTCAGCCAGTGCCTGGTGTGAGTGAAGTGGGTTCTTGACCCTTCAGGGCAGGCAGCTCCAGAAGCTGGGGGCTGAGGCAACTAGCGGGCCTCTGTGCATCAGGCTCCTTATCCATCAACAAGGGATAGTGATAACCCCCCTAAGGGCTACATTTTTTAAAATTATTTTTTAAAAATTAATAGCGTAGTTTTAGAACCAAGCCTGGCTACTGTGATGAACTTAGTCCTGACACCCCTTGAGTCCACTTCAGGATTCTGCTCGTGTCCCCCATTCTGAACCCCTCCTTAGTTCTCTGTAGTCTGGCGTGGGCACCCTGCCCTAGTGCTGGCCTCTCCAGCCGCCCCCAGCCTGTCCAACGCCATGCAGGGATGCCGTTCACGCTTCTCAGGTTCAGGAGCAGCAAGGCAGGCCTCTCACTCCGTGTGAGCATGCTGGGTCCCCCCATCTTCCTCTGAGCAGGTGTCTGCATGTCGAGGGAGAAACCCTGGAAAGCCATGGGGGGAGGGGAGAGAGGGAAAGGACTCTCCTTCCTAAGCCTTCTCAGGCCCTAGAAGCACCTGGCTGGTGGGAGAGCAGCCCCTTCCCCCCCAGTCTTCAGCTGAGCCTGTGGCTGAGGTGGGGATCAGTTGGAGCTCCAATCACACAGCTCTCTGCAACCCCAAGCCCCCAGCCCTGTCCCACTGTCCGTACACGAACTTGGCAAATACATACAGCAAATACGTACAAATACATACAGTTCCCCAGACACTGAGGTCCTCGTCACAAAGCGGGACTAGGTCCTCACCCCTTTAGGGGGAGCTTCAGGATACCCTTGCCAATCAGGTAGCCTGGACTGAACCTGTGACTGTGCAGTGGGGGGGCTCTGTCCCTCCCAGAGGAATCCAAGTTGGTTAGGGACATTCCTATCTGCTTCTCTGCCAGTTAAGGGGATGCCAGCCACTCCAGGTGTCCACTCAAGCTGATCCCATTAGCATCCACCCACCTAGGTAACTCCCTATGGGACAGAGCTGAGGGGTCTCCTGGGGTCCCCTGGGGCAGGGTTCATAAGGCTGGAGGTGCTAGTTGGGGCCACCTGGAAGGCTTCCTGGAGGAGAGAAGTCCAGGCCCACTGTGAGTGGGAGGCACAGGCTCTACCAACCAGGTGAGACAGGTTGAAGTGAAGCCCAGGTATCCCTGTCTGAGCTCATGCCACTGGCCACTGCTTTCTACCCTCACCCTCCCCCACCCCCCCACGATCCTCCCTGCGGCTCCCTGTGGCCAGCAGCTCTGCAGCACTCGGCTCTGCTCCATTCTGCTCAGCTCCGCTCCAGGAAGGCCACCTCCTCCCTGCCCTCCTCCTCTCCCTCCTCCTGCTGTCACCACTCACCGCTCATTGCCTCAAGGGGGTGGGGACCCCGGAGCTGGACACACCCCAGCATAGCCCCAGAACTCAGCTGGTCGGACGGGACACGGTCGGACGCAGGACCCCGGAGCCCTGAGGTGGGCAGTGTGCCAGGGTCCCTCACAGCCTCCTCAAGGTCAGTGCCAACTGGGGATGAAGCCATTCTAGGGTCCTTGAGACCCATGGAATCTACCTAAGACCCCACCCTACACCCAGACCCCAAGGTGGGCTTTATCCCACGTGTACCTGAGGCAGGCAGGGCCGGGGGGCCAGGGGCACCCCTACATCAATAGGATGGCTCAGGTCCGTGGGTCTGTCAGGAGACGCCCCAGGTTGGGGGCCAGCTCTGGCCTTGTTCACAGAGGCCTCGCCGGGGACACCCTGCACCGGCCATGGAGAGCTAAAATTGGAAAGTAGCGAGTGGGAGGCAGCTGACAAAGCTATTTCGCGGGCTCTTCACTCTGCTCCGGTTTCAAGCTCCTGCTCCAATAACCCGATCCTCAGGGCCTCCCTTCCCCCACCTGGCCGGTGAGGAGGTGCCACAGCCCTCAGGCCAGCAATGCAGAAGTCAGATCTGGCAGCCCCCTGACATGGGCAGGAACCCCAGACGGTCTTCTCTTCTCTGAGACTCCAGAGGGGCCCACTGAGAACACTTATCCCCTCCCAGGTTGACCGTGTGACCTTGACAGACCCCTGCCCCTCTCTGACCCATGACCCCTCCGTCTGTGTAATGAGAGAACGCTGAAGGTGGGGGCCCAGGAAAGCTGGTTATAGGACTGGAAAGGAAGATTTGGGGGAGGGTCTGGGGTGCGAGACAGGCCACCTCTTGGTTCAGCCTAGCCAGGAAGAGCCCCTAGGCATGTCCTCCCTGTAATTTGGGCTCCGAATTACCGGTGAGGTCCTTGGGAAGGCCCTGCCTGGGTGAAGCTGGAGCAGGATAGGAAGGGCGTAGCTGCTGACTGCGGTTCTCGGTACGGCCATCGGGTCTCCTGGGGATGAGTTGGCAGGAAGGAGTGGCTGGGCTCACCCTGAGCCTGATACTGATCAGCACCTTGGACAGTATCCAGTGCCTTCCCTGGTGCCCACCTGGCCCTGCCTGGCCCCACACCTACTACCCCAGGGCACCTCTTCAAGCAGCACAGGCTCAACCAGCATCCAGGACCTGAATGCATGGAGCACGGAGAGGGGGTTGGTGTGGCCACAGACACAGGGATACGGCAGGCTGGAGCTCAGGGACGCATTGGGGCAGCGAGGCTCAGGGAGAGGCTGGAGGTTGAATGAGACAGAGGAAGGCTGAGCACCGGAGGACAGACCTGGTGTGGTTAGGAGAGCTCAGGGAAGTAAAGGGAACTCAGCAAGGGGTGTGGGAATCAGAGAGGGAGGCATGGAGAAGGCCTGGGCTTTGTGAAGAGCTGAGAGAGGCTTACTGAGGGGAAGGGGAGCCTTGGGGGTCAGAATGGTGATTGGGGTGATGCAGATGGGGTTTCTCCACACCAAGGTCTTCTGAGCACTTGGCAGGAGCTGTTTGAGTAGAGCCCACCCGAAAGGTACGAAGGAGTAGATGAAGGTGAGGGAGGCTGAGAGTGAGATGATGCCTTTTAAGACTCTTCAGTAGGAGTAGGAGCTAGAACAGCAGTTGTGAGGGGGCACTGGATGTTGGGAGACCTGAGAGACCTGGGGTGGGGGCAAGAAAGAGGGGAGAATGATCACACAAGATCTCCAAGGGGCATGAGGTCTGTCTCTAGAATGGGGTCCCCACCACCTTAGTGGGGGGCCATGAGGTGAGGCTAGGCAGTACAGAGGACAGCAGTGGCTTCACCCAGCCGTCTCCCCAGCCCCATCCAGGCTATGGGCATCAAGACAGCATTGCCTGCGGCAGAACTGGGCCTGTACTCCCTGGTGCTGAGTGGGGCCCTGGCCTACGCCGGCCAGGGCCTCCTTGAGGCTTCACAAGGTAACAGCAGGGCCCTGGGGTAGGCGGTGGGGCTCTTATTCCCCTGGAGACTGCAGGATTTCAGCCAGCAAGGCCAGAAACTTAGAGGCTCCAGACCCAGGGTATTGTTTCCTAGGCCCTGGAGGGTGGACTGAGCTGGGCGCAGTCACCAGGGACCAATATGTCAGAGGCACTGACAGAGACCCACATTCATAGCGAGACCCAGAGAACAGCAGAGGCAGAGAAAGAACCCCAGACCCGCTCCTCTCCCCCTAGGATGGGGGTGACCCTTGCTGTAAGGGCAGGCTGGGGACATATGTGTAGCCCCCTCTTCCCTGAAACTATACTCTGTTCTCAGATGGGGCCCACAGGAAGGCCTTCCGGGAGTCTGTGCGACCTGGCTGGGAGTACATTGGCCGGAAGATGGTACGTGCCCCACACCTCAGGGTGCCTGACTGAGATCCCTGGCCCCTGGCCCATCACTCCCATCCCAAGCCCTCCCCGCCTCTCCCCAACCCCAGATGGTCCCATGGAACAGAGGGCTCATGAGGGGGAGGGGCTCTGGCTTGGGATTCAGGACTTTTACTTTTTCTACTGGCCCCTCCTGTGCCCTCTACCCCAGGTCCTGCTCGTTTAGTAAATAAATCAAGATGTGCTTCCACAGGGGCCTCGTATACCACCTTTCCCAGGAACCATGCAACAACGCGCTGAGCAGGCCAGGATCTTAGAGGGGCAGTGGGGGCCTCATGGTGCCCTTGCTCCTCCCTACCTATCTGCCTGGAACTTCCCTCAGGGGAAAGGCAGGGACCTCCAGCTATGCCCTCTCAAATTCATAAGAAGAGCATGGGGACCGGGAAGGTGCTGGGCCTCTCACCAGCCCAATGCCAGCCCATCCTGCCCCCTGCCTCACCTTAACCTGCCTGCTTCCTCCTGCCCGGGCCTGCCAGGACGTGGCTGACTTCGAATGGGTGATGTGGTTCACCTCCTTCCGCAATGTCATCGTCTTTGCCCTCTCTGGACATGTGCTGTTTGCTAAACTCTGCACGATGGTTGCCCCCCAGGTGAGCCAGACCCGAGCAACCCCTATCTTGCCCTGCCAGCTTCTCCCCAGCTACAGGGTTGATGGGAGATCCACCGTGGGGTCCCAATTGTATGCACAGGTACATGAGGTTTTCTCTTGTCCACAGCTCCGCTCTTGGATGTATGCTGTGTACGGGATCCTGGCCGTGGTGGGCACGATGGGCCCTTGGTACCTGCTACTGGTGCTTGGTCACTGCTTGGGTCTCTATGTGGCCTCCCTCTTGGGTCAGCCTTGGCTCTGCCTTGGCCTTGGTCTGGCCAGCCTTGCCTCCTTCAAATTGGACCCCCTAATCTCCTGGCAGGTGTGCAGTAGGGCAGAGCAGGGGTGCAGGGTGCTGGGAGAGGGCCCTGAACTTCTCACCCCGTCCAAAATCCTTGCCTCCCAAATCTCCCCAAGCATTTCCGTCCCTTTCCCACCTGCCTCCAAGTCTCGGCCCATGAAGTATGCCTCACCCACCTGGGGTCGTCTCCATCGCAGCGGGGACGCATCCCGCACCTTCCCTCTTCTCAGCATGGAACATGAATTGGCCCTCAGTGGCCAGTGGGACTACTCTGGAGGAGAGGAAGGGGCAGGACCAGGCTGGGCCCTGCGGGAAGCTGGGTGAGCTTCCCAGAGATGAGGGACGCCTGGTGAGCTGGTGGCCTGTTCTCTCCCATCCAGAGCGGGTTTGTAACAGGCACTTTTGATCTTCAAGAGGTGCTGTTTCATGGGGGCAGCTGCTTCACAGTGCTGCGCTGCGCCAGCTTTGCCCTGGAGAGGTGTGCCCACCCTGACCGTTGCTACTCACTGGCGGACCTGCTCAAATACAACTTCTACCTGCCTTTCTTCTTCTTCGGACCCATCATGACCTTTGATCGCTTCCACGACCAGGTGAGAGGAGATCCTGCAGCCGCCCAAAGCCGGGCAGCGCCTCCCTCTGCAGACAGGGCTCCCATGGCAGAGAGGGTGCGTCCTCATCCGTGAGCAGGACTCCAGAGCCCAGCCAGACTCCCTCCCTCCTCAGATCCTGGGGTGGGACACACTTCCCCTCCGACATCTCCCTCAGACAGGGCCCTGCCTCCCCTCATGGGGTTCCCAAGACATGGCTGGGTAGCCCCTGGCAGGCCCTGAACCAACTCAGACACCAGAGAGCCCTGACTGCAGTCTCCGGCAGGACTGCCGGGACCTTCCCAGGCAATGGGTGACTCCCCACTCAGACAGGCCCCTCCGGAGGGCCTGCCGCCCGTCTCAGACACTTCGCATCACCCAGGTGAGCCAGGTGGAGCCGGTGAGGCGCGAGGGCGAGCTGTGGCGCATCCAGGCCCAGGCGGGTCTCAGTGTGATGTCCATCATAGCCGTGGATATCTTCTTTCACTTCTTCTACATCCTCACCATTCCCAATGACCTCAAGTTCGCCACTCGCCTCTCAGACAGCGCCCTCGGTGGGTATGAGGACACAGAACTGCTCCCCCGTGTCACAGCTGGGAACACTGACTTGCTGTGAGGGCACAGCACCTGGGGTGGGGGCAGAATATACAATTTGAAATGCAGGGAATTTGCAGATATTTTTGTCCTGTGAGGCCAGAGCAAGGGGCATCTTGCAGAGTCACTCACTCCACTGCACTGGGGCTTGGGCCTGATTTCCAGAGCCCTCAAGAGACCTCCTTGGGGTAGGCCAGGCCCAGTTCCACCCCTTGGAAGCGGGAGGTAGGGTCTCTGGGCAGCAGTCTAGGGGCAAAGACCTCTCCCAGGACCTGGGGAGAGTATCCCAAAGGGAGTTCTGGGCTCAGTGCCTCCACTGGGATTTGGGACCTGGGCAGGGGAGGCCACATGACCCCCAGGCAGTGACATCACACTGTTCCCAGCTGGCCTGGCCTACTCAAACCTGGTATACGATTGGGTGAAGGCAGCAGTCCTCTTCGGCGTGGTCAACACAGTGGCACGCCTGGACCACTTGGACCCGCCCCAGGCCCCCAAGTGCATCACAGCGCTCTATGTCTTCTCTGAAACGTGAGTACAGGGTCGTGGGCTTGTGCCCCTGGGATCCTCACATTCCCTTAGCCCCTTCCCCAACCCCCCAGGTGCCCTGCTCCTGGCTAATACACACCCCTCTGCTCTCCTCCATAGGCACTTTGACCGCGGCATCAACGACTGGCTTTGCAAGTGAGTTGGGGGGTGGCATAGGGGATGGTCAACCTGCCAGGTGTCTGAGCAGGGCAGTGCCAGATGGGGCCACCATTTTATTTATTTTTTTAAAGATTTATTTATTTTTATACAAGAACTGGGGTACAGGCCAGAGGCACGGGCGGGTGAGAGGATTCACCAGAGACAGAGCAGGGAGCAGAACAAGCAGACTGACTGAAATACACTGCTGAGGGGAGCAGCGGGCAAGACAGGAGAGGTCTGCCGCACCATGTGGGAATCTCCCTAGCTGGCTGGAAATTGAACCCGTGCCACAGAGGCTGTGGACAGCCCCACAGCGCTGTGCTCAACCCGCTGTGCCACCTGGGAGGCCTTGGGGCCACCATTTTAAAGTTCACCTCTGGCCCAGAGGAAGCAAGGTAGGTAGTGAGGTCTTGGCAAAGGTTTGGGGCAAAAGACACATAGAGGTTCAGACTTGCGTGCAGGCCCTAGAGGTGGAGAGACATGTTCAGAGTAGAGACGCACAGCAGGCAGCCTGGACAGGACTTGGCCACAGTGGCGCTGCAGGGAGGACTTGACTACTGGGGGTATCAGGAAGGAGGAGGGATAGTGGGGCAGTTTTCAGAGGGGGCATCCGTTTGACAAATGCCTTGTTGGAATCTAGGAGACATCCTCATGTAGGTTCAGGTGTTAGAGTCTGGGGGCTTGAGGTGCAGGGAAGTCTGGAGGACTCATGTAGGTGTGAGCACTATGAATGTGGTGGATGGTCTTTAGGCCCTGGAAATGATTAAGTCCCAAGGAGAGCAGAGAGGAGAGAAGGGATAGCTGAGGTGGGGCCTGGAATGACTCTGCTTGTGAGGGACTGACAGGAGTGGTAGAGGAACAGGAAAGTGAAGGCCAAGTTAGGGAGGGTCATCCAGGTTTATTGGGGGCAGCTGTGGCAGGGGAGCTAGGGAAACTGAGCAGTAGTGGTGGTGGCTAGTCTCTCACTGGAGAGGCAGGGCGGGCGGGGGCGAAAGGAAACTAGGAACTGCACAGGGTCCCAGTGCACACAACTCCTGGGAGAAGTCTGGCACTGAAGGGAAAGACGGGGGGAGTGGCTGAAGGAAGAAATGGGGTACGTTAAAGATAGGGAACAATGGACATGCTTGGAGCCAAGAGCAATTATCGCACAGAGAGGAAGTTGCTGATGATACAGGACTGAGGGTACTTGATGGAGTGAGGTTCCTGAGGAGGGAGGTCATGGAACCAGAGCCAAGCAGAGGCCTGGACTCAGGTTGAGAAGGAAGAAGAAAAGCCAGCGTGGAGGCAGGGTGGCAGGCAAGTGTAGAAAGGTGAGGGATTCTACCCAGAGGTTGAAGAAGGAGGCAAGGTCTAGCTGAGAGATGCAAGGTTGGAGGAGGCAGCATCTGTGTGCCCATGTAGCTGCCTAATCCCCCACCACACCCACTCAGGATTGGCAAGAGGAGAAAAGGGTGAAGAAGCCACTGCAGAGCACAGCAGGAGAAGCTGAGAAGAGAAATCTTGGTACTGAGAACCCAGGCAGAAGTTAGAAATGGTAAATTCATGGTCTGTAATATGTGAAGGTGTGAGATCTTCCCCATCAAGGCTTAGCTTCTTCTTTTTTTTTTTTTTTAAAGACTTATTTATTTATTTATGCAAGCACTGGGTACAGTCAGAAGCGCGGGAGGGTGAGAGAATTCACCAGAGCCAGAGCAGGGAGCAGAACAGGCAGAAGGACCGAAGTACACTGCTGAGGGGAGCAGCGGGCGGCAGGAGAGGTCTGAGCGCCATGTGGGACCCTCCTCCGGTGGCCGGGGAGCAGCTGGGGATCGAACCGGCGCCGTGGAGGCTGTGGGCAGCTTCGCAACCCAGCGCTCAATCTCTGCGCCACCGGGGAGGCCCAAGGCTTAGCTTCTTGAGGAAAAAGTAGGTGAGCGGTCTCCCCCAAGGGGTGAGACGGAAAGAGTGAGTCTTTCAGATTATTTATAACAATGGCTCATTAAACATAAGCCTGGCAAAGAGGGTGGTGAAGATAGAAGGGGTCACAATATGAAGATGTTGGGATGTGTCAATGAGATTAAATAACTGGAGCTGGGGTTACAGTTCAGGGAGGGATGGGTAGGGAATGGTAATTAGGAAGGAGTGAAATTTCAAGCGCTGACAAATTTGTGGTTTGAGCAGTGACTGAGGCGGTGTGGAGAGGAAACCATTGGAAATGAGGTCAAGGAATGGAGAGGTCGGTGACTCACGGGTCTTCTACCAGATTCCTTTAACAAATATTTATTGAGCACATGCTATGTGCCAGGTATTGTTCTAGGCACTGGAGATAGAGCAGTGAACATGGCAAAGATCCTGACCTCATGGTGCCTATAGCTTAGTGGGGAGAAACAGACCATAAACAAGCAAACAAACATGTAAATAAGATACTTTCAGAGAGTAGTTAGCATTATGAAGAAAGTGAAACAGTGGGATTGGACAGAAGTTGGCCACAGGGCAGAAGCTTCTTTGGTTGGGATCTAGGTAGGCCTTTGAGATGAGATTGAACTGAGACCTGAGTGATAAGGAAATCTGGGGAAGAGAATTCAGGTAGAAGCAACAAGTCCGCAGGCCTTGAGGCAAGAATCCGCTGTGTGTTGGAGGGACAGAAGCCAGTAAGGTCAGAGCATAATGAATGAGTGGGGAGAATGGCAGGTGGTACAGTCAAGGAGGGAGACAGAAACCAGACAATGTGGGGTTTTCTAGCCATAATGAGGGGATTAAGTGTCTGATTGTAATGGGAAGCTACTGGGGGGAGAGGAGATTGATCATGTGATTTGAGTTATTGAGTTTTGAGTTACTGAGTTTTTTTATAAGATTTTCTTTATTTTTTTTAAAGATTTAATTTATTTATGCATAGAAGACCTGGGGTATAGGCCAGAGGTGTGGGGGTGAAAGAATTCACCAGAGACAGAGTGGGGAGCAGAACAGGTGGATCTCCTAAAATATACTGCTAAGGGGAGCAGTGGGTGAGACAGGAGAGGTCTGCTGCGCCAGGTAGGTCAGCTCCCTGGCCGGGGATTGAACTCAGCCTGTTGTGGTGATAGCTCTGAAACTTAAACCCTAGGCCGCCAGGGAGGCCCCATTATTGCATTCTTAAAAGATGCCACTAGCTGCCAGGTGGTGAACACGCGGTGGGCAATGAAGGCAGGAGGAGAGAGATGATTTAAAAGACTGGCAATAATCTATGGCGAGGGGCTCGCGCAGACTAGGATGGTGGTAGTGGAGGTGGCACGCAGTGGTCGAGACTGAGGGGAGCCAGTAGGATTGGCTGACTTGGATGTGGCTGGACACCAGAACTAAGCATCCAAGATGGTGTCTACACTTCTGGCCTGCAACTGAATGAATGGTAGTATCGTTAACTGAGATGGGGATGAGGAGGGCTTGGCGAGGATGGGGCATCAGTCATTCAAGTGAGCTGTCTAGCTACAGTCAGATATATGGGTCTGGGCTAAAGACACAGATTTGGTGCTCATCAGCATAGAGACAGTATTCAGAGTCTTGGTTCTAGATGAGATCATTTGAGAAGTGAACAAATATAACTAGAGAAGAGATGAACTTGAAGACTGAGCCTCCATGTTATGAAGCTGGGTAGGGGAGGCTGAAAGTGTTGATGGTGTGGAGAGGAGCTCTCCTATTATGTATCCTTTGCTCTTTTCCTACCTATGTTTTCCCAGCTGTCCCCTCTTCTGCCTTTCCCACAGGTATGTGTATGACTACATTGGTGGGGAGCACTCTGAGGTGATCCCAGAGCTGGTGGCCTCTGTGGCCACATTTGCCGTCACGACTCTGTGGCTTGGGCCTTGTGACATTGTCTACCTGTGGTCACTCCTTAACTGCTTTGGCCTCAATTTTGAGCTCTGGGTACAGAAGCTGGCCGAGTGGGAGCCCCTAGCACAAATTGAGGTGAGCAGGGAAGGACTGGAGAGGGGTTTACTGGGTCACTGGATGGGGTGGTACTGCTCTCCGGAGTCTTCCAGTCATACTTGGCCCCCAGTCCAGAACTTCCTCACCACCAGCTTCCTGGCTGTCAGGGCAGTGGGTATCCTGCTCTCCCCACTTCTGGGGTTGTGGGACACTCAGGCCTGTGTTGGCTAGGCCTGCCCTCTCTCCAGGACTGTTTCCCCTTCGTTTTTTTTTTTTTAAAGATTTATTTATTTATGCAAACAAGAGCTGGGGTACAGGCCAGAGGCACAGGAGGGTGGGGGGTGGGGGTGAGAGGATTCACCAGAGACAGTGGGGAACAGAACAGGCAGACTGACGAAATACACTACTGAGGGGAGCAGTGGGCGAGACAGGAGAGGTTTGCTGCACCATGTGGGTTGCTCCCTGGCTGGCCAGGAATTGAACTCGTGCTACAGTGGCTGTGGACAGCTTCATAGGTTGCGTCTTAACCCTTGTGCCACCAGGGAGGCCCCTGTTTCCCCTTCTTTAACAAAGGAGAGCTGACCTGAGGCTCTCAGAGACACAGGCACAGGCTCAGGACCTGGGCGGCCATGTGGGCAAGGTCTCTGACAATCATGTCCTCTTTCTCCTCTGCCTCTTGCCCCATCGCCGATGCTTTCCTGGACTGGGCAGTCCTCTCTGTCGGGGCAGATGTCCCGCAGGGTCCGGGCCCTCTTTGGGGCTGTGAACTTCTGGGCCCTCATCATGTACAACCTCGTGAGCCTCAACAGCCTCGAGTTCACAGAGCTGGTCGCCCGGCGCCTGCTACTCACAGGTGAGGTGCTACCCACAGGTGTGCTGGGCATGACCCCAAGGGCTGTGACCTTCTGAAATGCCCCCACCCCACCCCGGCACTCCAGGGACCCAGCAGGGAGGGCCAGGTGAGGGGGGGAGGCATGGGAAGAAACATGTGAGAGGAGGCGTGCTGCTCCCAGGGATTGACAGCCCCCATCCCACACAGGGTTCCCCCAGACGACACTGGCCCTCCTGTTTGTCACCTACTGTGGTGTCCAGCTGGTGAAGGAGCGAGAGCGAGCCCTGGCACTGGAAGAGGAGAAGCAGGACAAAGAGAAGCCAGAGTAGGTGGGAGGGGGGAGAGCAAAGGGCTCAGGTCAGGGGGACGGGGCCTGACCAGTAGAATAAAAGACTTTTCTACCACAGATTGGCTGTTCCCTGTCCTGCCCCAGGCAGTCTTCTGGCTCCTGGTCCATGCTGGATAAGGAGAGAAGGTTCTGGGCCTCAAGGGGGGGTCAGGCTCTTGGTACACAGAGTGTGAGAAGGCACCCACATGAAGGCAGAGACCATGGACCCCACACCCAGCAGCTAAGCACGGAAGCCCTAGACCTGCAAACACCTGGTCACTGATTCTCAGAGCACCTGATTCCAAACCCTGAGCTGCTGACTTGAAAGGCACTTTATTCTTCTTCAAGGAGATGACTCATGCTGCAAGGTGCACGTGACGGGGACACCATCAGACAGGTGAGGAAATAGTCCTGAGGAGAAATTTACCAGCACACGCAGCCTGACACTCGTCCCTGTGGTTTTGGCTCAAGAAAACCGGGTGACAGGAGACAATGGAGAGGCCTGAGGTTTCTTGGCCCTGCCCAAAAAGCTAGGATTGGGCAGTCATTTCCCTTCCTTCACACAGCCCCTCAGGCATCATAATGGGCTCCGGCCTCTCCCAGACTCCTGCCTGGAGCCCCAGAGGGCCAGGCCTGTGCGGCCTGGGGTGGCGGCGGAGCTTAGCTCAGGCCCATTGGGTCCGTCACATCTTGGTCAGGCGCAGCACGTTGAGGCGCACGGGCAGGAAGGAGGCCCCGGCGGCGTAGGCGATCTCCCGCAGGACGCCCTCCCACTTCTTCTCCTCCTCGTTGTATCTGGGGATCGCAGCGGGGACAGGGGTGAAGAGCTGGGTCAGCAGAGTCCAGAGTGGGGCCCAGCAGGAAGGGATGGCTGCGTGCAGGAAGCCACCCCAGGATCAGCCCGCAGCCCCAGGCCCATCTCCAGGAAGGTCTGTCCCCAGAGAATTCTCCTGCTCTGGGAAGGGATCCCCTCACAGGGTCCAAAGGACACCCAGTCCACATTCCAGGAAGGGCCACTCTCAGGATTCCCACCTCCATGAAGTCCGTCTCCCTCTAGGAAGGTTTGCACCTCCCTGCTCCTGAGAATTTCTCCACTCGACCCTCTAAGAAGTCCCCCCAGCCCCACTCTCCTGGCGGTGCTGCTCCCCTGTGCAGGGTGGCTGCAGGGACAGCCAAAGGTGCCCAGTTTCCCAAAACCTCTTCCCCCCACCCTAAGGAAGGACCAGCCATGGAGAGCCTCGGCTTGGAGAAACTGGGGTCCAGCCACTTCTCAAACCTGACCCCAGCCCTGTCCCCAGAGCGAGCATCCAAGAGAGAGGGGAGAGGAAAGGCCTGGCTGCCTCTCCGTGGCCCCCTCTATTCCCCGGGCCTAGTTCCATGGGTCTGTGCCCCACGCAGGGGCAGCGCCACAGTCGGGCACAGTGCCGTGTGTGCACGCCCAGACTTTCCCACCCAGCCGCAGAGCCAGGGCTGAGCCGGGCGGGTTTGCTGTCCCAGATGCTGTCCCAGCTGCTGGCTCCCTGGAAGAGGAATCAGCTCTGCCCCCAGGGGAGCTTTAGGCACCCGGGTGCCCATCCATGGTGCCCTGATTCTCCCTCACCTCCCCAGGGCGGGCTCACCTCCAGATGTCATTGAGCTCTGTGGGAACCAGCTCCCCGGACTCTGTCTCCAGGGTGGCAAAGCCGCCGATGGCATAGAGGGTGCCCGACAGGCTGACCAGGCTGAGCGAGCTCCGCTCCTGCGGGAAGGCTTCAAAGGGTGCCCACCTGGAGGGAAGAGCGTGTGAGGAATATCAAGGGGGCAGGGGTCTCAGCCAGTCAAGTCGCTGTCTCCCGCCCTCAGCATCCACTTCAGCTGCACCCACAGCTTCCGCTGCACCCCGCTCCCATGCTCCCTGCACAACCTCTGTTTCCTGACTCTCAAGCTTCCTTCATTCCTCTCTCCTGGCTCCCACCCTCCGGGGCCCAACCACCAGAGGACCCCAGCGCACACCTCTGCTGAGCCCTTTTCTACCTCCCACCAGGTCACCATCTCAGATTCCGTCCGATGAGTCATCCGCCCCTTTGTCCCTCAGGCCTGGGCCTCAGCTTCTCCCATCTGTGCACTGTTGACACCTCATCTCTCCCTCCAGCCCAGACCTGTCTCTGCCCACGTGGGCTCCTCCTGGACACCCCCAGGCACCTCAAATGCACAAGTCCTAAGTAGACCCTCACTTTCCCTACCTAAGCAGACGGTTCTCCAATAAATGGCCCTCCACCCTCACTGACAAGCATCCCCAACTTTCTCTCAGCAGCATCCAATCAATTGCTAAATTCTATTTCTTCTGTCTCTTAAACGTTTGCTACTCAAAGTATAGCATGTGGGCCAGCAGGCTCAACGCCACCTCGGGGGTTGTTAGAAACGCAGATTCCTCAGCCACACCCCAGACCTGAAAATCAGAATCTGCACTTTCACTGGGTCCCCTGCAGATACCTGGGCTCACTGCCCAGTGTGAGAAGCCGGGGTCAGGTGTCAGCGCCTCTCTCGGCCCCACCTCCACTGTACACTGCAGCCCTAGCCACCATCAGCTCTTGCTGTGCAGCTGCACCCCGGCTCCCCCAATCCCTACTCTGTGCTCTACAACAGCTGCCACCATAGATGGGAGCTGAAAGCCTGCCAGAGGCATCTCATTGCCCTCAGGATACAGCCCCTCAGCCCCATGCCCATCTCCAGCCCCACCTCCCGCCCTCCCCACACCCCATGGGACCTGAGCAAAGACATTGCCTCCAAGGGCCCACCTTTTTCTCCTGTCTTGCCACTGACTTTTCTTTGCCTGAAGCATCCTTCTCTCACCACCCCTTTGGCTGCCAGCTCAGTTTTCTCCTTCCTGACCTCCCAGGACAGCGTTGCTTCTGTTTTGTTCACCAAGGTCTCCTCAGCACCAGGCCAGTGCCTGGTGTGAGTCAGAAAGAGGAGCCTGATGTCTTCTACTTGACACCTGGGTGCTCTGTGCCACAGACCAGGTCTGCCAAGCCCTCGCCCCAGACTGCTGGGGAAGCCCTCTCGTGCACGCATGCAGAGGACCAGGCTCAACAGTGCAGACCCAGGACAGTGTGTATGGCTCCCACAGGGCAGACGCGGAGGCCAAGCCAGGCCCAGAGTCCCACAGCCCAGAGCTTATAGGACCCTTGGTGCCTGGTTGTCCTGGCTGGGGAGAGAGAGGCAGGAGCCGTACTTGTTGTCAGCGATGCTGTACACCTCTGCAGAACTGGTCAGCCCTGTGTCTGTGACCCCAGCAGCCACAAAAATGCGCCCATCATGGATGGTGGCCCCAAAGAGTGATCGGGCTGTCTGCATGGGTGCCAGCTCCTTCCACTCGAACTTCTTAGGGTCATAGACGCACATCTTGTTCAGGCACTTCCTGTGGGGTGGGGGACAGTGAGCAAACAGGAGGTGGCAGGAGCAGGGCAGCCTCTCCCCTGGGCCAACCCTGCACTGCCTCCTGACCCGCCTCAGCCTCGGGGCCAGCGTCTTCCACCTGCAGCGCTCCTCCAGGTCTGCGCCTCACCTGTTGCTGCCTTTGCCACCAATGACATAAACCAGGTCCATGTGGGAGAGCACGGCGTGGCCATACACGGCATAAGGCAGAGGGTCCGATTCGCCCCATTTGAAAGACCTGGGAGGGACGAGAATAGGGCGAGCGCCCACCTCAGGCGCAGCTCCAGCCTCTGCATTCACCACCCACAAGAGGCAGCTCAGGGCGCCCCGATGCATCACCGGAACTCCCCCGACCCTCGCTGCCGCGCGCCCACCCGACGTCCTACCCGCCCCGCCCCGCCCCTACCCGGTCTAGGCCCCGGCCCCGGGCTCTCGCCCCGCGGCCCCGCCCCGCGGCCCCGGACCGCCCCGGGACTCCAGGCTCCCGCCCGGATCCTCGGCCCCGCCCCAGCCCCGCTCACAGCCGGTCGTAGCACAGGACAGAGTCCAGGCTGAGCTCCGCGTCCTTGAGCTCGCGGCCGCCGACCACGTAGATGGAGTTGAGGGCCTCTCCCAGGCCGAAGAGGCAGCGTGGCGAAGGCAGCGGCGGCATCCCCAGCCACTCGGAGTCCAGGTGGTCGAACTGCGGACCGGGCGTGGAGTCAGCTACCACCCCAGCTCCAGCCCCCCCCACCCCCAAGGCCAGCCCGTGCCCCAACCCTGGTCACAGGAGGAGAGGGGCTATTGGCAGGGCATGTGCCTCCCGGGGAGGCTGTCCCTGGAGAAGCGCCCTCCTTTCATAAAACAGAGCAGCCAAGGGCGCCCCTCTTCCCCACACAAGGTAGAGGCCGCTGAGACGGCCCTTGTAGTACCATGTTGGGATCCTTGGTCAGAGCTGAGAAGGGGCGTCTGAGAGCAAGGTCCAGCTGAGGCCCTAGGCCTCCCCCAGCCCAGCTTGCCAGTGAGGGCTGGCGACTCTGGGTTTCCATCAGCCGCTTCAGAGGGAACTTCCCAGTAAGCCCTGCCACTCAGCCCTTAAGCTCTGCAGGGCAAGTTTATCCACTCCACAGCCTTATACTAGTGATTCAGTGGTTTATGTTCTTGGAAGGCTTTCTGAGGGCTGATCAGTCCGCTAATGAATACTTTAGAAGCATCATTTAACTTTCAAACAACCTTGTCAAGCAGGAATAATACCCCTATTCACAAAGAGGCTCCTAAAGAATAAACAATGGACCTCGATGTTTGACTCATAATAGTGGAACTGCACCCCACCCTCACCCCCAGGCTAACCCTGTCACCAAGCTACCCCTCACCTCTCACATGGCGGGCTGTCCCTGGGCACTCCAGCTCATTCATTCCCATCTCTGTCCCTTGCTCACCATTCCTGGCCACAGGCACTACCGCTCTCCTCTCCTGCCTCCTAATTCCCCCAACTGACAAGATTGAAACCTACATAGCTAGTTCAGAAAAGCATTTTTGCCCTTGGAGGTCCCACAGTCACCCTGGGCACCCCACCCTAATGATTCCCTGTTGGAACTCAGTTTCCTCATCTGTACAATGGGAGGACTACAAGATAGGCCCTTTAGGACACTATCCTGGCCCTCAGGTAAGGACCCTGCCCTTTAAACTGCCCTTCTGCCTCCTTCTCGCTGGGCCTGCCCCCAGCCTTTGTTCAGTGCTAGGGCCTCCATATCAGACACTTGTGGGATTAACATCCTCCTGAACTGACACACCAAAGTTATGCAGCTTAGCATCAACCACCTAAGACGGTCTTCAGTCTTAGGGAACCGGCTGTCAGTGAACCTCCCTGGTCTACAGCTCACCCTAGACCCAGGGACGCTGTGCAACAAGTAGACAGCGGGGTCTGTTGGGCTTCAAGGCTGCTGCCTATGACCAGGCTCCAGGACTGGCTGCCTCCTCCCGGGGCTGGCCAGGCACCTGCAAGAAGTAAGCACTCATAGGGTCCTCCTTGTTCTCCTCGTTGTAGAAGAGGCCCCCGGCCACGAAGACCTGGTTCTCCTTGGTCACCAGGCTGACGTGGTTCTTGGGGATCTGCGTAGAGAGGGATGCACAGTAGCACTCGTTGGCCGCGGGATCATAGGCCATGGCGCCCTCCTCACTGATCATGAAGATGAGGTCCTGCAGGAACATGCCAAAGCGCAAAGTGTCATTGAGGATCCCGGGCAGGACTCGCTCCGCGTCGTCCTCATTCTCCTCGGCCTTGGCTTCAGGCGTGCCCTTGTTGTCTGCCTTGGCACCTGCTGCCTCCTTCCCCTTCTCCTTCTTCTTCTTGCGCAGCACAGTGAGGCGGCCCTCGTGCGCATCCTTCACCATCTGCACCTTGCGCAGCAGCTCGGGCTGGGCCCGCACGAGAGGGTGTCGCTCCACGCGGCTTTCCAGAAAGGCCCGCGGCAGCAGGCGGCAGCGCACGCTCTCGAAGACCGTGGGCAGCGCGCGCTGGCGCTCCGCCTGCGCCTGGGCGTCGCCGGAGCCAGCCCACTGCATCACCGCCTCGAACACGGCCTCCTCCTTCTCCACGTTGAGGCTGTCGCTGGAGATGATGGCGATAAGCTCATCGGCCGAGAGCCCGAGGAAGTCGGCGTCGCGCGCCACGAGGGCGAAGCGCGAGCAGATGAAGTCGCGGGCGGCCACCGCGAGGCGCGCGCAGTCCAGGAGGAGGCCGAGGCGGAAGACGGCCAGGCAGTTGGAGAGACACAGGCGCTTCTGCAGGAAGGACACGCAGATGGTGAAGATGGAAGGGATCTGAAAGCGGTGTGCGGCGGCGAACAAGTCCTGCACGCTCGCCTCGTCCAGCGCGATCTCCGACGTGTACAGGTAGTGCAGCACCTGGGCCACCACGTCCGGGGACACCTCCTCCAGCCGCAGCTCGCCCGCCTGTTCCGGCTCTGCCAGAAAGCGAGCTCGGAAGTAGGGGCTGCAGGCGGCCAGCACCAGGCGGTGGCACGGAAACTCGCGCTCACCCACCCGCACCACACAGTCAAGGAACTTGCCGTGGTCCAGCATGTCCTTGAGCCCATCCTGCAGGAGCGTCTGCTGGTACAGGCGCTGCTCCTCCGCCTGCTCCAAGCCCAGTGCCATGGTGGGTGGCCTTGGGTGCCGCAACCTTAGCAGCGGGTTCCTCTCCCAAGTCCCCGGCTTTCCTGCTGGGTCTCCCCGGGTCTAGGCAGCTGTCTTCTTCGCGGGGATATATATAGAGGTGGGCTGGGCCCTGTAAGATGAGCTGCCTGACTTCTGCACATGACACAGAGGTGACAGCTGGTCAGATGCCCCTTCCCAGAGCAGGCTTGACTCAGCCCCCAGGACTCATGGGCCCCCTGAGGGGTGTCTGGGCCCACTGGGGAAGAAAGAGAGCATCCTGTTTCTTTTATCTATCTATCTATCTATCTATCTATCTATCTATCTATCTATCTATCTATCTATTTGGGATTCTGCATTCTTTGGTAGGGCAGTGCCTCTCAGGGACAGAGATGACCCTCAATTCAAGGACGGGCAGCATTAGAGTCCCTCTTCTAATATCTTCCTTCCTTTATACCTTCTAGGCCTCCCCGTGAATGCCTCTTCTCCCCGCCTGGAATAACTCACTCCAGCTGCTGCTGTTACAGTGCGCTTGGGCTTCCTGCCCAGTGACCTGGGGCATGTCATTCACTCACTGGGGACCTGGTTGCCCCACCTTTAAAATGGAAATCCTTTACTGCTTTCTCCACCTGCTCCGAGACCCTCCTTGGACTGTGTAGAAAAGCAAGAAGGTGCCCTAGGTAAACAAGGTCTTCATTTTCCTTTGGGATCTGGGGCAAAGTCAGATCTCCCTGTTGAAACTGTGTCCCTTCCTGAACAATGAGGAGGTCAAGTTAGGCTCTAAGGACCTCAGTTTAGTTCTGCTGAAATCCAGAAACATGTGTCCCTGTGGATTCCCTTTCACGTGGCTTTAACATCACAAGGTGTCAGACACATTAGAAAACTAACTTCCTAGTATTTGATTCTCGTAGACATCTCAACTATCTAGGGAAGTGACCTTCTAGATTCCAGTATTCAAAAAGTAACACTCTAAGAGTGTAATATTCTGTTGATAGGACTCTAGCTGTCTGTGCTCATGGTTCCTTCCACACTGAGCTTGACCTGAGCCAGCCTAGTTTCAGGGCCCTCACATCTGTCTAAGGGGTCAGAATAGGGGCCCCAGAATAGCCAGTCCTGATAACCACCCTACTCTGGACTCCTGACAACCCCCCTTTACACACACACACACACACACACACACACATACCAGCCTCAGTCACCAAAATTAACTTGCTCCCAAAGTGCCAGAGGCTGCAGCTGTGGGTTAAATTTAGCCCCCGGGGTGCTGGTGGAACTGTTATGGGGCATTCTCCCATCATTCCTCTGAGTCATTTGTTTATAACCTCAGGTTTGGCTGTCTGGGGGATTGCAGAGGGGATCTCTCAGGCTGGGCCAGGACTGAGTCACCTTCCCCTTTGTGATCTTAGCAATATCACTGCCTGTCCCTGCTGAATGGTATCCCCATTTTCCCCCGCACGCCCCTCCACCCCCGCTGGCCCAAACAGGCCTAACAGGAGAAAAGCACACAGCGAGGTCCTGGAAATAGTTCTGTGGCTCCTTCATTACCTTGCAGAAAGGACAAAGGCCCACCTAAAGAGGGCAGGTGCTGGGCCCTGGCTGCAGGGCATTTCCCACAAGCACCTTCCATGTGAAGACTCTAAGAGACCAGGTGACTTGGCCAAGCCACACAGCTGGCAAGTGGCCAAGACGGGTGAAGCAGATCTGCCTGCCTCCCAAGACTGGGAATCCTTCTACCTGCTTCCCACAAATGAACCCAAAAATGTCCATTAATCATAGTGCCGTTTCCCAAGACCAGGACAGAAGGTACTGACTGAACAATTAACTGATATTTATCAAGTGACTCAATGATGTATTTTTAGATCATGATGAATCCCATAGTGCTATCTCCTTACCAAAGCATTTCACTAGAATATTTATATGTGGCTCCTTCATTCATCGAGAACCTACTGTGCACTGCTTAAAATGCTGAGGACTGAGCAGTGTATACATCGGGCAAGAATTCCTGTCATTATGAAGCTTATGTTCATTGGAGGTTGGGGTTGGGTGGGTGGGGATAACAACAAATAAATAGTTATACAGAAGGATGTCAGATGATGATAACAGCTTGGGTGGCAAGTATCGGAGATGGGGGATGGGAAATGAAAGGTGGCGCTGATGCTGGAATCATCAGGATAGACTCATTAAAAGGACTGCATTTGAGCAGGTTCACGCCTTGGGAAAAGAAGATTTCAGGCCAGGGAATGGCTGGAGCAAAGGCCCTGAGGCAGGAGAGCACCTGGCCAATTCCAGGAACAGTGAGGAAGCCAGTGGGACTGAGGCTTTGAAGAAGGATGTGAGTAGGAGGAGATAAGAGAAATAATAGATGGGCCTCCCTGGTGGCGCAAGGGGTTAAGCACCGCACTATGAAACAATCCACAGCCTCTGCAGCACAAGTTCGATCCCCAGCCAGCCAGGGAGAAACCCACATGGCGCAGCAGACCTCTCCTGTCTCGCGCGCTGCTCCCCTCAGCAGTGTATTTCAGTCAGTCTGTCTGTTCTGCTCCCCACTCTGTCTCTGGTGAATCCTCTCACCCCCTGCACCTCTGTCCTGTACCCCAGTTCTTGTATGCATAAATAAATAAATCTTAAAAAAAAAAGAGAAGTAATGGCTGAGGGAATCATGTAAGGCCATGTGGGTGAGTATACAGTGAAGTGGGAGCCAGTATTTATTTTTAAATTATAATTCTGGGGAAAGCAAAAATATACAAAAGTAGAATAATGCATTGACCTCTCATGCATCCATCACCCCATTTCGATGTTGTCATCTGGCGGTGACGAATACTGTTTCATCTCTGTCCCCACCCACTCTGTTGCTCAGCCAGGGAGATGCGCAGGGATCAGATATGGGTACAGGACAGAGGGGGAGAAAGCATGACCTCACGGCTTTTAGCTGAGTCCTAGGAAAATGTCACCTCACTTCATCCTTTTAATTTTCACTCATTTACTCTTCATACCAAAATTATGAGGGAGGTATTATCTCCCCCATTTTACTGAAAGTGACATTTAGATGGCCAGCAAATAAGGATCAGTTTTAAAACTTACAACAAGCCAAAAGTAATCAAAACAGTGTGTTAACTGGCACAAAGCTGGATTTATAGACTAGTGGAATAGAAAACATAGTCCAGAAACAAACCCTCATGGCCAGTGTTTTCTGTAGAAAATCCTGTGGCAGTTTCCTATAGAACTAAATATGCAACTACGATTTAACCCAGCAATTGCCCCTTTGAGCATTTATTATTTATTATTTATTCATGAGAAATAATAATGTATATTCATACAAAACTCTAGCAGCTATATTTATCATAGCAAAAGATTGGAAACAGCCCTATCCTCCTTCGATGGTAGAATGTTGTACACGAGAACCATGGAGCAGCACTCAGCAATGAAAACAAATAAATTGCTGATATATATATATATACAATAACTTGGATCAACCCCTAACAGAATTAGGCCAAGTAAAACATGTCAGTCCCAAAGATTACATCCTATGTGATTCCACTAATATAACATTTTGAAAGGACTAGAGATTTTAAAAGTACAGATTGGTGGCTGCCAGTGGTTAGGAACAGAGTGGAGAGAGACAGGAGGGAGTTATGTGTAGTTATAAAAGAGGCAAGAGAAGGATCTTTGTGGTGATAAAATGGTTCTGTGTTTTGACTATAGTTGTGGATACATGAACCTACACACATGGTGAAATTGTACAGAATGAAATACACACAGATGAGGACAAGTAAAATTAGGAAAATCAGATAAAATGGGTGAATTGTGTCAATATCAATATCCTTATCAATGTTTTATATAGGTTGTATATTTTACTAGAATATTATGGGGAAATTTGGTAAAATGTATAGGAAAACTCTCATGTAGCTGCATGTGAATCTATAATTACCTTAATAAAACTGTCAATTAAAATGATGATGTGGTAATTGGACATTTGGTGGTGGGTATGGTGTGATACATACAGTAGCTGGCATGAGAAGCTATATGCCTGGAACATTATAAAATAATGTCACCTCAATAAAAAGAAAAAAATGATTGGGGTCTTCCTGGTGACACAAGGGGTTAAGTCTCAGCACTATGAAGCTATCTACAGCCAAAGCAGCACAAGTTCCATCCCTGGCCAGGGAGTTGACCCACATGGCGCAGCAGACCTCACCTGTCTTGCCCGCTGCTCCCCTCAGCAGTGTATTTCAGTCAGTCTGCCTGTTCTGTTCCTTGCTCTGTCTCTGGTGAATCCTCTCACCCCCACCCCCCACCTCTGGCCTGTACCCCAGCTCTTGTATGCATAAATAAATAAAACAAATCTTTAAAAAAATGATTAAAGATCACAGAACAAAATTTTTTAGAAATCTCTACATAAAAAACAAACAGGAGAAGAAAAGGAGTTAGAAGAAACCAAGAAAAAACAACAAGAAACAAAAAAACTTCAAATATTGCTATTAGTGTTATCAGAAAGATGAGATGCTTATATAATAAAAGAACAAGCATTATTTAAAAATAGAACAAAGAAGAGTTTTTGGAAATTAAAAACTGTCATTACAGAAATTAATGTATCATTTGATAGAAGGAATAGAAGGTAAATTTGAGGAAATCTCTCAGGAAATAAAACCATAAATGAAGAATATAAGAGACTAGGTAAGAGAATTAGAGAAGTCCAATATCTACATAACAGAAGCTTAACAGAGAGCAGAGAAAAACACAGGGAAAAGAAATTTTTCAACTGTATTAAAGAAAGTTTCCAACCTGAGGGGACTACTTCATCAAGCATCCAATTCAACGGATGAGAAAAAATTCACACCAGGTTGTGAGAACTGACGACCCTGGAGACAGACAAAGGCCCTGGAAGCTTCAGAGGGAAAATAAACAGGCCACACAGATAGGATTAGGAATCAAAATGGCAACAGAAACACCAGCATCCAAACTTCTAAGGGGAAATGATCTCCAATCCAGATTCTCTACCCAGGCAAACTCGTTCCTGTGTAAGGAGGGTAAAACAAACTGTCAGGATCTTTAGAATTTAATTCCATGAAGTCAACTGCAACATAAGGCTCTAGAAATTAGAGATTTCTGCGATGAACGTAGAGGGGCACCATGTCAGCAGAGTGTGACAGGGAACCTGGCTGGGATGCAGGGAAGGGGTTTCTCAAGTCTCCTAGTGGGAAATGGGTTCAAACTCCTGTACCTCGGGGTCTCCTGCTGCACTGCTCGTGGGTTCTGGTGATGGCCCAGTGTCCTCTGTGTGGTCACCCTGCAGCTGCGTGATGCTGCCACCAGCTCTGCTGTTTCCCCTGCTCCTAGGCCTGGGAAGCAGCAGTCCCGTCAGGCCTGGCACAACTCTTCACAAGCCCCCCACACCTCCACTGGCAGCCACTGCAGTGTTGCATCAAATTGAAGGAGCAAGCTCAGACAAAGGAAGATGGAGGATTTGGGGGAATGACAGATCCACCTGGGAACTAGGCAAAAACTCCTCAGGAGCGGGAGAGGGAGATCCCAGGCTGACAGGGGAGACATCAGCCAGCTCAGATCCAAGCAAGAGAGAATGCGAGGATGAAACGGATGGGACATCTCTGTGTTTGCACGTGTTGGAAGGAGAATTACATTCTGGCAGCGAGTTTGGGATGCAGCATGGAGGAACCAAAGTAAATAATTTTTAAAAAGAGATAAAAATGAAAATTTGTGCAAGAAAGGAAATGGAGCCATTTTCTATTAGATGGCTCAGTGGAGATCAGTGTTTACATAAATCGTTATAATATATACATGGAATATTAATCTACCTTCAAAATAATAACACAACTATAGTGGGGGAAAGAGGAGGGGGAAACTGTGTGTGTGTGTGTGTGTGTGTGTGTGTGTGAGAGAGAGAGAGAGAGAGAGAGAGAGAGAGAGAGAGAGAAGTGGTGAGGAAATAAATCAATAGTTAATGCCTAATATTGACAAAGCCAGGAAGTACTGCTGGAAGTGTGTTTTATAGGCATGAAAATACCAAAATTACCAACTGAATCGGAATTTGTTGCCTGTTGGGAGTTGGACAGGAGGAGGTACAGGGGACTGCATTTTTTTGTTTTAAAAAATCTTTCTAGAAATATTTGACTTGTTAGATTATGTTCAAGACTTAAATTTTTAAAAAATCAGTATTTTTCCAGGGATTCTATAGAAAACAATGCCAGTGGCGTGGCCTGGTGCACACAGCGAGCACAGGCCCTGCCCACCACCCAGAGAGGCCGCTGTAGAAAGTGGCGTGGGCCAGGGAAGGGTCAGCTATGGCGGCAGTACAGAGACTCTGCCTTGCAAGGCTGAGGAACTTCCTACAGGACACATAATCCACTCTGAGCCCAGGCACGGTACACGTGTGGTGTGGGTTCCTTAGCGAGGCTAAGGCCCAGGCCAAGGGACGTGGTGAGAGGAGGGCCTGGCTCTCTCCTCGAGCTACAGTCCACTCCCAGAACTTGGCGTCTTGTTCTTGCATCTTGGACTCTGCTGACTGAGAGGTCACAGTAACCAAGGGAGGACTCTCCACGGGGCCTCAATCATGTTTCCATTCAGCTGGAAGCTGAGAAATCCACTTACCCAAGTGATTTTGAGCTCCGACACTGGAAAAGCAGGCAAAAAATAGGGTCTTGTGAGGACTGTAATTGGTCCCGGCCTTGAAGCAGAAATCTGGTTGCTGCCACACTGGGGTAGGAAGCAGCAAGTCTGGACCCTCTTGGGAGATTCCTCTTGCCCCATACTGAGAGATGAAAGACAAAGGCATATACTATTCAGCCATAAAAAGGAATGAAATGATACTGATCTAGGTGATACAACATAGGTGAATCTTAAAAACATCACAATAAGTGAGAGAAGTCAGACATGAAAGGCCATATAGTGTATAATTGCATTTAGTGAAATATTCAGAATGGGGAAATCCATAGAGAAAACACAGATTGATGGTTTCAGGGACTAAGGGAAGGCGAATGGGGGCAAGTGCTTAATGGTTATGAGGTTTCTTTCTGGAGCAACGAAATGTTTTGGAACTAGTTAGACATGGTGGTTACACGACATTGTGAATGCACCAACTGCCACTAAAGTTCACTTTAATTTTACGGTCATTAACATTCATTTTAAATGGTTACTTGTGTGTTGTGTGAATTTCACCTCAATAAAAATGGAAAAAAGTGGGCAACCAGAGCAACCCCGATACCGAACCACCGGGCCTCCTATCCTTCGAGACTGCATTTCTGTGAGCTCCGAGGGGAACGTGAAAGGGGGAGAGCAGCAAAAAGCATCAACACCATCTTGACCTCATGCCTGGAGCAAAGGAGGATGGAGCATCTTCCTGTCTTCTTCCTTGCTGGGTAAGATGCAGGCATGTATCAGATATTTGAACTAGTTTTCTTCCCACCTCCCCTTCCTCTTCTGTTCTATAAAGGGTCTGGTGGTGATGGTGACATGTACAACACAGTCCAGACATGTAAGAACACCAGAACAGAATCACAGCTGAATACAGAGACAGCAGCTAGCACTGCAGATCCTGGATTTGGGGCTAGACAGCGTCAGTGTACACAAAAAGCAATGTCCCCTTTGAAGAAGGGGATGAGCACATTTTTATTTATATGAGGGGAGTTGTTAAGGGCTTTTGTTGTTGAATGGGAGAGGGTGCATGCTGCTATCAGGTGGTGAAAGGCCTGAATATGCCAATTAGTCACGCCCATGCAAGGCCATGATTCAGAGGAGAGGAAAGCAAGGAAATAGGTACCACATAGATTGCAGGGTCTGGGGAGGTGGCAGAAGGGGTGTGTAGATGTAGGGAACAGCAGAAACAGCTTCTTGTGTATAGCCACTGGCATCACTAGTTCCCAGCTGGGGCGGCAGTCACACCTCCCTTGGGGCAAGCCCTGAAGAGTGGTTTGGGTTTGTTCCTGGCTGAATCTCTGGTTCTCTTGGAGATTTAATTAACATATTTTCATTAAATTGTTTTCTGCTTAGGTTGGCTAGAGGCCCCGTTTGCCACCAGTCGCTGGTCACCATCCAGTACCATGCTCTTCTGAAGGCTGCTGGGGGTCACACTCTGCCCAGTTGAATGTGGGGATGTGGCCCTGCTCAGTGGTTTTTTGAATCACGCAGACCTGGGTTTGAGTCCTGGCTCCAACACTTCCCAGCCAAGCACAAGTTACTTTACCTCTCCAAGACTCCGTGTCCTCAGGTCGTCAGCTTCCTCAGAAAGTTGTGCGTGAAGAGAAACTGCAGGGTATCTTCAGGACGTGACAGCTGTGGTCAGTAAGAGAATCTGCCCATGTGGAGACACCAGATCAAAGCTGTCCTGCTGGGTATTGAGTGCTGAGGTGGGAAGTGGTTTGTCAGGACACAGTCTGTCCTGACTCACTCTCCAGTCAGGGCTCTAGAAAGCCATGTATTCCGGGTAAGCCCACGGGCACAGCTAAGCCGCTGGTATGTTGCTTCCTCATCTCGCTGACCCCGGCTGTGCTGTCCGGGGGAGGAAGCCCAGCTTTCTCCAGCAGACCAGCGCTGCTCTGACTCGAGTTCCAGGGCACGAGGAGTTAAGCCATTTCGTCCCAAAGAACAAAACTGGAGACAGTGAGTGCCTGAGAGATGCCACCTTGGTGCCTGCATCCACAGCCCATGGCCACTTGGCGGCCTCTGCTTCCCAGCCTAAAGTGACGTGTGTCCCAGACTCTCTGGAGCATGAAGTAGGAGAAAGAGGTGGGTGGCGGTGGCACTGAAGGAGAAAGAATGTGGAGAGAGGCCTCATGCAAAGGGGTGGGTAGCAAGGAGGAGAGCACACACAGAGAAGCAGAGACCCACAAGAGACCAGGAGCAGTCAGGCCCCTTTTTTTAGGGTGACCAGTTCCTTCCAGTCAAAGACATGGACTATGGAAAGGTGGTGTCCACATCCTGGGAACCTGCACCTGGCCTAATTGGTTAATGGGCCACCCAGCAGCCTCCTCTCGCAGCCCCTTCCCAGTCCTGGGGACCTCTCCATATATCTGGGGCTAAGTCAGACACAGGAGCCCCATGTACCATGTCTCTCCTGGGCCTAGACTTCACTCCAGCCAGTGCTGCATACAGTAGCCACACAATGAAAGAATCCTGAGGTCCCCAGAGGGCGCCACCTTCTCCCTCATTGGGGAGGCCTCTCTGTCTTCTGTCTGTTTTTGTCCTGCCGGGTGCTCACGTCAGCACCTCTGACATCAGGCTTCTGATGGGTTCATATAGCCCAGCGGGCACTTCCAGAGCAGAGCACATGAAAGGAGAAGCTGGTCCGTGCTGTCGTGGGGCCCCTGGGTGACATGCCTGGTGCTCAGGGAAAACCGCACCTGCAGGGAGCGTGGCCTGCAGGGGGCACTGTCTTTGGGGCCTCAACCTTAGTTGCCCCAGAACCGCTCCTCCCTCACGACCCTCTGCCTGCATCCTGCCCAAGCACCAGCATCTGTTCAGGGGTGCATTTCTGTCCTAGCCTCAGCTCCCGACTCTGGGTGTTTCCTGAAGCCCACCACCCCTAAGGGAGGAAGATGGGGCGTGCAGATGTTCCAGGACACATGTCCACGTGCTCTGCCGCGAACTGTCGGGCTCCATGCTGCCTTTGCACATCCTTCCAGCCAGTAGTCAGGCAGGCAGAGTGGAAAGAAGAGGCTGGACCAAGGGACAGTTGTACTGACTTTATTCCCCTCCACTCTCCTCACTCACCCGCCTGCATTCCCCACACTCTCGGGGTCTGTGGGGTGGCCACGTGTGACCAGACATCAAGGGTCCACAAGCCTGGGCGCAGGTTTTATTCATTGCTGAGCCCCTGTGAGGGGCATCATGGCAGCTGTGACCCCACGTGCCATCCCAGATGATGGATATGGGGCTTGAGGCCCACCTCTCTCTGGTCACTCCCCTCACCAAGTTGGCCCAGGACCAGGGAGCCCAGAGTTTGCTAAGGAGGGGGAAGGCCCAGATTCTGGACCTGAAACCTAACCCCAGCAGATCTCTAGCAGGAAGCCATGATGCTGAGCCCCTGGCCCCCACCAGCCCTGAAAAGTGGGGTGATGTTGTAGTCGCCTCACTCCAAGATCCAAGTGCTTGTTAAATTGTTTTTAAAAAATAAAAAGTAAATGTAAAGGCTGGTAAAACAAGAATCCCTATCCCTACTGGCACTGCTGAGGTTCCATTATTGCTTCAGACCCTTGTGGTCTGGCCAGAAAGGAGCTCCCAGCAACACTGACCCAAAGGCAGAGCTGTTAGCACCAGGGACACAGGGTTCCTGTCCCCACTGGGACATGGGCCTTCCAGGAGAGGGACTGGCCACGCCTCATGCAGCTATGTGACCGTTCTGACTGGTGCCCATCCTGCCATCTAGGTCCTTCTCCTGCCCTTGTGGGGAAGTGCACGTGAAGAGGAGATCCAGGTCCTGGGACAGGGTTTCACGTGTGCCAGCCCCACCACACCCATCTCTGGCCTGTGTGTCAGTCTGGCCTGACAGACCAGACCCCCCCCAGGCTCTCAAAGGCCGCAGGGAGGCTAGCAGGTGACGAGGCCACCATCCCCTAGGGGAGACCCTGGTGCCAGTGACAGGGATTGGAGACCATGAGGGTCATGGTTCACAGCCCACTGGGGAGATCAACTTTTTTTTTGGAAAATGTGAGCCAGCTCTGAAGAGCTGCCAGGCACTGGGACCAGAGGTTAGAAATTGCAAAGGGAAGGAGATGGGCGGGGGAGGGGGGACCCTGAGGACGTCATGGAAGCCAAGAGATCAAGGGGTGCAAGGGGGGGAAGAGCTACAGTAAAGCAGGAGCTTGGGAGGCCCAGCCTGACCCCATGAGAGATTGGACCCCTAGCCTTGGGGTAGGGGGGCTGCAGGGCAGGGGGCCATCCTCTTCCAGGGAGGGGCCCATCTTTTGTCTCCAGAGGACAGCGGGGGAGCCTGAGAGAGTCTGTAGGCTCTGGCTTGTACCCACCCTCTGCAGCCCCAAACTCAACCAGGCCAGGGCACTGCCCCCTCCAAGCCCAGAGAACAGTCGGGGCTGTGCAGCTTGGATTATAAATCCTCACATCACTCGGGCTCCTTGGACCTGCCCACATCTGTACAGAATAAAGTGCTTAGTTTATTGATGATTAAAATGATCCCAGCCCCCTGCCCCAGTGCCATGGGCCTCACAAGGAGGTCAGTGGGGCTCCGACCCCCTCAGCCCTCGAGCTGTTGGGGCCCAGTGTCCCCTCTGTCCCCCTTGGGGTCAGGCCTTTTCCCACTCCAGACAAGCTGGGAAGGTGGTGTGTGGGGTAGTCCTGGGGTTAAGGTGCAAAGAGTATAACAAACAAAACCATATAAACACAATAGGAGAGAGCTTAACTAGGAAACATGTAGCTTATGGAATCTTCCTCCCCAATTTAAAGGCAGGAAATAAGGACGTTAAATGACAACAAAAAAGGGTGTCCTATTAGTGCTGGCCTCGTGGGGGCAAGAGTTGGGTGCAGAAGGGGGGCCCCCCCAGGGACTCCACCCTGCCCCTGGGCCTGCAATGCAGGCTCCTCTCAAGGTAGCGCTGCAGGTGCCCGCCCCACACCCCCGCCGGTGCAGAGGCCCAGGAGGGACTGGGGCGCTGGACACCAGCCAGAGCCTGGTTGTGGTCAGGCCCACGGAGAGGATGCGCCCCGGTGCTGCCTTTGGGGGTGGAGATGGACACAAACACACACACATCTCCTTCTGGCGCGGGAGAAATAGCAGGGCAGCTGTGAGGGACAGGGTGCTCTGTGTACAGCAGCCCACCCCCTGCCCTCACTGATAGCACCTTGAAACCTTAAAACATCTGCGCAAGCTTCCTGCTAGGGCCCTGCCCCTGGGGTGTCCCCTCCACAGGGATTCTGACTGCAGCCCTGGGAGTCGTGCTGCGGGAGCCAGCCCGTCTGCCTACCCAGGGTTTGGCCCGTAGGACCTTGAGGCCCAGCAGCTTCTGGGGATGTCCTCGCCAGGACTCAGGGTCCTCAGGGTCCCCTGTGCCTGCTAGCAGGGGTGTGGGTAGAGAAAGCAAATCCCTGGGGTCCAGCCCCTGCCTGCCCAACTCCACAAGGTACAGAGCTGGGCCCACAGTCCCCACACCCTTCCACTCCCCACCCAGCACATTCACCAGCCTCCAGTCTCAAGCCCTTGTCTCTGTGTCCACAGCCCTCAGAGCAGGTCCATAAATCCTCCAAGGGGGGCTGGCACCCCAAGTTCTCCCCAAACCCTCTAGGATGAGGGGACAGTTTAGGGGGTACAGATGTGGGGCTGAACTGCTGACACAGACTCAGGGGCGACCTGGCCAACCCCTCTGGCTCAGGCCTCAGCAGGCGTGACCAGTCACACCTGCTGCCCAGACCCCTTCCTCCCCACTGTACCTGCCACCTTCGCACCCCCTCACCTGGAGGGGTGTGCTGCAAATAGTTTCTTCTCTTTTTCCTTCACTTCCCAAAAAAAAACCCCAAAAAAGTAAAGGCTTCAAGGAGTCACTGAAAGGGGGGTACTTGGGAGTGAGGCGTCCCCCACCAGCTCAGGGGGCCCTCCAGCCAGCACAGCCCCCAGGGTCACAGGCCTCAAGCAGAGCAAGTCCAGCCACCAAAGGGGGTGCGGGAGGCTCCAGGCCCGTGTTGCTGCCTCCCCAGGGAGGGGAGGGCCCGGCGGGTCGCTCCCGGGTGGGCCCCTGGGCTCCAGGTCCGCGGTGCAGGTTGGCAGCTAGTTGCCGGCGTTCATCCTCCCGCCCGGGCTGGCAGTGGTGGGGAAGAGCGGAGGGGGGGGCGGGAGGTGGGGCGGGGGCGGCAGGGTCTGGGCCAGCCCGGGGAGCAGGGGCAGCGCGTGCGCCTGGGGCTGGGCGGGGGCCAGGCCCGGGGCGCTGGGGGGCGCGTCGCCGGCCAGGGGGTGGCTGACGCGAAAGCATTTCTCCTTGTGCGCCTTCAGCATGTTGGAGAAGCGGAAGCGCTGGCCGCAGACGTCGCAGGGGTAGGGCTTCTCGCCCGTGTGCGTGCGCCGGTGCCGCTTCATGTTGGGCCGGCTCGTGAAGCTCTTGCCGCAGATCTCGCAGATGTACGGCTTCTCCCCTGGGGTCGGCATGGGCGGCGGGGCGTCACGGGGGGCGGGAGGGGCGCCACACCTGGCCTCCAGGTGCCCCGGGGCGCAGGCGGGCATCCCCCCCTGCTCCCCTCCTCCTGTCCCCAGCACGTTTGCACCAGCCTGTCCCTACCCTGGGAGGCGGAGAGCTGGGCGCTGGGCCTCCCAGAGGAGGGTCAAGGGAGGATCCGAGCAGGGAAGGCGCGTGGCCAGCCCATCCATACCTGTGTGGGTCTTCATGTGCTCGTCGAAGTACTGCTTCATGTTGAAGTCCTTGCCGCACCACTGGCACATGAACTGCTTGTGGCCGATGTGGATGCTCATGTGTGACCGCAGCTGGTACTTGTACTGGAAGCGCTCGTTGCAGTTCTGAGGGTGGGGTGGGGGTGAGGTCCAGGGGCAGAAGCAGGAGCCCCTTCAGGGAGGGAAGGGCTCACCCCTTCCTGTGGGCAGGGCTCAGGAAGGACACACAGGGGAGGGGATCCTGGGCCAGGAGGTGCTCCTGGGGCTGGGCGGTGAACAGGCAGGAGAAAGGCCCTGGGCACACAGGGCCCAAGTGGGAATGGGAGTCAGGAAGTTGGAAGGGCTGCCGCTCAGGGGAGTCTCATGCTGAAGGCAGGAGGCACCTCTCCTTCCTCCTCCTAGAGGGAAGGCCCCCTCATGCCCACTTGCAGCGCCACCTCTGGGCTCTGCTGGAGATGCTCCTCCCTTTGCCTGCCCCATGGTTCCAGCCCATGCAGATGTCCCACCCGGACTGTGTGAGGGTCAGGCAAGGTGTGAGGAAACAGGGCGAGGCAGGGTAAGTGGACCACCAGGTAAGGACAAGGTGGGAGGCGGAGGTGAAAGAAAGTGCACCACTCTTTCTGAACCCCGTCCTCAACTCCCTCTAACCCTTCTGGTTTTTAAGTAGTTGTTCCCCCACCTCCCTGCTGTGCTCTGTCAGGGTGGCCCCTGGGGCAGGTGGAGAAGACAACTCACCTCACATCTGAAAGGCTTCTCCCCAGAGTGCTGCAGTGAGTGCACCTTGAGAGACATGCTGCGCTTGAAGGACTTCCCACAGGTCTCACAGGTGAAGGGCATGTCCTTGGTGTGGGCTATGAAGTGGGCACCATGGCAGTCATGTCTCAGGGGGACCCGCGGACTCCTCCCAAGGGATCCCTGCCTGACCTTTCGCCACAGTGGGCCCACACCCCACCTCCTGGGGCAGCCCTGTGGGAGCCTCCTAGGCACCACCTCCCCTGGAACCTGTCTCATAGCCTTTGACCCCTGCCCTTCCCTCTGGGTTGCGTCTCTCTGTCTGCTCTGAAGTCTGGCTCAGACAAGTAGGGAGGGCCTCCTGGTTCTTAGCCTTTGGCCAAGGGAAACAGCCTAGGCTGCCTCACCCCTAAAGCTTCTGAGAAAGATTAGAGGATCTCAAGTGGGATTGTCCTCAGCTTAAATCCTGACCCAGGGGCCTCCTCGGTGGCACAGCGGTTGAGCGCTGGGCTGTGAAGCTGCCTGCAGCCTCTGCAGCACTGGTTCGATCCCCGGCCACCGGCGAGGGTCCCACATGGCATGCAGGCCTCTCCTGCCACTCGCTGCTCCCCTCAGCAGTGTACTTTGTCAGTCTGCCTGCTCTGCTCCCTGCTCTGGCTCTGGTGAATTCTCTCACCCTCCTGCGCTTCTGACTGTACCCAGAATAAAATAAAATAAAATAAATAATAAATAAATAAATAAATAAATCTTAAAAAAAAAAAAAAAAAATCCTGACCCAGCCTCTGGCTCCCTATGTGGTCTCTGGAACTCAGTATCCTCTTCTATGAGAGAGGCTGGGAAGGTGCCAGACTTTACAGGGAATGACACTCGTAAGGGCCCCAGCCACGGGCTCTAAGCAGTTCAGAGGGCGTCTCATGAACCATGGTGAGGACCAACAAACTCTTCAAGAAATGGGAGGAAGCAACTGGAGATAGGGAGAGCCACCTTGGAACTCTGAGCTGGAGAGTCCAATGCAAGAAAGGACCCTAATTCTGGACTACCCAGCATGCTCCTGGATCACTCAGACCCTAGGACCCCAGCTCTTAGTCAGTTCACACTGGAGGCCACTGGCACTGTCTGGTGAAGAAACAGGGTAAGACCTGGCCAGGAACCCACTGCCAACTTGGTCACCTCTCACTTGAGCCTCAGTTCCTGCACAGGCAAGGAAGGGAGGGTCAACTGAATACCAGACTCCCAGCCAGGCCTATGGCAGAGGGGTGGCCCAATACACTTGGGGGGCCTCCTTCCTATGTCGAGGTGTCACCCCCTGGAGGAGAGTTGCATTCAGACAAGGCTAAGCAGCTTTTTACAGAGGGCTAGAAGGTGAGAATCAGAGGTGCAGCTGTCCTCAAACTGAGACAGAGCCAGTGCCAGCCCACACGGAACTTGGTGTAATTTAGGAAAAGGTGTTCCTTACCCCACGCCGGGATGCACAGTCTGTTTAGCAGTGTGCCAGCTGGATGCTGGCCCCCACCTGTCATCTCTTCCAAGAGCCCTTGTACAGTGTGCAACCTGCCCAACCGAACACGGCAGTCCTGGCCCCAGAGCCCGCCCAGGCACGCCTGCCACTGCAACCAGCCTCCCAGCTGACAGGGCCTTCTCGCCCCTTCACCTTGCCCTTGAATATGACATCCTCCCCAGCACACACACAGCAGCTGGTCCAGTCCTGTCCTCGGGTCCCATCCCTACCAGCTTAGACTTACCAACCATGTGCTTGCGCACGTGGGCCATGGTATAGAACTTCTTCTCACAGATCTCACATGAGAATTTCTTCTCTGCGTAGCCGTGCACGATCTTGTTGTGTTCATGGAGGGACCAGAGCTTCTTAAAAGCTTTGCCACATGTCACACACTGTGGGACGAGAGCACTTTAGGCCCTGGGTTCTGAACTAGGACCATGTGACCTAGGGCAGGTCATGGCCCCTCTCTAGGACGCCACTCCCTGTCCCCTTCACCCCCCCAGCCCCCGAACTAAGCTGGAAAGAGCTCTTAATGTCCAAGGTTCAGCCGAACATGATGTCTGAGCTGGGGACACTAATGCCTTGAACACTTTCCTACTCACCCAGGGCTGCAGCCTGGGCCCATTTTCAACCTTGAACTCAACTGGGGTCAGGGACCACGTCCTCTGTTCTCAAGTCAACAAGCATCTCTACAGAAGGAAGACACTGACTGGCTGCAGGGCCACAGTGAGTGTGGAGCTTATGCAGTCTGGAAGACCCTCCCCGGTAACAGGTCCCGGCACACATGGTGCCTTATCGCCACTGTCTCCCCCAGTGGGGACTGATGCCCTCTCAGCACAGACATCCCTAAGGAGAGAGGCCCAAAGGGCAGGCCGGGGGCACTGCAGGAGGCACTGGAGCCCATCAAACAGTGGAGGATGGTGTAAACCATCGGGCGCACACTCCCCTGCTCCTCTTCCCTGGGGCCCCTGTCCTGCCCATGCCAGTAGGGCCACTCCAGAGGCCTGGCGGCTTGGCCGAAGTTGGATGACACTGCCCGGTTTGGAAGGGGCACAAGAGTCGTTCCCCTTCAGGGGGCAGGCTCAGGTGTATGACAGGTAGAGTCAGAGGGTAGCCGTGAGGGCAGGCAAGTGGGAGCAAGTGCACACGGGTGGGGCAGAGACCAGGTAACCCCTCCAGCAACACTTTCTCCCTGGAGCACTGCAATTAGCAATTACTCCAAGTAATTAGCACCCGCCTACCTGCCCCCATACCTCTCCCTGCTGCAAAAGGTAAAACCCTGTCTGGCAGCCCTGTGTGAGCCCCGCCCTGGGAGGCCAGGTCGCCACAAAATAACTCAGGCTGGCCCAAGGCCTGGCAGCCCTCGGGCTCCCCCAGCTCCACCTACTCTCCCCAAATTTCTCATCCAGCCCTTCTCTAGGCCCAGGCCAGCTGGCATCTTACCAGAACTGAATGTAGGGGTTTCTTCCTACCAGCCCTTGCTCTAGCCAGCCTTTGTGGCAAGTGGAAAATGATGCCCCACACCCCACCCCAGGCACACTCTCTCCTGTCTTCAGGGCTTTTGTGCACTGCGCAGTCTGAAACTACTCACAGTGGCCTCGCTGGGCTGCCTGAGGCTGTGCTAAGGCCTGCTTCTCCTCCTTGTCCCTGGGCCTCACGGGCTCCCAACTCTCCTGTCCTCTCTCCAAGTCACATTCCCCTTTGCCCCTCTGGCCAAGGGTGCAGTTTGTTTCAATTCTATCTACACATTCCTCTGCCTGCCCAAGCCCGGTCTACTCCCTCCTCCAGGAAGCTCTCCTGATGCTGTCCCCGAGCTGTCTGCGCCCTGAGAACCTGGGCCCAGCTCTCCTGGCTCATCCTGGGCCTGGGCTGTGCTCACCATCTGGGGGGTAAGTCTGATCTCCCCAAACCCCCTGGGCCACGTGGGCAGCAGGACACCCGGGGCCCAGGGTCGCTCTGCACTGCCCGGCTTCGCCCGCCGCCCACCTGGATGTTGCGCTCGCAGTCCGTCTGCCGGTGCAGCAGCAGCTCGCTCTCCAGCAGGAAGCGCTTGCCACACTGGTCACAGATCTGCATGCGGCTGTGGGTCACATTCATGTGTTTCTCCAGATACCAGCGGTTGTTGAAGACGCGGGGGCACTTCTGGCACGGGTGGTGCTGCTTCTCCTCCAGCTTCACCTTGGCCCCCATCCCGTCGGCGGGCTGCGGCCCTCGGGCCGGTGCAGGGGCCACTCCCGGGGGTGGCTTGGGCCGCTTCCCACCCCGCCTCCCGGCCTCCTCAGCCTCAGGGGGCGGCCGGCGCCGGGCACCGTCCCGGGACCGAGTGGCCATGCGGCTGTGGGGAGGGGGCTCTGCCCGGCCGCCCCGGGGCCCCCCGGGGCCCTGCCTGCTCCCTGCGTCCCCCTCCTCCTCCTCGTCCTCCTCCTCCTCCGAGCTCTCTTGCTCCTGCTCGCTGTGTCCTTCCTCCTCCTCCTCGTCCTCCTCCTGCCCGCTGTGCCCCTCCTCCCCTTCCTCTCCCTCCTCCTCCTCGTCCTCCTCCTCTCCCTGACTGCCAGCCTCCTCTCCCTCCTCCCCCTCCTCCTCGTCTCCTCCACTACCCCCGGCCTCCTCCTCCTCCTCGTCCTCCTCCTCCTCGTCCTCCTCGTCCTCGTCCTCCTCGTCCTCCTCCTCCGAGTGTCTCTGCAGCCCGTCTTCCCGCCCCAGCATCATAGCGGCCGGGCCCGTGGCAGTGCCCGGCTTGCCCTCGGGCCCCGTGGACACGTGCAGTGTCTGGTTGTTGAGGTTCACCTCCACGATGATCTGGGACTGCTCCCTGCGGCTGTAGGTGCCAGAGCCTGCAAGTTCTTCCTCCAGCTCCTCGCCGCCCTCCAGCTTACACAAGCTGGCCGGGGGCCCGCCGGCCTCGTCGACACCCCCCTCCTTCTCCTCCTTGAAGAAGGGCTGGGCTGGCCCGATGGAGGCAGGCACTGTGCCCCCGGCGGCCCCCGCCCCGTCCTCCACACGCACCGAGTAGGGGTCAGGGCCTTCTCGAGCATAGATCTTGGGCAGGCCCGGGGCGTCGGCCTCCTGCTTGATGTCGCAGTAGTAGGGCGGCGCGGCTGGGGTGCAGCTGCCGGCAGGCTGGGCCAGGGCCACAGTGCCAGGGCCCGGGGGGCCCAGGGAGCGGGCGTCGAGCAGCTCCTGGCAGGAGGCGGCGATGTCGGCCATCTGCAGCAGCGAGGCAGCGCTGAGCACCTCGTGCACGTTGGTTGCGTTGACCAGCAGCTTGGACGTGTAGATGAAGTTGAGGATCTGCTGCAGGCCGCCAGGAGCCAGAGCCTCCAGGGATAGTTCCACCCGCTGCAGCTGCTTGTTCTGGGTGAAGAGCGAGTGGAAGAACTGGCTGTAGGCGGCCAGCACGCCCTTGTGCGCTGGGAAGACGCTGCGCTGGGGCACCAGCACGAGGTCCACGTCGCAGAGGTCAGGCTGGAAGAGGCGCTGCTCGTTCAGGCGGCCCATCAAGCAGGCAAAGTGCAGTGCCACGTCCTCCACCAGCGAGAACTCCGCCGCCGGTGAGTCGGTCGTCTTCTCAACCAGCAACTGCGGGGCGGAAGGCACACGTCAGGTTGGCCGGCCGCGCCCGGTGCCCCCATCCGGGAAGCAGCCCACCCACCACTCCTGGCTCCACATGGCACAAAAAGGGCCCACGCTCAAGCAAGGACATGGGGGGACCAGGATTTGAGTCCCATAGAGCCCGGCCTCTGACCATGAGACTCCTGGTTTAGTGGGTTAACTTTCCTGGGCCTCTAGCTCTTCCCCGTGAAACAGAAAAAGTCATTCCAGAAGAGAAGGGAAGAGGAAGGAAAAGGGATGAAGGTGACCAACCATCCAGGGGTGACCTTTCTGGGCAAATCAGGATTAGGCAGACACCCCAGAAAGGACACAGCAATTCCTTGGGCGTTTTCTGAGCACTGTGGGTTCTCTCCCTCACACTCACAAATAAAGTCAAGCCTGTCCAACCCCAGTTGCCCCAAGAACTGAAATCAGGCTCACTCCCTCACTTTACCACTGAGGGAACCTCACCTTGCCAGCAGCGGGCCCCAAGGCCGAGGCCGAGTGCTACAGGAGAAACTTTAGTGACAAAATCCAGGCCCAGGGCCTGTAACTCCTCCCCAGCCTGGTCCTGCTGCCCTGCTAAGGGTGAATGGTGAACGTCAGCCAGCCCCTCGTTACTCAGCCAGTGCTTGGGCCAGGCCCTCCCCCTGCCTGTAGCCTCAGACCTGGCTGCCAGCGACTCCCCCCATGGGCCTTCTGCAGGAGTAGGCGAACACAACTGTGATACCTCTCTGCCATGCTAGGAGGCAGGAGGCCCCCAAGGCCTGCCCTAGACCCTTTACTGCTTGGCCCCCAGATAAGGGATAGTCCAGAGCAAGAGGCTCCAAGATGGCTCTATCTTGGAGGTCACACCACCTGAGGTCTCTGGAGCCTCAAGAAGGCCCTCAAAGTTTGACAGATCAGATTGTTAGGCCCTTTGGCCAAGTCCTGTACCTGTGAATTGCTCAGAACAGTGGCTGCTTAATTATTTCTGGATCCACCATAGCAGCCCCAGAAGGCAGGCAGCACAGAAGGCAAGGCTGCCCAGTCCCTTGCATCAGTCCAGCACAGCAGATGTCCAATTAATATCTGCTGACTACCTGCTTAGCTGGACCAAGCCTTCCAGTTCCAAGTTCTGACCTTCCTCAGGCTGTGTCCAACCAGGCGTTTCTTGCCCTGCTGCCACAAAGCCATCAGCTCCTCTCCCCCAAGTTGCTCCCTGGAAGCCCTGGGATGAAACTCTGGCCCTGTCCACCACAGTCCACTCCTACCGCCCATGCCAGTGGAGCATAAGATGGCCAGTGTGGTGCCTGTGCTCAACTTCTCAGTCACCTGAGTAAGAATCTGCCCTGGGCTCCACCTTCCACACCCAACGTCCCCGGGCAGCGCCTGCCCGTGCTCCCTCAGATCTCAGTCTCACAGGTCCCCAGCCACAGACACCATCTTCCTTGAGTTCTCCCACCATCACACCTTTCCCCACTTACTCCAAGAAGCCACCCATGTGCCCCTGTCTCAGGGCTATAGGCCCATCCAGTTTTGGCCAATCTAACGGGGAATACAGTGCCAAGGCCCTCCCATCTCTTTCCTCTGACTCATTCTGATTCATCTTCTGGGACCAAACACTCTTGCACAGATGGGGAAATCAAGGCTCAGAATGGGAGGGTCTCATGGTGAGCAGCAGAACCCCTGACTCCCAGCACTGCTGAGATCCCCTTTCCTCCCTGCTAAGAATGGACACTACTCACGTGGCTAGATTTCTTGGCCCTCTAATGACATGAAAAGCAGAAGAAGGCATCTAGAGAACCTCTTCCCAGGGGATCACCTATGTTCCCCAGACCCTGTCACTACTCAGCCCCCAACCCCACTTGCCACCTCCCCTGAGAGCTGTTGTGACCTGCAGGTTCAGGGTACTGAACTGAGGGTTCAGGGTACAACTGGGGTTGTAAGAGAGGCAATTCAGAGCCTCCAGGGGTCATATAGAGGCAGGCAAAGTAGTTTGTCAGTTACGCCTGTTGTGGGATCTCACCCAGGCCACAGGACCCCAGTCCATCCTGCTCCCCTTTTATGGAATGCCCTCCAGTGCCAGCTTGTCATAGGGAAAGGGCAATGCACAACCTTCCTGGGTGCAGATCTGGTCTCAGGATCCAGGTGAAGCCTCTGACCTCAGCAAGGGAAAAGACATCCCCAAGATGGCACCCCCAGGCAAGGAGCACCATCCTTGGCCTTTGGAGGGCCTGAGAACCTCACAGCCTGAGGGGACTTCCTTGACAGGACACACTGATATTGCCTAAGTGCATAACTGGCAGCCTCTCAGCAGGGCACAGCCGCCCCCTAGCCTGGCACCTCCCATACAGGGCCCACCAGCTGTGCCTGCCTTCCCAGCCAGATGTGCCAGTTCCCTGAAGCTACAGACAGCCCTCCCCATCTGGCTGTGCCAGCTGTAGTCAGTGCACCCCACCCCACATCCAGGCCAGGCCAGCAAAGTTAAGATGCAGGACCAGAGGAGAGGTCAGGCACTCCAGTTACCAGGGGGTTCATGTCCTCAAATCCACTCTCCAAGGAAGGCTGGGGTATGAGGGAGAGGAAGGAGACCGGGTGCCAGGGACACCTGCTGAGGCTGCTCACCTGGTCACAACCTTCTAAATCCGAGGGGTACCTTGCCTCCGACTGGACACCACAAGCCCTCCACCCTGTCTCAGGGCCTTCCTTGGCATCCATCTGTACACCCAACCCCAGGCCCACCTTTCCTCTCGGGCCAGCAAGGGGCACAGGCTCATGACTTCCAGGCTCCTCCTTTGGGGAAGGAGGTGTCTATGTCAGCCTTCTCTGCGCTCCTGCCCCCCCAACTCCTTCCCGGAGAAAGAGGCCCAGAGAGGGCCAGGACCGGCCCAAGGTCACACAGGAGTTTGGACCAGAAGTGCGGGCGTCCCCGCCCCCCCACCCAGCCTGGCCCGGGCGCCCCAATCCGAGGCAGGGCGGCTCCAGAGCTCACGTGGCCCAAGGCCCAGGCGGGAATCCGACCTCCCCCCTCCCCATCACCCAGCCGGAGGGCGGCGCCGTCCCGGGCTCCGAGAAGCGCCCCCCTCCGCCGGTGCCCGGCACGGCCACAGCCGCTCGCGCCGGCGCCCCCACCCCAGGAATTTAACCCTCTCTCCGCCGAGGGCCCCGCCGGGGCGCCGCAGTCCCGGCCCGAGGGGACCCGGCGAGGTCGGGGCGGCAGGGAGCGGGGGCAGATGCTTTCGGCCCCTCCACGCGCGCCGGCCCGCGGGGCGCCCGGAAGGGCGGCGCGCGCAGGTGGGCGGATAAGAGGGGGGACAGGCAGGGCCTTGCGTACCATGGTGCCGTGGCGCTGGGGGCTCACAGGGCCCTGCGGGATCGCGCTGCCCCCGGCGGCCGGGCCCGGGCCGCTCCATGAAGCGCCGCGCTGGGGGCCGCCCCCGCGCAGGGGCCCGCGACCATGGCCCCCGGGGGCGCGGCCGGGCGGGCGGAGGCGCAGGGCCGCGGCGAGTCCAGCCGCCGAGCAGCTGCGGCCCCAGAGCCTCCGGCGCGGCGGGCGGGGGGCGCGGGGCGCCGATTGGAGCCCGCGCGTCAGCTGGGGCCGCCGTCTGGACGCTTAAAGGGCCAGGCCTCCCTGCGCGCCGGCGGGGGGCGCGGACACGCGTGGTGGGCGCCGGCCGGGGGCAGCCCGCGCTGCCGCCGGCCGCCAGGGCGCCCAGACCGGCGTCCCCGCGGCGCCCTCCCCGGCGCTGGCGCCCCGGCTTCACTCTCGCGCCGAGCCCCGGCCCCGGGAAGTTCGCCGGGAGTCTAACCTGCGTGCCCTCCAGCTGCGCCACAGAGGCGGGGTCGGAGCCAGAGGCGGCCCTGAAATGGCGAGGCTGGTCGCGCCGGGCCCCCAACCAGCTGCGGAAAAGGTTTCCACCTGCTCCCGTGAGCGATCCAACGCTGAGGGGCCGAATCCCCCTCTGGCTTGGGCTGCTCTGGCTTGAGGGTGAGTGTGAATCTCCATCTGGCCCAGCCCCCTGTCTCTACCCTAGGGCAACCCAGGGCTCTCTCTCTGCAGGACGGGGTAGTGGGGGAACCGTACCTACCTAGTGGCCTCCTCTGGCTGCACAGGGCCGCCCAGGGCAGGAGCTGCAAGAACCTGGACCCCAGTGGGCCCCGCCAAATCCTTTATGGTGACAGGGCCAAGAGAAGAGAACGCTGGAGGAGTGAGGCCAGAGGCCCGGGCCCCACTGTGCCCCCCAACTGTCTGACCCAACTGCTGCTGAGTAGCCTCCCAGCTCCAGCTCTGCTGGGGAGATGCAGCCAGGCCTGCGGAATGCTGCTCTGGCATGGACACCAGTGGGGGCAGGGGGCTGGCTGTGCTGGCAGGAGGCTGCAAAGGAACTGCCAGGCTGAGCAGGCAACAGGGTGGGGGACCACCGGGCTGCTAGACTCGGCAGACCCAGGTGGTGACTGGGCTCCCGCTGTGGGGAGGGGGTCTCTGGGCCTCTCATGTGATTTATGCACTCAGATGCCGGTTCCATGTCCCCACCCCCACCACACCCCAAGCTGACTACTCCCCATTTTTGGTCACTCACATGGCCTTCATCCTGGCAATACCACACAGTACCCTCTGGCCCTCCCCCCGTGCATGCACTTATGCTTGCACACCAGCCCATGCCCTGCTGGAACAGTATCTCCTGGGTATGCCCCCTTATGAATGAACAGGTACTCTGGGGACTGCTCCAGGTGTCTCAGTTCTGGGTGCCAGGGTGGTAAATAGGGCAGAGGCCAAGATCACAGCAGGCCACATGTATAGTCTGATGCGCCATCCTGTAACGTTGCAAGGACTTCCCCTGAGGCCAGGATGGGGAGGCCCGCAAGACAAAGCAGCCAAGAGCCAGGGAGAGAACCTATCAGGGGCAAAGCCAGGAGTGATCAGAGAATGCCAAGAGGAAGGGGAGGATTGCACACAGCCTGGTGAAGGGTGAGGAGACCATGCTGGAAAAAGAGATGGGAACAGACAAGGGGCGCAGATGGGGACAGAGGGACATAGAGGTGGGCACAGTAAATATCCTGCACTTGAGTGGCCATAGGGAAAGCAGAGATAGCTTACTCAGTTCTTGGGGGTCTCAAGCTTGAGACCAGGTCACAGAGCCTCCATGCCTACCCAGCCTGTCACCTCAAGACTGCCTTCTACCTCATCCTCCTACCCAGCCCACTTCCTCATCTAACATAGTGGCCCGGAAGGTGGCAAGGGAGGGATTGTGTACCTGCTGGCTGGATCAGGACAGTGAGGCCCAGAGCAGGATAAATCACACAGCCAAGTACCAGCATGGGAACCAGGGATAGGAGCGGCTAGGACAGCGGCCTCTCCCACAGGCTGGGTGGAGCCTGGTTGAGACACCTGCACAGGACACTTCTCAGTCCATTTCCTAGCCAAGGCCTAGTTAGCAAGGGGTGTGGCCAGCGTGAGCAAGGTTGGGGGTATGGCAGTCATGCCAAGGAAGGGGGCTGGAGGTTGGGTGAGACAAGAGGGAAAGAGAAGCCGATTCTCCTTGAAGATCCCAGTTTGCTTACAGTCCATCCACAGGGGGAGCCACAGGCAGAGCTCTGTGAGACTGGCCCTTGGATCCCACTAGACTCCACAGGAAGGAGCTATTTGAGGAACTCAGTCTGGTGGGTTCAAATGGGGCTGCACAGAGCTGGAGCATGTAAGTTAACATTAACTAGTGCAAAGAAAGGAAGGTGCTCCAGGTAAAAAATAGCACCCACAAAGACCAGGCTGCAGGAGACGGCTCAGCATCTGGAACTGGAAGTGATTTGGTGTGACATCAAACTGTGTAGCTGCTGTAGCCAATGGGGCATGGAGGGAAAGCAGAGTGGGCAGTGCCAGAAAATGTGAGCCAGTAAGACAGCTTGGGGTCAGTGGGGTGGCAGGGAAGTTCAAACTACCCACTAGATACTGCCCAGGACCCTGCTGGGTAGGGGAGCATAGACCTCTGGGTATGGGGTTGGAGGGGTGTTGCTTCTGTCTCCTGCCTCCACTGAGCTTGGCACACAAACAGCCCACAGCTGCAGGGGCAGAGCTGGGGGGAGGGTGGTTAATGCAAACCAGCAGGTTGCCCAGTCCCCCCCCCCCACTGCCCCTAACTCCCCACCCCATACACGTCATGGCCTTGGCATTCGAGGCCTCCCTGGCAGCTTCCAGGATCCTCTCCCACCCTGTTGGTTCAAGGGACTGGGCCTCATGAGTGATTGAGCCTGGCCCTCCACGTGAAGCCTGCAGGACTCCTCCCCTCCTCCTGGAGGCAAGCCCAGGGGCCAGCGCCCCAGCCACTTTGATGTATGCTGGGCTCTATTTCTTTCAAACCAGTTCTAGGAGGGAGAGTTCCTAGTATCCCAGTTTTTCAGATGAACTTAATTATAAAGAATTTATCTAGTTACCCAACTAGGAGCAGCAGGGCAGAATTTGAACCTGGGTGGTTTGGCTCTGGCCCCAATCACTGTACCACAGAACAGAGGGCTTTCCTTTAAAATCAAATGTGGGAGGTGAGGCAATGAACTCAGTGGGAGCCCTTCTCAGCCTCTCGGAGACCCTGACCTAGTAGAGACTTTAGTTGCAGGAGGCCCTGGGTGCTCTGGGGGCTGAAATGCCAACAGAAGCCCTATGCTCCTTTGGCCCTGTGGCAAGCCAGATCTCCACGCTGGTCCTCATGTCTGGGCTACCATGTTAATACCTTCTCTCGGGGCTTATCTAAGGACTGCGTGCCTCTCAGGACAGATGAACAGTGAGAGGCCCAGGGTTAGGTTTCCAGGTGCAGACTCCGTAGCTCAGGTCACTCCTTTTTACAACAATATCCTCAGGACTCCAGGCTGATTGAAGAGATAAAACCCTCCCCAAGTTAGCCTGGGTCCTGCAGGCTTTGGAACTTGGCTTAGTCTGTGGAGCTGGAGATTGATGGGCCATAGACAGCGAGTGGTGAGCCTGAGGGCCTCCACCAGACACAAGTGCTTGTTCCCAAGCTTGGCCTCACTAGAGGCCTTTGATTGACAGGGAGGAGGGAAGGCAAGGACAAGTGAGCACTAATTTACTTTATACCAAAACTTGTCCCCAAACCAGACCATTAAAGCTGCAGGCCCCTTTGTATGCATGTGCTGTGGCCAGGCAGGTGTTGCCTTGTACCCATCAGGCACTGACTGGAGCTGCATAGGCCATCCTGAGGCCAGCAGGTACAGGCCTCCTCCAGGGTCCCCAGCTCCTTCCTGAGACAGCCCTCAAACCCTTGACAACATTAAAAGGACTTCTGACAGCAGTTCTCTCAGCACTCTCCTAGCTCTTTCTATCCTAGTCCCGCAGAGCTCTCTCCCCTCTGTCTGGGCAGCAGGCAGTGGATTTCCTCTTCTGGAAATCAGCAATCTGAAACCAAGATTTTCAACTGTGTACACATGGCTTCCAGACCCTATGTAGCCAGTCTGCACAACCAGCATGCAAGGTTTCTCACTTTACCTCTACAGCCTCTGGTCCCTTCTGGTGGTGCTCAGCCAGCACCAAAGGTTGCGTAAGGGAGAGCATTTTCTCTGATTTCTCTTAGCTAGTAAGTGCCATGCTAATTCAGAGCAAGTCTGACCAAAGCCTTTGACACCTTCCCAAATACTGTCCAGCTGATAAAGATGATCACCATGAGAATGTGAATGAAGATCCTGGAGCTGCGTGAAAAATAAGCCCCTGACAGCGTACAGGGATTCCCATATAGCAAACTGACTCTAAAATTTCCTATACATTTTAAAGCAATGCACCCAAATTTAACTATTTTCAAGAACTGCCAACCTTTGGGGTCCACTATTAATTTTGAAAGCAGACTATCCACAACGCAAGTCTTGCTGTAGATGTTGTATTCACTTAAAAAAAAATACCAATTCCTTTGAGTTCTGAGGGAAAAAAACATTAATTGTAATTGTCCTATGAATTCTCAAGTGGATGCTAAAAATATAACCATGAATGTTTTCTCCAGGAGTGAGTGCTATGTCCCGGTGTGCCACTGTCAGGGAGGGCATGTGGAGGCTGTCGTTGGGTCAGCAGGTAATTATGCTTTCCCTACACGGCAACTCATAAGTGGGAGGGGACATATTCCTTGCTCAGCAAAGACATCTGTCTGCAGGTCACCTCAGCTAGCGAGCAACATCAAAGCCTGGAGGAATCCAGAGTCTGCAGGGGAGGGAGACCAAGAGCCATCTGTACCTCTGTGGGTAGGTGAACACCACCGCCTGAAGTTGTCTCTAGCTGAATGGCATGCTAACAGCCGTCCACTCGGCTAGAAGAAAATAAGCTGCAGAAAGATGAAATCTCAAACTGGCTGGGTCAGCGAGGAGACTGTTTTCTTTTCCATTTCAGAAAGACTACTGAAGTCTGGATGAGCACAGGAAGATGAAACATGCACAGACTCAACCTTAGACTAAGTATATATTTTAATTTCTACAAGGGTCCCCCTTTTCAGTTTTAGGGAAATTTGAATGTAGTGTATACAAATTAAGACACTGCCAATATGTACAAAAGTGTTTCTACAGTTTTTGAACAATACCAGCTATATCATGTTTCACTGCAGTAAACAGGACATTACAAAAACAGTCCAATAATGCATTTTCTAAGAAGCACAATACACAACATAATTCAGTTTTATTAAAAATACCTCAAAATACAGAACAATCCCATTTAGGAAGAAAAGCTGTTTCTGTAGTTCACTCAGTAAACACACAAGTTGAATGCTGCAGCTCAGGGCTCTTCTGTTCCATGAAGAGAGAAAACAAGGTTTCTAGAGCCCGCTTTTTCAGGGAAAAATTCCACCCACAGTTGAGATGGGCGAAGTTTTTGTGAGTACAGGCAGAATTCTAAAATGCTTCTCCCATTCCCTGCCCCAATCCCAGGAAGTGGGATATCGCTCGTGTGCTGATGTTACATTCTATGGCACAGATAACCTTAAAATGGGGAGAATGTCTCAGTGGATTTGATCAAGTCACACAGACCTTTATTACAGAGGAGGAAGGCAGTGAGAGATGAAGCATGAGAAGGACGACGTGATGGGCCATTTGGGCTTGAAGATGAAGGGGAGCATACCAGTGCGAAAGTGAGCAGTCTAAGGAGCTGTGAGGCTCCTGGCTGGCAGCCAGCAAGACTGAATTCTGCCAGTAATCTGAATGAGCCTGGAGGCAGAGTCCTCCCCAGAGTGTCCATAAAGGAATGCTGCCCTGCTGACCCTTGATTGCAGCCTTGTGAGGAGCCTGGGCAGAGAACCCAGCCACACCTTGCTGGACTCATGAGCTACAGAACTGTGAGCTAGGAAATGGGTGTTGTTTTAAGCATCTAAGTTTGGGGTGATTTGTTAAACAGCAACAGACCACTACTATACTGCCCGAGGATAACTATTCTTAATTTGGCAGTTTCTGTTTGTTTGTCCCCACCACCCCCACTGAGTATTATTAAGCAATATTCTCCTTTGCAGGCAACTTTTGAAAACACTTTGTAGGAATCACACATTGTTTTACATTCGCTAATAAGTATGTTTGATTTAAACCCTCTAGTCTAATGTACTCTTGCCTGTCAACTTGGCAAACAACTAACTGCATAACCCTGTTTATGAACCTTCTATGAGTGATAGTTATCCCCCAAAGTCACCCCTTCATCCATCAAGGGTTGTCAGATCCCTCAAAATGAGGGTTCTTTCCTACTTCCCAGGCGAGGCCTGAGGTAGGATGGCACAGAGTTCTACATCAAGCATCCAATATGAATTTCTTCTGCATAACTGGTTTGGACTGGCACTAAGGTGATTAAGTACACTTGGGGAAAGAAACAAACTAAAGGTTAAGAAAAAAAAAAACAAAAACAAACCCACACCAGTTTTTACAGATCAAATCATCTTTGGAGGAACCACCCAAAACTGAAAATGTGTAGTTTATGTCATCTGTTATCCCAGTTTATTCCTGTGGCAAAGCTTCGCTGAGTGAGCGTGGGTCACGATGGAAACAGGAACAAACATGCTGGTGCTCAAACAGTTCAACTGCTTTGTGGCAGATCTCTTCCTTAAAAGATTTAGAAATACAGCCCTGTGAAATGTCTTCAGGAAGGTGGCAGTTAGATTTTGGTGTTACTTTTAAAGTCCACTCTTCAAATCACTTGTTCAGAGGCAGGCATACACATCACTTATGGGCAGTACCCCTGAGTGGCTATTATGCCAATCCTGCCTGCCTCAGGGGGCCCCACAGTCCATACCTGTGCTTGCAGAAACCCTCCAAATATTCAAAGTGATTACAGCCCAGAAGGAACTATGTTTGGTGCTAGTAAATAAAGAAAAAATAATTCATTTCTCCCTCTCATGAGATTCTAATGTATAGTAGATAAGAACAATGCTTAAGGGGGCACCAAAAAGTGCCAAGCACCAAAGCATGAAACTGGAATACAATTTTTTACAATCAAAACTTCTGATAGTATTTATTAAAAAAGCACATAAAACATTGGGTCCTTAGAGACAATGCAGCTATTTATAGTTAAGGCTGGTTTATTATTTTGAACTTTCCCGCCAGCCTGCAGTAACTCAGACAGTGGGATATATGATGACAACTTTCCTGATCCTCTGAGACAACAAAGAAGGAAGGAATGAATTAAGAACCCCAGAGCTACTGTCTTATACTCCTTGCAACCAGTAGTATCAATTCTGGGCAGTTTGTTTTTCGGAGCATATATGTATAAGACTCTGTGTAAGTGATATATAAATATTTGGCTACGTTTAACAGTTCACCTTCACGATTCGATATTTGGCAGCATATATGCTAAAGCCTTAATAGCGAATCAAAAAGAATTTTATTCTAGGGAATACATGAGATAGGAGAAATAGTGTATCTAAAATAATATTGTAAATTATATTTAAATTTCATGATTTCTTGATTCAAGAAAATAAAATTAATTTCCATAGTTGGCTACTGTAGAATATGGCATAAAAATATTTCTGAGACATAGCTGTATTTAAATTCTGCACACTGTAAATGAACAAGTAACAAGTATCTATCTTTGAAATTCATTGCTAATATTGAAATAGAACAGATTGCCATTAAGTTTCTTAAACTTTTAAGTTACCAGATATTTACAATTAAGATATAATTTGTATCAAAAAAAGGACATTTCAACTGTATCTGCTGCTTTCACTGGGGCTCCGGTGATGGGAGTAACTTCGGTCACTTTCACTGTCAGAACCATAAGATCTACAACTCCTGTATATTAAAAAAGCACATAAAACAGATTTTTAGAGACAGTACAGGCATTTGCAGATAAGGGTGAAACAAAGCAAAACAAATACACAAAACCACTTTAAAATGTCAACCCTCTGAATTGCTCACCTAGCATCTTTTTTGATGTAAGTGGCTTAAAAAAGCAATACTGATTTGGCACAGCACAGTCGGTGTAGGATGAGTGGTGTACTGACTGTGGTAACACGGTGAACTTTGCAAAAATGTTTTGGGTGATAAATGGTAGGTAGGTTAACATAAAATAAACATCGTATCTTGGGTAATTACTTGAAATTCACTAAGAATAATTTTCCACATTAAAATGAACAACAGGACCTCCCCTGGTGGCGCAGCGGTTGAGTGCTGGGCTGCGAAGCTGCCCGCAGCCTCTGTAGTGCTGGTTCGATCCCCGGCTGCTGGCGAGGGTCCCGCATGGCGCGCAGACCTCTCCTGCTGCGCAGACCTCTCCTGCTGCGCCCGCTGATCCCCTCAGCAGTGTACTTCGTCAGTCTGCCTATTCTGTTCCCCGCTCTGGTGAATTCTCTCACCCTCCCGCACTTCTGACTGTACCCAGTGCTTGTATAAATAAATACATAAATAAATCTTTAAAAAAAATAAAATGAACAACAATTAGTTAGGCTGAGGAATTAATTTAGACTGAGGAAGGTGCATGAAAAAAGTTTCATTAAAGATAAGGCAATCAAAATAGGGGCTCACTAAGAGGCGAAGATAAGGGGCAGGGAAAGGAACACTAGGATAATAAGCCAAGAGGACCTGGCTATGGTCATCACTCAGTTATTTTGAAAAATATTTACTGAGAGCCAGTCACTTTACTAGATGCTAGCAGCAAAACAAAAATAGATCAAAAATAGTTCCATGGGGATCCTAGATGATACAAAATAAAGGCTAAGACAAGAAGTTAGGAGCAGAAAGGGCCTGAAATAGGCAAAGGCTTGCTCAGAGGCACACAGAGTGGGGTGGGAGTGTTGTGCCTCAAATTTAGCAGTCAGAGAGGGTTTTCCAGAGGTGATGGGTACAATGGAGAACTGCAGGCCCAAGGGGGTCACTTCAAGAGGCAAGAAGGGAGATGATATGTTTCTAGTCAGAAGAAAGGTTCTAGTAAATTCAAGGAGAGAGGATAGAAAAGTTCCACCTGGAATTGGTTGGTAGAGAGGACATGTGTGCTAAGGAGTCTAGACCTGCCCCTTAAGGCAGTGGAGAGTTCTTGAAAAGTTTCAAACAACAGATCACACTGATATTCTACAAGGATCATTGTAGTCATGATGGATGCAAGGTAAGACTGGAAGCCACCAGAAAAGGGACATTAGAAAAAGTCACCAATAAACACTTTTGCAGTAGTACCCAAAATGTTATAAAATATATAATATCTATAGATATCTATAATATATAAAAAATGTTTACTAATAATTGAGAAGATACAAATCAATCCTGCTGCTGAACTGACTGACATGTTATTATGATTTACATTTTTTATTTAAAAAACTGACAAACTGGGCCTCCCTGGTGGCGCAGCGGTTGAGCGCTGGGTTGCGAAGCTGCCCGCAGCCTCTGCAGCGCCGGTTCGATCCCTGGCTGCTCCCCGGCCACCAGAGGAGGGTCCCACATGGCGTGCAGACCTCTCCTGCTGCTGCTGCTCCCCTCAGCAGTGTACTTCATCAGTCTGCCTGCTCTGCTCTCCGCTCTGACTCTGGTGAATTCTCTCACCCTCCCGTACTTCTGACTGTACCCAATGCTTGTATAAAATAAATAAATAAATCTTTAAAAAGAAAAAGCTAAAGACCTACAATTTCAAGCATGGAAACTTAATCATTTGAAAAAAAAAAAAAAAAAAAAAAACAAAAAACCAAAAACTGACAAACTGGCTTTTCCATTTCTAGCAACTAGCCTTATTTAAAGACTTTATTTCTTTATTCCTTAAAAAGAAATGTCTTTCCAAGGACATATGAATATATAAAAATCCATTTTAAATTTAAAAAACAACCCAAAACATTACCTGGCAACTCTTACTACAAAGGCTACTCTTAGTAGCTGCCCATGAGCTGTTGAAATTCAAGAATAGACAGAAGCATCTCTGTCCTAAGATGATTATGTGTTCTCTTCTAGTTTATCACCTGGCCCGCCAAGTGCCCACAGTAATCTACAGTGCTCAGAAGGAGACACCCACCTGGATCGCCTATTATAACTTCTGCCTCGGCGGTAACTGTCACTCCTCTGGCTTCTACTTCGACTCCTACTCCTGCTGTAGTAGCTATCGTAAGTGTAGGACCTGCTTTAACAGCAACAACAAACACTTGTTTTCCAATTCAAACATTCATATATTACATTTCTTTTTAGGATCTTAAGAGTATTCTAGCTTAGAACATAAACATTATGTAACAACTTGAGGATACATCTGCATAGTAAGTAGTGGAAAACATTTAACAATTGCCCAAAGTCAGACTTATCATATTAAACAGAAAACTGTTATTTATTTTTTGCATTGAAAAATGTCGTAAAATAAGCACTGAGTTGTAAGAATTAGGTTGATCTTATTAGTCATTATATTAAATAAACACCTGCTATTATAATCTGACATCAGTTGTCACATGACACTGGAGTCTAATGGGCCAATAGGTAAAAACTATCAAAAAGACCTCATTTAGAAAGGATATGATTTCGAGAGATAAATACATCCATTTAAATTATTCAATAAAATACAACACTTTTTAAAGGGGAATTAATGAAGGGTTTAATAAATAAGGCCTTTTTAATTTTGCCCCCACAAGTAGTTACCCAACCTCTGTCCATACCTGGATCGACTGTGGAGATCGTAAGAGCTGCTCCTGGATCTGCTCCTACTGGATGTCCTAGTAGTAACCACATGAAGAATCATCATCTTGTGGATCAGGACAGGACAGGTGGTATCAAAAAATCTAGGCATTTCTTTGCCCATCAAGGAGAAGGCACAATGAATTCTAATAGCTATAGTTATCTTATTTTTATACCAAAGCATAAATTTATAAATTTTAAAGCATGTTTAATAAGAAAAAATTCATTTTCTGCAGGTCTGCTAGGAGGTACACATAAAGAAAGTCACTGGGAGGCTCTAACTGGATGGGGAGGGGAAAGGTCTGCACAGGCAGGACACTTAGACATAACATGAAGCTGCAGCAGTGGAAAATACCTGAGAGGCAAAAAGGGGAAAGAAGATGGAAGAACTAGAAACCAGGGTTCTCCAACTTTGGTCCCATTTCCCAACAATCCTCCTATCTCAGCCTCTAGCCCAAGTCAAGAGGTGACTGCAGAGGGGAACGCAGGTTAAGGAATATGCAGTGGGGTGAGGTAAGGGAGGGAAGGCAGTAGTTAGAGCATCTCTTACATATTTCTACTTCTCATTCCTCACTTTGATTAGATGCCATCCTGAGAATAGCCATTAAGAAGCCAATAGTTTTTCAAAGAAAGGGTCAGATGAGGAAACAGGCCAGTCTAGCTTTTAGCAGTGACAAGACTCTTCTCAATAGCTGCCCCACTCTACCTGTGCAGGCCTTGAGCAGTAGGGAGGGTGCATCCCCACACTCACCTATGACTTTTGTAGCTGCGGTAGGAACTGCTCCGGCTTCTTGTGCGCCCTCTGCTGTACCACCCTCTGCTCCGACTCCTAGAGTAGCTTCTGGATCTAAATTAAAAGCGGAAAAAATGTAATTATATTAATTAACAGTGTTGTTAAAATTAATTGCTGGTAGGAAGGAAGGGGGAAACACAAGAAAGGTTTTTGGAAAGGTCTCACTAAGTCCTCACAGTGCATGTGACAACGAAAGAGAATGAGGCTTTATATGGAATAGAATTAGAAAAATAGAAAAGGCTGGCACAGGTATGTTCATAAGAACCCTATTTTTAGTAACAAATGAGGAAATAATCTAAATATCCATTAACAGTAGATGGATTAAAAAAAAATCAAAGCAGAGAGAAGTTGAAATATTCCTAGGTAGGAAACTGAACTAGAGAGATAGCTTTGGAAGAAAGAGCTATAAAGGGTGAAAGAGCCTGATAGCTATAAAGGAAAAAAAATGAAAGATTCTTACTGTATTTTAAGTTCAAATGATGAAAATGAAGTACAATATACTTATTGGTATGACGTAAAACCATGAAATATTTACAAGGAAAAGTAAACAAATCATTATTCTTATTACCATCACCAAGTTTTTGTTTTTAAAAATTCTCATGCTCTGCACCAATATAGTCTACGAAGATAAAAGTTAAGATACAGCCTGAACCAAAGAAAATACAAAATTTAAAGCCTACTGCTTTTACCCTTTCTCCCCCTTACTACAAGTCGCGCCTTGGGCATCTCTGGCTCCCACCTTCCATATGTGTAAAATGGTGGGTTAGAATCAAGTCCCCTATATTCTGTAATTTCAGGATCCCTGCTGAGGCATCACTAACAGGCAAGAGAGCAGCCTCACACCTTTAAAGATGAACTCGTCACCTATCATGGTAGCTCATTTCTACTGCCAGAAAGCTTGAACGGACAGCTCGTTTTTTCATATTGAGTCCAAATTTCTTACCCTGAAATCACTCCCCATTTATCCTCAATCTGCTCTCTGAGTCACATAGCACAAGACTTCTCTTTATTCCTTCCAGATATTTGGAAATAGTGATCTGGTCCTAATTCTGATGTTCTTTCAGGCTAAACTCTAACAGACCCTCCTTCTGAAGAAAAAAAAGGAAGGAATATTATTGCTCACCGATAAGATGATGTGGAACTTCGTGATCGACTTCTTGAGCGACTATAGGAGACAGACCTTGTTCTGTGTCTTGACTTGGTTTCAGATTTACTTCGAGATCTACTTGGACTTCTGGACTGACTATCACCATCCCGACTAGGTGTCTGCTCATCACTTGAACTCTCCTGATTTCTGGGTCTCCGGTTTAAGCGAGCTGTCTTTCTTACTTCATCAAAGAGAGACCCAGGCCGAACTTTATTTTTGCTTTTAATTTCTATTCTCAAGCCTTGTGGTTTTATTTCAGGCACAGTAGTCAATGCCTTAACTTCCACAGCACTGGACGCGGTAGCAGTCGGTGCTGCCAGGTTTCCTATGCCCTGTAGGGGTTTCCATTTATTATCCATGAGGCCGATCTGGCTCTTTTCAGTCCCCTCCCTCTTCACAGTGCTTTCTCCAGCACTGCTGTCCGGTTTCCCCACTTCCCCCGCTGCTTTGCTGTCAGACGTACTGCTTTCCTGTTTTAGCAACTCTGCCTCAGGGGATTCCCTTTGCTTGTCCTGCTTTAGAACAATGCTTGTATCTGTGCTGGCAAGCCTTGAGTTTCCCAGAGGAGAAGTCCCTTCTACTTTTGCTGGGGAGCTCCTGTCAGGAGTGCAAATCTCCATGTTGTCATCTGTTTGAAGCACATCCTCCACTCTGCTGGGGACACTTTCTTCAATATGCTGAATGTCTGGGGGAGAAGTGGCTACATGTTCCTCAGTATTTACGGCTCTGGGAGAAGTGCTCAGTTTACTATCATCTTTAGCATGCTGATCAGTATTTGATGAAATTGTCATATTATGCTTGGCTGGAAGGTTGCCATCTTCACAGGATTTCTCAGTTTGGGGAATATTTTCTTTTATGGTTTCAGTGTTTTCAAAAACTTGTTTTTTTTCTTTTGACTGCTGAGTAACTTGCTTTTCATTAACCTCCTCCTCCTCCTCTTCACCAAATTCTAGTGGAGGCTGCCAGTGAAATGCTTGTTTTCGTTTTGGAGGTTTGTGCTTTTTGTCTTTTTTCCCTTTCAATTTTTCTTTCACTTTTTTGCTGTGGTCCCTTTTAAGATTTTCCCTTGATACGTGTTTGTGCCTCCGTTGCTTTTCTCTCTTATTTTCTGAATTTGAACAGGAATCCTCAGAAACAGAGCTTGATGACTGCTGTTTGCCCGATTTCCAAGTGCCATTACTATCAGGCAATGAAGCACTTGCTGCAGACTTTGCTGTGGGTTTGCCTTTGATGTGAATTTCACCAAACTCTGATTCCGAATCTGATGTGGCCTCACCTTCCTCTTTATCGGAAGATTGCCGGGAATCATTTTTACTGTTCTTCATTACATCTCGTTCTGAATTTGACTCAGAGTCCCATTTACTCCCAGCATAATTCTTTCTTTTGGGTCTACTGGCATTTCTAAAGTGATCAGAAAGATTCTCTTTCAGAGTTCTTTTTTTTGAACAGGAGCATTCCCGTTCAGACTTGGGTTTCTCTTCATCTCTGTTTTTCTCTGGTTTATTATTCATTTCCATGGGAGTCTGCTTCTCTTTTTCCTGGGTGGACTGTGTAACCTGAACACTTGACTGTTCACTGTCTGAAGAATAATCTAAAGATGACCTGCTTTCACTATACTTTCTCTGACAGGAAGACTTGTCTCTGCCTTTGACATATTTATTGCCAAGTGTCTTCTCAGAGCTGCTGCTACGCCTTTTATTTGAAGTGTTATTTTTTTTCCCACTGGATTTAAATTTTCTCTTCGCTCGTCTTCCATTATCACTGCTATCAGAGGAGTATGAAGAGGATCTACTACTCTGTGAGTGATCGCTGTACTTATTTCGTGAGTGAGACCTAGATGAGGGAGATCGAGATCTTGAATGTGAACTAGCTAGACTTCGAGATCTTGTGTATGATCTGGAATAAGATCTACTCCTAGAAGATCTGCTCCTAGACCTTGGTGAACTCTCTGAACTTCTATCACTGTATTTTGAATAAGCACTCTGATCACTTTCTGAATTGTTTCCTCTTTTATGGTAGGTTGATGAACTACCAATCTCTTTAATATTTGTTGAACTGTAAGTGCTTTGGATAGGCAGCAAATGGGTTGTTTTAGCTTTCATTTCTTGAATTCGCTCATAAGAGGGCTTCCAGGGCTTCTGTCCAGGCTTCCACCTTGAAGGAGGGGGACTATCACTCAGTGGTATTACAGGAATGTTTTCGGCCACCACTGGCTGCACTACAACATTTTCATTTTTTGGCACAGTTGCTCTTAAGGGTTCTGTTTTAACTGGCTTATTTTCACTTAACTGAGGGGCTGTCCTTCTTGGTGACTTTGAAGCTGTCCTTTGGTGCCCTGACTTGGAACTAGATCTGGACTTTGATCTACTTCGAGAATGTGATGAAGATTTTGATGGAGTCCTTGATCTTGAGCTTCCTCTAGAAGAAGACTGGGAGTGAGATTTCGACCTATATGAGTCTCTGCTAGAGTGGGATGAAGAGCTCTGGTCATCCTTATCAGATTTAGACCAATCCCTCTTTGATGAATGATGAGATGATGATGAGGAGGAACGAGATCTCCTTTCTCTATCACAAGAGGGTTTCATTCGTCGGGTGGAAGATTTTGAGGATTCTATGTCAGAGGGTACAATAATCCTCCTCTTCTTAGTCTGTTTGTGTCTTCTACAATGCTTCTGTTTTTTAGCTTTCTTTTTATGCTTAACTTTTTTCTCTTTTCTGCGTTTTTTATGATGACCATCAGAGTGTTTTGCTGTACTAAGATCAGAGTAATTTCCATTATAGGACCATGATCTGGATCTCTGGGACAAGCTTCTTTCATCCCATCGGCTTGAACAAGGGTCACTTAACCTATAGAAAAGAACATAATAATATGCGTGCAGTTATATATAAGCATGTTTTCTATGCCTTAAAATTACAATATGTCTGTTGTCAAAACAAATGTATTGATAAACCTAGGTAACAACAGAGTATTGACTCCATCAACACTTTAAGCACATGTAGGAAAAATAAATCAAAAACTGATAAGCCTGATCTTGACCTTATACTTTCACAGAGACACAATGACATCTACCAACAGATTCACTTGCAAAAGGACTTTTTCAAAACTAAGCAAAGAAATCCAAATTTGATACTAACTGGTTTTGAAATCTAAACTAATCACAAGAGCATTGTTGACATAAAAGTTCCTGGCTGTGATTTGCTTATAGCCCTCTGTGCCTCCAGGAAGTTTTTGAGGGAGAGTCAAATCAAGTTCCCAAACAATTCTGTTGATTCTCTGCAGATACAGAATAGTTGCCTGGACTTTAAGAGAAGCCTCTTTTTTTTAAGAAGTAAGCATAACTACCAATTTATCTCACCCCCATAGAGGTAATAAAAACTTTCTCCTGAAGTTTTAGTTAAACCACCTATTACAGAAATTATACATGAATATTACAAGAAAAGTGCAAGGAAAAAAAAGTATAAGAAAACAGATGTAGGCATTACAATCTTAGTGGTAATGTCAGGGCTCAAAATTGAGAATTCTTAGTACCACTGTTTCTAAACCACTTTCACACAACAGATGCATACCTATTCCTCCCTCTTCCAATTTCAAACTGTACTGTTAGACACCCAGATTAAAAAAAGAATTCTACCATGAACAATTATACATACACTGATGTATATGAATATACATTGGTATAAGTTTCACTAACTATTCTGGGGTCAGTTCATTTTTAAAATAGATATTCCGATGTGGATGTCAATGAGGATTAAGAGATGTGTACACTTCTAAAAAAGCAACAGTCCCTGGGGTTGTTAATGCCTACGCTAGATATAGGTTTTCCTATCATTTATCAGTGACTAAAAGACATGTCCAGGAAAGAATCTGCTATATAATGTTAACTTCTGGTTATTACTAAAATTGAATAAGAAATTTAGTAGGTTTATAGTCTTCTAAGGAATAGGAGTGTTTTTACTCAAAGTTCTTACTTATCTCCTTTACTCCATTTTTCTCCACTAGGTGGCCTGTATGCTCGTAATCTCTGCATTTCCTCTTTCCAGTGAGGAGGCGTTTCACTGCTATCATCATCATCTGATTCAGAGCAGGATCTTGATCTTGGAGGTGTGTGATAGCGCTTTAAAAACAAATGAATAGCTATTTTTAAAATACCTCTCATTTACAGTCATTTATAGGACAGAGCTAGATATAAGACCCAAGCTCAAACCCCATTCAAAGGCACCAATGACTGAAATACAGAAGGTATATAAAGTTAATTTGAGCATAGGGGACTCAAAGAAAGGGGAAAAGACTAAAATTCACCAGTAACCACACATGAAAATTTCCTCTTTGAGTTACACTGGTTACATTTATTAGTCTACTTTAGTGAACATCCTAAGTTTCTCAACCCACTCAAGTTCATTTCACAATTTCATTTCAAACATAGCAGTAAACTGACAACAAACAGCAGTACCATCGCACACAATTAGCTCTCTGAAGAGAGTCTGAACTATACCTAAAAATCAAAGCTAGGGTCTTACTTACAGACATTTTACTGCTTAGAATAATATTTTGAATTGAGGCAACACTGGTTTACAGCATATTTTGTGTTTTAGGGGGATAGGATTTCCCTCTTCAGGTGTTGTTACCACACCACTCCCACCACCAAGATACCCATAGTCCTCCACCATAGTCCACTGTGCTCCCTCTTTACTTTTGTCATCTCCCCTCCCTAAATAAGTGGTTTTTAAAAAGAAAAGTCTTAACACATACAATTGTGCCTCTTCCTTTAATCTTCCGTCCAGATTTTGATACAGATGGTTTCTGATCACTTAGAACAGGTGTAACATCAAGAATCTTCCTGAAAAGAGTAAAATTAAAAATAAGCAAATGCTAGACAGTTTTCTCAATGTTTAAATGCAGAATAAGATCCTCTAGTAGAAAAAAAATTCACTGAGATTTGTAGAATGAGACCCTCCACATAATCTATTTTTCTAAGCAAACCCTTTAAATGCCCAACTTAGGGGAAAAATATGACCCAATTGGACAGAAATACACAATACTAGCACCTATTATTTTAAGTACAGTATTACTTTTAAACAAAATCCTTTTATAGATGTCTTTTTTCAAAATAGTGTTCAAAGGGAATCCTGATATACTCCTGCTCTGCAGGGAGCAGAGCAGGCAGAAGGACCGAAGTACACTGCTGAGGGGAGCAGCGGGCGGCAGGAGAGGTCTGCGTGCCATGTGGGACCCTCCTCTGGTGGCTGGGGAGCAGCCGGGGATTGAACCGGCGCTGCAGAGGCTGCGGGCAGCTTTGCAACCCAGCGCTCAACCGCTGCGCCACTGGGGAGGCCCTCCATGAACTCTTTTCATACTTCAGTTTGTTTTGTGTCTGTTATTATTACCATAATGGCTTGCTTTTACTGAATATTTACTATCGTGTGAGGCATTATGATAATAAGGATTCACAAAAGTATCTTTTAGTGGGGTTAAATATTCATTAATATTGGCCATTTCAGCCATATTTAAGTGTACAATTATATTCAACGATATACAGCTATCAATACAACTTTTCCAAAAATTTTCATCATCCCAACAAAAACTACCCATTAAGCATAACTCTCCATCCTTCCTCATTCCATCAGCCTCTGGTAACCTCTAGCTTATGGCTGAATAACATTCCATTGTAGGTAGAGATCATATTTTATTTATCCATTCATCTGCTGATGGACACTAGGGTTGTTTCCACTGTTTTGCTATTGTGAATAATGTTGCAATAAACATTATCATTCAAATATCTATGAGTCTATTTCAATTCTTTTTTAAAAAAGATTTCTTTATTTATTTATGCATACAAGAGCTGGGGTACAGGCCAAAGGTGTGGGGGGTGAGAGGATTCACAGGAATGGGGAACTGAACAGGCAGATTGACTGAAAAACACTGCCGAGGGGAGAAGCGGGTGAGTCAGGAGAGGTCTGCTGTGCCATGTGGGTTGCTCCCTGGCTGGCCGGGGTTTGAACTTGTGCTGCAGAGGCTGCAGATAGCTTCATAGGTTGCGTCTTAACCCCCTGCGCACCAGGGAGGCCCTATTTTCAATTTTTTTGGATATATACCTAGGAGTTAAGTTGCTGGGTTACATGGTAAATCTATGTTTAACTTTTTGAGGAACGAATAAACTGTTTTTCATAACGGTGGTATCATTTTCATACTCCTACCAGCAACGTATGACCATCTCAATTTCTCTATACCCTTAGCAACATAGTTTTTTTGGTTGTTTTTTTTTTTTTGTCTTTTTATTATGGCCATCCTACTAGCACAAAAGTAATAATCTCACTGTGGGTTTGATTTGCATTTCCCTAAATGACTAATGATGTTAAGCACCTTTTCATGTGCTTACTGGTAATTTGTATATCTTTTTTTGAAAACTATTCAAGTGTTTTGCCCATTTGAGTTGTCTCTTTGCTATCGTTGCTTGTGTTTTTGGTGCCAAATTATAAGCATACAATGCCAAATCCAAGGTCATGAAGATTTATCCCTATGTATTCTTCTAAGTTTTAAGGTTTTAGTTCTTTAGATTGTTGACCTAATTTGGGCTAATTTTTGTATATGATGTGAAGTAGAGGGTCCAACCTCATTCTTTTGCATGTGGTAATCCAATTGTCTATCCTTTCTCCACTGAATGGTTTTGGCAATATCAGTTGGTCACAGATGTGTGGATCCACTTCTCAGTTCTATTCTAATGATCTATCTATTCTTATGCCAATATCACACCGCTTTGCAGTGAGAGTTTTAGAATCAGGAAGTATGATTTCTCCAACTCTGCCCTTTTTCAAGATTATCTGGCTATTCAGGAGCCCCTCTTACAATTCCATATGGATTTGGGCATTGACTTTTCCATTCAGCAAACAAGACTTGGAATTTGATAGGGTTTACAATGAATCTATAACTTGCTTTGAACAGTAATGACATATTAGCAATATTAAGTTTTCTTAATATCTTAATATTTTCTTAATATCTCAATCTAAGAATGCAGAATGTCTTTTAATTTTGAGCAATATTTTATAATTTCCATTACACAAGTCTTTCAACCCCCTTGATTAAATTTATTCCTAAGTATTCCTAAGATGTTATTTTAAATGAAATTGCTTTCTTAAATTTCCTTTTCAGATTATTCACTGCTGCATTAATAAGCATTTTAATAGCTCATTAACTGTCACAACATTATGAGGTAGATACTACTATCATCTTCATTTTACAGAAAAGGAATTTAAAGATTTTTGCCTAAGATCACAGGAAGAAATGAAACTTCATTCTTATAACCACTGCATAAAGTTTTCTGAGGTCCCAAGGATCTGGCTCCAGATGAAACAGTTAACACAGAAAATCTTAACTATAAAAGTATATTATAGTTTCCTCAGTCATTTCATATTTATGACATCACTTGATCCACACTAGTTAAGTAGGAATATTTGGTAGGCAACTGCTAGTCCCATTTACCTCATGAAGGAAAAAAACACACAATGCCAAATGACTTGCCTAACAGGTTATCAGCAAGAATTGATGCTTACCTAGGACACTCTTCTATTCTGATCTAATGCTGCCTCCTCCACATCCTCCTTACAACATTGATTTATTTGTTGCATGGCTCAGAAACTGGCATTTTAAAAAGCTTGCCAATTTACTCTAAAGTACAGCAGAGATTGAGAACAAATAAATAGAGTAAGAGTGGAACCTAGCTTCTGCTAAGCAAATTATAAGTGATAATGATTTTTACTGCTGATACATCAGTAAGATGGCTAAGTTATGGCTGGCAATTCTTATTTTATCCTTGGATATGATGAGTTCTCAAAGCACATTTAATTCTATCTCCAAAACAACTGATTAAAGTATCAAAGGCGGGCCTCCCTGGTGGCACAGGCAGTTGAGCACAGTGCTGTGAAGCTGTCCGCAGTCTCTGCAGCGCGGGTTCGATCCCGGCCGGTCGGGGAGATACCCACATGGCACGGCAGACCTCTCCTGTTTCACCCACTGCTCCCTTCAGCAGTGTATTTCAGTCATTCTGCCTGTTCTATTACCCGCTCTGTCTCTAGTGAATCCTCTCATCCTCCCGCACATCTGGCCTGTACCCCGATTCTTGTATGCACGAATAAATAAATCTTTAAAAAAAATAAAGTATCAAAGGCCCTAAAAGATCAATTTTGTCATTTTTGTATGACGCAACTACAGCCGATTATGATTTACAATAATTCTGCATAACTTCCAAAGATGTCATATGAACAAAGAAAAGTGATGACCAAAAAAATATATTACTAATAATCAATTGTAAGTGCACTTACACTTACACTGGTATAAACTACCTTAACAACACCAGATAGCAGGGGTTGACAAAATTTTTCTGTAAGGAGTCCAAAATAAAGAATTAAGGTTATTATGTAGAAAAAGAAAGTTTTCACAAATGTTTTATCAAATTCAAAATATACCTGATTATCACTTTTTCTAATACAGACGTACTAATGAAAGAAATGTAATTCTTTTCTGAATTACACTTAATTAGGGTTCATAGTGTTCCCTAGCAAAATAGATAGTACTCTCCTACTGCAGATCTGTAATGCGATTTTACATATTTCATCTTTGAAAATATCTTTTCACATAGATGAGTTATATACATAGTATTTGAAATACTGGGAAAGTTGTAACTGCATAGCGCCCAAACTGTTGTGTAGGGTACTAAAGAACAGTATAAAGCAATAAAAGTACCACAAACTGTTGCAGCTACTCAGTTCTACTATGGTAGCACCAAAAATGGAGGAAACAAATAATGCACAAACAAATGTGACTGTGTTCCAGTAAAACTGTATTTACGGACATTGAAACTGGAATTCATAGAATTTTCACATATCAAATTCATTCTTTTTTTGATTATTTCCCCCACAACCAAGTTAACAGTAACTTTATAATACTAATATTAATATTCCCAGTCACCACTGCAAATAATTTTGGCAATTCAAACTGGGAGATGTATTTTATCACTCATTTAGATACAAACAGTTTAATTAATTCCCTATTCTGACAACCAAATATCTCACTCTAATTCTGAAAGGTAAAGAAAACAGGTAATGAAATCTTTCCAGACCTTTAATAAGAAACTTTGCCCTTGACCAATTTGCCCAACTCATTTCCCTACCAGCAGAATGTGAATTCTGAAAAGCAGGGTGTGGGTCATTCATTATTCTGGTATGTCCCACAGCATTTTTCAAACTGCTTTGACACTTTGGCTCATATTCAATAAATGAGTATGCGACTGCAACGAGCTGACAAAATCATCAATCAGAAAAACAAAAACATACAGATTAATTATTCTACTTACGGTTCAGGTTCCACCGTGACAAGTGGCATATCTCTTCTTAGTAAAAATCTATTTTCGGGCACTGGAGGAATCTCTTCTGGGCGAACCACAGGTTTTTCTCTTTTAGCATTTGAATCAGCTGACCTTTTTTCATTGGTATCACTCCTCTCAGAGCGTCTTAGAGAAAACAAACCAAATCACTGATCAAGACTGTAATATTACATTTATAAAAGCATATAAAATTAGATGTTAAAACAGCAAAGCTGCTCTTACAAAGCAGCCAAAAAGATTATACAATTTTCTCTAAGAAAATAACCCAGTAAAAAGCCCACAGTATTAAAATTCTAATATGAAAGTAGTCAATTCTAATTTTCTTCTAAGAGTTTCAGGGATTTTTACATGCAAACACATAAGTCTTTGACAGAAAATGTCTGTGTTATCCCTAGATTTGCCAGATTTCAATTTAAAGTCTAAAAAAGGCCTTTGTTTTTCAACAACAGATAATAAAGTTTATGGAATTACATACTTACCCCATTCCAGGATGTTTGCTTTTTTTAGGTAACACTATGCTGGTGTTTCACACTTACCCTTTTGGGCTCATTGCATGCTTATTTCTTGGCTCTTCTGAACTGTTTATTTCCTTCCTTCTCTTTTTAGAATGTTTAACTTTTGGTCTCTTCTTATGTTTCCTTCTTCTGCTTCTCTCATGGTCAATTTCACTTTCTGAAGATGATTCTGAAGAGGATGAGGAATTGGAAGAGGAATCCGAATCTTCTGAATGAGTTGGTTTCTTCCTTTTTTTCTCAAAAACTTTCAAGAAATATTAATGAAAGTATTAGTACTGGATTTCAGTACAAACCTTTCAGAGCAAAAACTGTGATTACTGAGTATCATAAAACATGCTTTATGTATTACTATAAACTAAAAATTCAAGTGCTCTTTTTCAAGTTCATAATACAATCTGCTGGTGAGATTATAAGGTGACAAAGCCCTTGCCCTCATGAAATCTTTATTATAGTTGGTTTAGATAAGAAAATAAGTAATAACTGTATAAAATCACAAATGATAAGTACTAAAACAGAAAGGAGTGTCAGGAGAACCAGGGAGAGTCAGGTGAAGTTTAGGTTGATATTTGAGCAGAGACCTAAGGAAAGTAGGCTAAGTGAAGTAAGTCCAAAGGAGAAAGAAAAATACTGAACTGTGTCTCTTATATGTGGAATACAGAGAAACTAATACAGATAGAGGCAAAACAACAACAAATCCCAGAAAGTTCACTACAAAACTTAGGCTACCAGAAAGGTTAGAACAAAGTGGGGAAAAGGTACAATGGATTATGGTGGTCAACTAAAGGGTGGCTTGATGGGTAACGTTACCTGAAAGGAAAGATAAATCAGTGTTACCCCAATAAAAAAAAAAAAAAAAAAAAAACCTGAATGAAGAATGTTGCAGATAGAGGGAACAGCCAGCACAAAGTCCCCCAAGAGTTTGGCATGTCTGAAATAAGGGTCACCATGGCTAGAAGACCATGAATGAGGTGACAGAAATAGCAGAAAGTCAGGCTGCTTTATAAACCATTGTAAAGATTTCTGAGAGTTGTTAGAGAGGATGATTCTGGTTACTGTTTATGGCCAAAGGTACAAGCAAAGAGATCAAGTAGGAGGCTATTGCTGCTAAAAGAGGAGCAAGGAAAGAGGCAAAGTCAACAGTTATAAGGCAACTGCAATAGTCCAGGTATGAGATATTGATGGTTAGGGCCAAGCTCGTAGCAGTGGAAATAAAGATTTGTGATACAGGATATGATACAGAGGCATCACGCTGGATACACATATGAATTTTCCACTATTGAAATACTGAAATCAGGAAGTATTTTTAAGTTACAGTCTTCAACACAAGTCACCTGTATTCTAGCTCCCTCTACCTCAAAAGAAAAAAAAAAAAAAGCCCTTACCATCCTTTGTTGATTTCGTGGCAAGTACCCCACAATCAATAACTCGCACATCTGCATATGGTCTGCTTGCAGCATCAGTTTTCAGATTTTCAATTTGTTCAATTACTTCAAAACCAGAAATAACCAGTCCAAAGACAACATGCACCCTGTCACAATAAAAATTCATGTAAGAATTGGCTTGATGATAATTAAGACTTGAACAGTAATCAAGAAAATGGTTATAAGTGACATGTTCACAAAACTTAAAGCAAACTGAGATATGAAGGAATTAAAAGGGATTTTGAACTTGAAATCTGCATCATAAAAGGAAAAAAGCAATTACTCAAACTGGACTTTAAGTTTTCTGCCTTTAAAACAAAAGTTTTTGACTGTTTTATGGTAAAATAGACAGACTGCATTTGATACTCAGAAATCTTCCTCATAGGGTCATGGCTGACAAGTTCATTCATGTGCCCAGGTAAAGATATCAGTGACACGAAAGCCACTGGGTCTCAAAACTACTGTACCCTTTCATCCTTAAGGAAGAGCTTGGTTTTAAGAGATTAATCCAAGGTTCAAGAATGTGTCCTTCAGGGTTCACTCATGATCTAATCTGTTTTAGGTTGGCCAATCAAACACCTCCCAAAGGTAAAAAGAACACATAATTCTTACCCATCCAAGTGTGGAGCAGGTTTTGTGGTACTGGTGCAATAACATCAACACAAAGATGATGGCAAAAACCAGGTGTTCAGGTGAACAAGGCAGAAGTTTTAAAGCACAGCATGTAGAAAACAGAGGTAAAGATAAAAAGACGGGTAAAGTTAAATATTATATACAGCTAAACTTAAAAACCTTGAAAACAGTAACTGTAACCATTTTACTGATTAAAAAATCCCACAAGATTATAATGAATTATAAAATTCTATTTCTCCAATGTGAATATATACGTACACACATATTTGAAATATGCAGCATAAACAAACATTTAAGTTACTCTCAAATCCAAAACAACAAACTGACAACAACAAAAAACCTTCTAAATTTATCAAGGTAATTAAACAAAGAACATAAAGCTCCCTACAAAAAGAAAAGTGTGACCAACACCTGCCCCACACACTTAATTTGGGTTCTTGTAGTTCTTATTTCTCATACGGAATCAGTCTGCATTTTTTTGGCAGGCAGATGGAGGTAGGCCTTAAGAAGTTCTGTTTTCAGAACTCCCTGCCCCTCTTCCTTCAATTAAGGTGAAATTCTGCCACACACAGCACCTCTGAAAATGCAACAGGGAGCAAACCCCTTCAATCTGCCAACTCAAAGTGATGATGGATAGCATTACAGGCATTTTATATTTCCATGACCCAGAAAACACCGAACAGTCTTCTTCTACAGTCACAAACTAATGCTCTTAGGAAGCCTATGTAGCACATGTGGTTAGGATATTTTAAAGCCAAGCTGGTTTTCCCACAGCATTTTCCCAGATCTCCACATTATGTGAATTGCAGTGGGAAAAAAATCAAAAGCAGGTAACTAGACTAAGAAGTATATACCATAAACATCTTAGTTTGTAAGAATGCGAAACAGGTATTTGAGAGAAAGGTCAGTGGGTATCAGGGCATGTTAAAACAGTTAATTGTACTAGAAGTTCCCTTACCAATTTTTTTTTTAAGATTTATTTATTTATGCACACAAGAACTGGGGTACAGGCCAGAGGTGCAGGGAGTGAGAGGATTCACCAGAGACAGAAGGAAACAGAACAGGCAAACTGACTGAAAATACACTGCTGAGGGAAGCAGTGGGTGAGACAGGAGAGGTCTGCTACCCACGTGGGTAGGCTCCCTGGCTGGCCGGGGACTGAACTCGTGCTGCAGAGGCTGCTGATAGCTTCACAGTGCTGTGCTTAAACCCTTGCGCCACCAGGGAGGCCCTCCCTTTCTAATTTTTATATTCATTTTAAGGCAATTCTAAGACATAAGTCAGCAAAACACAAATTTAACCTAAAATAATGATGCTAAAAAAATCATTATTTTACAAGAAACTGTCACACTTGTACTTACATTAAGAATATTCAGTTTTCTAGGAGCACTACAGAATTTAATTTAAAAAATTAAAATGCCAACTTCAGAAGTTGCAGAATTTTAAAGGGAAACTTGGGTTTTAAAACCACTTGTCTCAAACTCTTCCTAAGGACTGAGAACTGGTAATTCAAGCAAATCAATAAAAACAGGCGAAAGGACGGGAAGTTCAGGAAGGAAGGAAATGTAGCAAACTGGTGAGAGATTAATGTTTAAATTATTAAACTAGCAACCAGAAGCAACTACCTTTGGACCTAACTTTAAGTTAGAAATGTGCCTCCTATAAGTATAAAACTTTACCAAAGCACACTAACAATAGGAAGAAATTAGTACATATGGTAGATAGTGCTTCTATTGTATGAAAGATGTAAAGAAGCAAACATTTTAAAGATAAAAATGTTCTACGATATATGGGCTCTCAGGTAAGTAGCAGTGAAAAGAATGAATGGTTTACTGTTTAGATAGATATATTCCTCCTACTTTGTTGATTTCTTCTTTCTCACAACTATCAATTTTCTGGTAGTGGAAGAAGACTAGAGATTTTCTAAAACACAGAGCCCAATTTAATTTGCTACCTTGGCTACAGGAGTTTATAAAATTCACCTTCTGGCAAACCTTTGGAGAAATGGTGAGAACAAAACATTCTAGCTAACTGCAGTAAGGTAACAATATACTGAGACTCAATTTAAGGATGGAATAGCTACCTTTGTCACATTAAACTCAAACTTGGTCCTTTATTTCAATAATGAAGGAGAGAAATTAAGACAAGAACAAATTTCAGCTGGCTCTCTATGCTTAAATTAGTGTGATTAATTCAGTCCACTACTGCATCTGCAATTCAGAATGCAGAAATACAAATTATACTTTAACTAGGTTAGACTACATACTACTGTTATAATACTGAAAGTATCTAAACAAAAAGCAGTCCTCTATAGTGTTTTCAGCCTACGTTCCAGGAATCCCAATACAAAGTAGGTTCACAGGCACTGGGCTGACCAGACATGGATACTGACAAATGGGGTTACAAAAAAAGCAGGGAGAATTGGTATGCTCAGTCCAAGCTATTCAATTTTACATAAAATGGGTGAGGAGATCTCAGCCTGCCAGCTCTTAACTTTATTGAACTTTAAAAACTATACAGGTTTAAAATTTTGGTGACATATGTTCAGTAAGCTAGCATCTTAAGACCAGAGACTATCATACATGTGTAAGTTTACACATGCTTGTAAATATGTGCCTAAAGGAAAAACAACCTCAAAGAACATTTCAAATTATAAAAGCTTTCAACAGTTTCACATTTCCATTTTCTCCTATCACTCAGGCACTAGCTTTCCAGTTTCCTTCATCCCTTAATCTACTATAAAAATATTATGTCCAAGGGTTCATTTAAACCTTGTAAATATTAGAAATTGAAAAGTATCAAGTTACTCCAAAGAGCAACCTATATTTTATACCATTTTCAAAGACACTTTTAGCCTTTATAGAAATTAACAGTTCTGTACTGAAATGAGATCTAAAACCATTATATACAATACAGTCCCCCTCCCCAAAGATGTAGGGAAATTTGATGGAAACAAGCCACTCAGTTAAAATATACTTCCCAGGATTAACCATGAATAATAAAACACACTTGTTTTACATGTATTGCTGCCATACAGATCAAGCAGAAAGTTTTTTTTATTAAAATGGTTCAATGCACATAACAGTAAGATTAAAGAGAAAAAAGCAAAGAAAGAAAAAGAGAGCCTTAGAGTAATGAGACATTACCTTTGGAGCGCACGATGTAACACTCTTTCTGTAAATTTTACACAAAAATGGCAAGAAATAAATTGTAATACACTTTTAAGACAAGACTGAATCTATGTTTTAATATCAATATAACTTTGAAATTAAATATTTTCAAGTTTTATGCAAAGCAAGAAAGCTTTTTAAATGGAGGGCTCTAAATTTTCTTTCACATAGAATATGTATGTAGAGTTGAATATGCTTTAAAAAAGCCTGTGGTGGAGGTGGGAATCTGTTCTGATCTTTAACACTGTAACACTACAGTAGGAATAATAGCCATTAACAAAACACTGCATTTCTTTTCGCACATCCCAGAAACTAGTTACGTCAACTTTCTCAAAAAGAAAATAATATATTTTGAGTATTGAGAAATAATCTGAATGCCCAGGAGCTATCAGTAGAAAGCAACAAATTCAACAGAAAGAATTTAGTCAAGAGAATTCAGATCAAAATTTCAGGGAATTTTTTTTCTAATTCAGTTCAATAGTTATAGAACCTTTCATGCATCTACATTGGAAACCCTTTTTGGTCACCCATCACAACAGACCACCACCAGGAATTAATGAGCAAATGTGTGTGGACTGCAGTTATTCTTCACTGCCATTACGTACTTTGTAGTTAAGCCACTGAAAATAACAATGAAATAATAAAGCAAAAGAACTAGAATGTTAGGGAAACTTCCCAAAAGATAAAAAGGCAAGAGATGAATTTCCTGTAAAGACATTGATACATGAATTACAGTAAAAAAAGAATATGTTGTAAATAATAGTTTTTAATGAATATTGTAGGAAACAATGACTCTTAGTGTTTCTATTTCTGTCTAATGAACCTTTAACCTGCCATTCTTTCTTCCAATTCTTGAAACTATCACACCATCATGGAAAAGGCACCAAACTGTACGAAGTGACAAAAGCTTGTTCAAGAGCAATGGAAATTAGCCAGGCCATAGTGGCTTACTTATGTATACCAAAAGTTACCAAGACAAAAAAGTTTCTGAAAATTCAGCACTAATGTTAACATAACACAAACCAAACAGAACTAGATACAAAATTCCTGCCATATTACTAATACATATATCACATAAACACTATATAATATTAAGATTAGAAATTAAGGATGATACTTAATTATTCAGAGAATTCGGCTTTCCGTTAAGTTTCACAAACATCTTTGTTCATGGAAAATCTTGAAATTCCCTATGAAGGTATCACCCCAAAAAGGGGGGAAAGCTAGAACTTCTCAACACTAGCCTGTCCTCTTACACAAATTCATGAGTATGTGGATGGAAAAAGCATTTCTACCAAAATCAGTTTGCTCCCCAAAATGTAAGCCCTTTATATAAACCACTTAAAATTAAACCATCCCTCAACTCCCCTTGCTCCACTTCTGTGAAATGATCGGCCTTTTCTTCCACTCAGCTGAGCAGCCACTAGGAAGTCTGATTTTTCAAAGACATAGACCACAGTTTAGAAGGTCTTTTCTTCCTCTATACTCCTATTTATGACCCTTAAAATAGGACACTTTTTGTTTAAAGTTCAAAGTTTGACTTCTCTACATATCTTGCCCTCTTATATTTTTATAATTATCACGACCACTGAGGGGGCCACTGACAGACTATTTTCCAAAGCTCTACAGGTCCTTCTCCTCCAGAGTTTGATATAAAGGCCTGTATAGATGGGACAATTGTAACCACCACACCAATGTTCTAACAGCAGGTGATGGAGAAACTGATGATGCTCCTGATCTAGGCAAGCTGATCCTACTGCTTCTCTGCAGCACCTTTCATTCAGACTGATGAAGATTAGGAAAGAACAACTATTCCCTTGGGGCAAAATAATGTTTGCATATAAATCATTCCACCCAGTCAGAAACTTAGGATTAATCTACAAAAGACTTTCTTCCTTTCATGTTCACATTTCACATCAAAATGTTTACCTTTGGAAGTGGGTTAAATATTTTACATACAGAAAAGGAAATACAAAACTAACTCAAGGTATAGTAAAATTAGAACCAAGGCTTCCTGATAACTATGTAATTTAATACAAAGCTATAAACCACCTGCCTAATCTTTTTAAGATTAGTTGATGCTACATTTTCTTTATCTTTTTGATGAATAAAGACAATGAAAATGGGGCCAGAATTAATAGACTATTATGAGTAACAAAGGGAAAAAAGTTTCCCTAAGCATTTTGTTTTCCAATAATGCTTGATGCTTCTAATACTTAACTAAAATAAATTAAGAGCAGAGTAGTGAGTATGATTTATACAGCTGGCTGACAGTGTGCAACTTTCTATTTCTAGCATTCAATTTCTTCCAGGTTATTAAAAACACTCTATATCTGGACTTTATATATGCTCTCTTCATTATTTAGCATTATCTATAGGACAAAAGTTTGGACTAGATGATCTCTAAATCCTTTTCCACTCTTTAAATACTATAGCATTTATTGTTTCTTCTTCCTAGCTTTGGATTAAAAAATAAATAATAAAAAAAGGATAAAACGACTAAATACCAAGCTAACTTGGTTACTACTTTGGTCTCAGGCGTTTGAATTACTTAACAAGAACAAACCATTGTTTCCTCAGTGATTCATGGGGTAGTGCCACATATTTATTACTTCTTTCACATTTCTTGAGCAGTATTTCCAAAAAGAATCAGTTTTCTTCTACTTAGGTCCCCAAAGGCAAAATTATTATGACCAATACAGTAGAAGCTATAAGCAGTTATTGGAAAAATGACAAGTAGCTTTACAGAAGAAAATCTGATTTCATTGTAAACATAATCATTTCACCCAAAAAGGGAAATTGCATAATATGTGAAAATTATGCTTTATAATAATGCATGCCTCAAAAGGGGAGGTATCCAATATGTAACTAATGAACAACAGTTAAGGCACAAAGAAGAATTCTTGAGGAATATTTTACAAATACCCTAACAGCACCAAATTTACACTAAATACACTAATAGTACCAAAATTACTTCTTAGGAATTGCGGTATAACAGATTTGGAAATAAACTGCAAATACAATTGTGCAAAAATGTATTAAAAGTCCTAATTATGTCTATAAAATGGAACATATAATTAGGCAGTTCTTGGCACAGTTCTTATACTATCCTTTTTCAAATTCAGAACTGCTGCTCAAAGTGCCACATGAGGAGTGTAGTGAGAGGGTAAAAAAGCAGGAGCCACCCTTGGGAAACCATCTGATAGCTCTGCAACCATCAACCCTCATAACCTCAAGGTTTAGCACTATTAACTGTGATCATATAAACAACCTGAAGAGAATATGTTTTTATATCACTTTCAATGTCTAAAGGGTCTGACCTTTCAAGACAGATTTTGAAAGATTTTTCTTTTATGGGTTATCATCTCCACTCTACCTACCCTACCTATAAAAGCAAGGAAATATTTTGTTTAGAAATGTAAACATTAGTTTTGATTTTATCCTGTAATCCACAGGGAACACAGCCAGCATAAAATGCACTCATAAAAACTTCTTTTAAAAAAAGGGACAAGAATTTCTTTGTGCAAAATGACTCAAATTACTTCAAGATTGCTTTTCACAGCAAATGATTTCCAGAAGTAAATGTCAAAATGAAAATTTTCTTTCAGTCATAAGTTTCCAGTGATTCTAGTGCAATTTGAAACCTACAGTTAAATATGAAAACAAATAAAAACTTTTAATCCTAACTTATTATTAAAATTTTCATTTGGCATTATAAAAAACAGCAATCCAATGTCAAATTAGGTTATGTAGAAAACAATGATCTTTGTTTGATATTAAACATTCCTAGAAAAGACTTAAACAAATACTAAATACAGAAACAAGATACTTAAATTTTTTGAATGAAGAATCTCACATACTGGATTTTAATTAACGTATGTAGGTGCACCAGTTTGTAATCTAACATTTATAAACAAGCTAAGCAGTGTGTAACAATGGGAAGAAGCTGCTGCTACCTGATAAATCAAATTTTAAATGTACTGATATAAAAAAGGAAATCTAAAAGAAACTTTAGAGCCCTCAGATGGTAGCTTCTTGACCAATGAATCATTATGTTCACAGTTCAGATAAGCTTAAAAATGGAAATGGGAAACCTCAATCAAAGAGCAAACAACTTCTATATGAAATTATTATTTTCAAAAAGTTTCAAAACATCTCCCTTTATTTTGGCCCTTGGGAAGGTTAAAAATTAAAAAAATATTATAGTAAGTAAACATGTAGTCACTAATACTCTATGGGATTAAAAACAAGATACAGGAATAGGTCTTTCTTTTTTCCCATACAACTCCAAGCATTACCATTTTCATCAGCTTTCCATTTTTAGGACATTCTTAGGAACAGAATGACCCTTATCTGAACTATCAGATCATGTTGAGAATCTAATTTTCAGACAAATTTTAAATGTGAGAATTGTTTTATATGAATAATTTACTTCTTTAAAGACAGGGAAGCGCCATTCATACTCATCCATTCAGAAAGATGACCAAAAAAAGTTTTTTCTAATAAACCATTAATAAAATATTTCTCCAACATACATAGCACAACTTTAGAAATTTATTTTCAATCCAAAGCAATAAACTTCAGCTAGAGAATTATATTTTACTTTATATCATGGGACAATAATGGAAACAAAGGTTTGGGCATATTTTAGGTAACAATGTAACTAATAGTGTGCCAAAGGCATTTAGAATTTTCAGGTAAGAAATTAAGGTTTTTGTTGTGCATGCATGTATGTACATATAGAGGTGTTTTAGAAAAGCTAATGAGCATTCTAAAGTTTCCTGAGTGATACTCTCATAAATTTTGGTAGAAATGAGAGCAACATTGGGTTAATTCTACTAAAACTATACCATAGAAATCTCACAAGGTTTGAGTTTTTAATGTTTCCTCAATAACAAATCACCTATCTCTATGCAATATCAGAAAATATTGTAATGGTACCTCTCTCAAATTGACTCAAAGAGCAACATTAAGAGAAAAGGCAACCACACAAAGATTTATTCAAATCAGCTGCTTTCCAAAGTAACTTAATCCAAGCCTATAAACAATTTTAAACATTCACTGGCAGTTTATGCTCCAAGCTAACTTTGGTAAATCAAATCCCCAAATTTGGTAAGAATCAAAAAAGCCAATTTCTTAAGGTTACATATCCTAAAAATAATGTACATCTTCAAGCTATATCTTTTAAGTCATTCTTTAAATGCAGGATGTATGCTGAATGCTGAAGCAATCTTCAGAGCTTATCAGTTACTATAACACGAGAAATTAATAATAAAATCCAAGTTGACAGAATTCTACCATTAAACTTGGTTTAACTATACCATCTTTCTCATGAACAGCGCTTCTCTGTTTAAGAAAAGCTCATCTCTGAATTATGCCTACTCACATGAAAAACTGGGAACCATTGGTATGTTTCCCTCGATTTGCCATTGACAAAAGGAACGCTCTGTCATGTTTGAGAATAAAGTTTTCATCTGTTTGAAGAAAACACAAATTCGTCAGTGTCCAATTATAAACCACCTTTATAGTGTAATGTTCATAGTAATAAACAGAAAGCAAAGGATGAAATTCCTCTTCTGGTCAGTAAAGATACTTGACTGAATATTTAAAAAAATTGTTTTAACTAATCAAATAACATAAGCATAAAAAAGACCAAAAATACTACTTTAAGCCTTGAGGAAAAGAACATATATTTAATACTTTATACAAACAGCCTTAGAACAGTCACTTTTAGTAGCAACATACTTTGGCTAGATGATGTTCTAGCTATTAACTTTCAGGAAAAACTGGTAAAGAAATTTTAGAAATAGCTCTATTATAAAGCTCATTTCCTCCAAATTTCTAATTATCTTGACTAATGGAAGAACATGGGAAAAGCTTAATAATCCTCTTTGTGTTTAATTTCTGCACAGTAAATTTATTACTCAACTGAACTGAAGATAGATTATGAGAGCAAAAGAACAAAAAATTGCGTAAGTTGTAGGGATATGTCTAAATTAAATTCCTTCTCATCAGCAGGATCACAAAATTATCTAAGGAAGAAAGTCCTGTAAAAATGAAATTTCAAGGGCAAAATACAAATTTAAGATAAAAAAGAATCTGCCACCGGAAACAACCACATTAAAGTGGCCTAGAGCATTAGTTTCAAATTGTTTCATGCTAATAGAACCAGCTAAAGAGCTGTTTCCTACTAGCTCTAAGGATAAACTGTCATATAGATCAGTTAAAGATGATTCTAACTCCAATAGATATTATCTTAAAAGCTAATTTAAGTTTCTTTTTTAACAGTCATACAAACATATCTTTCTTTAGAACAAACAGAAACATAGAAAAAAATTTTTAAAAATTATTACCTTGGGAACAGGCTTCTGAAAAACAGTAGTAATCCATTTTCCCCCAAAAGAAATATAAAAGACTATTATAACACTGAAGCTATCATTATGTTAAAACCTAGTAATATTGGATCCCATTATACAACTCTGCAACTGACTTTTCTAAGGCTTTTTGGGGCAAGTGCAATAGTTAGATTTATGCAAATGCTACTACTGTAGGAATAAAACATAATCATATAGTTCTAGTACATAAAAGAAAACATACAAACCTTTGAGAAAGGAGGAAATACCAACTTTTATGCAAAGAAACTGCTTGGTTTAGGAAAAAAAAAACACAACTATATTCTTTTCCCTGATAGGGAAGTAGTAACCCATTGGGAAAAGAAAAAAGATATAGAAGCATGAAGTATGAAATAGTATACAGAGTTTTCCAAGTCTTCAAGCAATATAGAAATCCAGCCACAACCTGACCCAGACTGTCCATAAATTTATTAGGAAGGGTGCAAGGGAACAGAATTGGAGTTTGTGTTACTGTGCTTCGTTCTCTTACCTTTTCATTTTGCAAAAGACCACATTCTCTATAAACAAAAGAATATGTTGACAGTTTTAGGCAGGAAGATAGGAGTTTTCATGTATATAGTTGCCTAACCTCCATGCTGAAAGTCATGTTTAACCATAAAGTTAGCCTTAATTAATCTTGTCAATTAAAAGTTATATATATTACAATACAGTTTTATCCCCAAGTTCATGCAAATAAAGTATTTTCATGCAGCATTAGTTTCATGCAAAAAGTGAACTATGAGTAAAACCGCTTCTCATTAAAAGTACATGATCAAACTTGCTTTAATATCAGAATTGAAAAAGACCACAAAATTTAAACCTTACCTTTAAAATATCCACCATAAATTGATTCTCCACCTTTTCCATTACCTGCAAATAATGACCTACATTAAATTATAATAAAAATCAACATACTAATACATATAATTTGTATGGTTCAATTTGCTTTAGGAGGTAACAAGTAGTAACTGTAGCAGATAATCAAAATTCTAAGGATCCTCAATTAATCTCATCTTTAAAATATAAGTAAATCCTATTAGAAAAAATGCTACTTAAAAAATGGTCTCCGTAACCTATTTGCTTCAAACAGTAATGACACCAACAAAACTCTAGAATAGACAGACAGTACCCTGACATTTGTTATAAGAGAATTCACCAAGTTATTATATTACTAAAATTGTATAAAAACAAAATGTCTTAGGTTTTTGTTTTTTCCAAGCATTATTGGTCTACAACATTCATTCACCTAAGAACTATTCATGGATCACTTAATATTTACATCATACTAAGTGATATAATATTTACAATTAAAATAGTGAATGAGATACTTTAGAAACTGATAGATGAAATTATAAAGAAAATAACTTTTAGCTCTACCTTCACTGAAGTCCCCGCCCTGAATCATGAAGTTTTTAACCACACGATGGAATGTAGAACCTTTATAACATAACTTCTTCCCAGTTGTTTTCCCAAGGCCTTTCTCCCCTGGAAAAAAAAAGAAAGGAAGTTTAGCTACAAACATATCCTTCCATGAAAAGTACTGTCCAATTAATTCTGTATCAATTCCTCCTACATGATGTGAGAGATACAAGTAGACAGTGTGATTGATAATTTCACACACTGACGCAAATACAAAGCAGCATGTAAATGTTAAATTATGTCTAACAGGCTACATGCTATCTAAGAAAAAAAAGATTAGACAAGGTTAACACTCCAGTAAAGAATATATTCAAAGAGTTGGTGCAAATTTGTGTGTGTGTGTAACTACCTATGGATTTAAAATTTTCAATTTGAAAAAAATAAGATAAAATTTTCAATTTGTTTTTTCTATGTTTAAAGTAACATTGTAAATGTTTTCCTCTCCAACTTTTCTACTTATTTAAAATATAAATCCAGGGCCTCCCTGGTGGTGCAAGGGGTTGAGTCGCAACCTATGAAACTGACCGCCGCCGCTGAAGCACAAGTTTGATCCCCGGCCAGGGAGCAACCCACATGGCGCAGCAGACCTCTCCTGACTCGCCTGCTGCTCCCCTCAGCACTCTATCTGTCATTCTGCCTGTTCTGTTCCCAGCTCTGTCTCTGGTGAATCCTCTCACCCTCTATACCTCTGGCCTGTACCCCCATTCTTGTATGCATAAATAAATAAATCTTTAAAAAATATATATAAATGCAATTAGATAAAGAATTTCATTATGTTCTGCCTTTCCATCTTTTAGTTCTAAATTTCTTGTGAAGCCTGGAATGTGAAATTTGTTCAAAGTAATGAAATTTGTAAAATTCTACCAAAACAAATCAGTTTTGATAGCTACTATGTAATAAATTACACTGTACAGAGATTTCATTACATATACTTGCACTTACTATTTCATTTTTAAGACCATTTCCTTCTCCTCTTATTCCTTTAAGAAATCCTTCACTAATTTCATATCAGTGAAAATTGCTTTTTACTTGCTATGCTCATTTTACAGTCCATTACTCTTTTTTTTTTTTTTTTTTTTGGTGGGACTCTCTCCGAAGGCCGGGGAACGAACAGGGCGCTGCAGAGGCCCACTGCACCACCAGGGGAGGCCCTACAGTCCATTACTCTTAAAGGAAAATATCTACTCTGTTAAATCGAAGTAAAAGTATAAACCTGGACTTTTCATTAGAAATAATCTCATAATTCACTTACCTGAGCATAGGCAAAGGAAGTTTTTGCATGTTTTTGGACATATGTCTGAGAAGAGCTGAAACATAATGCGACCAACTGAAATAAAACAGATGGGGAAAAAAAGGTAAGCAAGTTTATTAAATATATCACATTTTAAATGGGAGAAATAAATAGAATTAACAAACTGGGTAGTTCAATTTTCTAATTCATTTTAATTTTTTTGAAAGATTTAACAGGCTAGAATTTAACTGGGCAATCACTGGCCAACTAACAAGTAGAACAAGAGCTCTACTCTATTTGCACTATCCACAATTAAAACTCAATTACATGAGAACAGAAAGAGAAAAGGTTATGGCTTTAAAACAAACAAGCAAGCAGATCAAAACCAAACTCCCTACAGTAAACAAAAATGACAAAGACCAACCCTGCAAATTCTACTTAACTAAGCCATAGAAAAATGTTTCACAAACTTTTTAGTCTCAGAACTCCTTCAAACTCTTAAATATTATTGCTTTTTAAATGTGTGTTGTATCTCAAAGTAAAAATCAAAATCAACAAGCAACTATAAACCAGAGACATACTACGGGGGTGGGAGGGGGTGTGTGTGGAGGGAGAGGCAGGGAAAGGAAGGACTAGAGTCAAAATAAGGCGGGGATGCAATTGTATGGGGAATATAACCAAAGTGAAAATGCATACATTGTGCAAAGATGAAAAAAGATATAAGAATTATATAAAATAAAATATTAAAAAAATGTGTTGTATCTACTGCTATTTACTGTATTATAAATTAAAACCCAGAAATTTTTAAAACACAACACACACGTTCCATCAGCAGTCAGAGCAGTAACATCATTACATTATCAGTGTAGGTTTTGGAAACTCAGCTTATGAATGAGAGAGCAAAAGGCAAATCATACTATTATTATAAGTTTTGACTATGCACATCCCTGAAAGGGTCTCAAAAAAAAACAAGAAATGGGGTTTTGATTTACAATCAATTTCCTGAGTCCCTTTCCCCTTATTCTACAAAAGCTTTTCTATTATGAACATTTTTATTTACTCAAAGTAACAATTTTTTTAAAAAGTTATTTAACTGTGGGTCAAGCGTTCAGTAGATGAAAAATGACTTGATTAACTAAGATCACTAAACTATTTTATCATATCACTAAGATTTTAATTTACTCCTGTTCATGTCAGTCAGTTCCTTTGAGGACCAAGATACTGAGTAATATACATCCTTAAGGAATAAAATGTGCGAAAATTTCATTCTTTAAGACTTTATTATGCCAACACTTTTTGCCTATAGCTTTGGATTGTGAAACAATTTCAAAACCTTCTAAGCTGATCATCATATTTAAGGGAAAGAAGAAAAAGTTAAGGGAAAAAGCAAAGGGGAGAATCTAGTCATTTCAGAATTTTTATCTTTTTATTTTAGATTTTTTTTTTAAAAAAAAAGATTTATCCATTTATTTATACCAGCACTGGGTACAGTCAGAAGCACGGGAGGGTGAGAGAATTCACAGAGCCAGAGGGGAGGGCAGAGCAGGCAGACTGATGAAGTACACTGCTGAAGGGAGCAGCGGGGCGGCAGGAGAGGTCTGCGCACCATGTGGGACCCTCAACAGGCAGCCGGGGATCAAACCAGCGCTGCAGAGGCTGTGGGCAGCTCCGCAACCCAGCGCTCAACCACTGCGCCACTGGGGAGGCCCTAAATTTTTTTTTTTTGAATATTTGCTTCCCCCCACCCCCTCAAGTTGAGTCCCCATAGAGTTTCCTTCCCCAAGGCACCCATGCACCACCACCACAGTCCCCTGTCCTCCTCCCTCCCCCTGATGCCTCTTCCTCCTCCTCCCCTGCATTGTCTCTGATTTATAATTGTTTTTGCTTTGTTGTGTTTTGTACTGTGATTTTTTTTTTTTACACTTATGTCTTATTTGGTTCACCTATATTCCTGTTATAAGTGAAACCATCCGATATTTTTCTTTTTCCTTCTGGCTTATTTCACTGAGCATAATCCCTTCTAGCTCCATCTACATTGCTGTGAATGGCATGAGTTTATCTTTTTTTGATTGCTGAATAATATTCCATTGTGTGTATATGCCACATCTTCTTGATCTAGTCATCTATTTTGGGGTATTTGGGTTGTTTCCAGGTTTTACCTATTGTAAATAGTGCTGCAATAAACATAGGTGTACAAGTGTTCTTTTGAATCAGTGTTTTTGTGTCATTTGGGTAGATCCCTAGGAGTGGAATTGCTGGGTTGTATGGTAGCTCCATTTTTAGTAGACTGAGGAACCTCCAGACAGTTTTCCATAGTGGTTGGACCAGTTTGCACTCCCACCAGCAATGTAGGAGAGTTCCTTTTTCACCACTTCCTCGCCAACATTTGTTGTTGCTTGTTTATTTGATATGTGCCATTCTTACTGGTGTAAGGTGGTACCCCAGTGTGGTTTGATTTGCATTTCTTTAATTATAAGGGATGTTGAACATTTTTTCATATGCCTGTTGGCCATTTGCATTTCCTCTTTGGAGAAAAGTCTTTTAAGTTCTTCTGCCCATTTCTTGACTGGATTGTTTATTTTGTTTTTGTTGAACCATATGAGGTAAAACACTACAAGACATACATTTCAAAAACATCTTTAAAGACTCATCACCCAAAGCAGTGATAGTGAAGGCAAAGATAAACACCTGGTAGTACATCAAACTGAAAGCTTCTGTACAGCCAAAGGGAGGCCCTAGAACATATACTTTTATTTTTGAAAGTCAAAATAGAAAATATTCTGAAGATATAATCTTTAAAGTTACCTACAGAAGACTGGTAGTGAATTTGCATAACAGAAGATTCTCTGGCTCCCAAAATGATGGAGAAAATGAGTGTGACAGGGCCTCCCTGGTGGTACAGGCGGTTGAGCACCGCACTGTGAAGCTGTCCGCAGCCTCTGCAGCGTGAGTTCGATCCCAGATGGCTGGAGAGAATCCCACATGGCGAAGCAGACTTCTCCTGTCTCGCCCGCTGCTCCCCTCAGCAGTGTATTTCATCAGTCTGCCTGTTTTGTTCCCTGCTCTGTCTCTGGTGAATCCTCTCACCCTCCCACGCATCTGGCCTAACCCTGGTTCTTGTATAAAAATAAATAAATCTTAAAAAAAAAAAAAGTGTGACAGCAATATC